CGAGGAACAAAGAGGGGAAAAAAAAGGGTTGGTGCATGGAGAAAGACAGCAGTGTGGCAACTAAACTCACGCACTACTACCCTAATCCATAATGATTTTGGCAGAATAGCTTATCACAAGTCTTTGGCTAAAAAAACTCCTATATTTTTTTTTTTTTTTGTTCGTTTGTGCCTTTGAAAGGATACTTACGTTTTGAGTATCGTTGTTGTCAAGATAAGGAAAATAGGGAAGAGAAAAAAGAGATGAAATGGCAATCAATTGAATAAACGAATTGGTCCTGAATAATGGTGTGCGTCGTTGGAAATGTCTGTGAGTGAAGTGAATGAATGCGTGGGTATGTTATGTTGTGATATGATATGGTATGGTGTGGTATGCAATATGAAATGCAATCAAGAAAGGATCGACAGGCCAAGACAAAAAAAAAAAAAAAAAAAAAAAAAAGTAACTTTGACAGTTCAAAAATACAAAAAAGGGGTATGTATGAGAACGAGAAGAAATGAGCGAGAGATAGAAAAAGGAACAAAAAGGCGGCTTTTTTTTTTTTTTTTTTCTTTTTTTTGGCAGGAGCGAAGAAGAAGAGAAAAGAAGAAAGAAGAGAAAAAGAAAATAATAATCGGTTGTTTTTTTTTTTTTGACAATGCAGAAAATAAATAAATATGTGTGGATGAAAATGCTGAGCCAGAGAAGAGGTGTGATTATGGATTTCGTGCAAAATGGTCCGAAGGATGTAGCGTGGGGGCAATGAAAAACTGTGTGAATATGAAATAAAGGTATTTTATCTATTGGAAGCGCATATGTTTTTGAATGTAAAGTATGAACTGTGCTGGGTGTTTACAAGCTTAAAAAAAAAAAAAGAGAGCAAGAAACATTCACAGAGAAAGATCTTTTTTCTTTTGAATAAAGGGTGAAAGAGAAGGAAAGGGAGGGAAAAGAAGGAGGAAAAGCCAAACAAGCACATTCATTTATAAAAGATTGCTTGGTCTAAAAAAAAGTTTTGACGGTGAAGGTGAAGGGGAATGATGTTGCAATAATAGAAGTCAAGTGTTACAATAATGAATACAGCTTTACATTCAATGACTGAGTGAAATATCAATATCTGAACAAATCAATAAAAAAGAATAAAGCATTATAAGCACTATATATATACATATTATACACGCACTTACAAATAATACTCATAATATATACAATATATATATCTGTAAATATAAATATATGTATATTATATATATTATATATATATAACATCTGTATATTTTATGTTGAATATGGCATGGCTTCATTCAATAGATATTGAATCAGTCTGAAAAGCATTACAGTCGACAATCAACAATTGAGCAAGTCAGTCAAAAATAATAAAGACTGGTAGTCAAACTGACTATGAATACAGGGGGGACAATTGGATCTCCAAGAGTGAATAATATTGAGTCAATGGTACATATTCACATATACACATCTCAAATAAAGGAATGATTGAATGATTGAATAAATCAATGGACCCGCAGTTTTGCTGTATTATCTACATTTTATATTCCTCCTTCCCTACACAGTTACTGCATTTGGTATACAAAATAGCTTTTCCCCCCCCTCCCTGCCTTCGTTTCGAGTATGTCATAGCCAACGACCCACAGGCAAGTCTTTCAACCTCCCGCCTATTTACGCACTTGATGGTGTTTTGCAATAGCTGAACTGAAAAGACATTCCAGCTATGAACAGCTTTCTTCTGTTCATAAAGCCTTGGGATTTCTCCAATCTCCATTCCAGGTTGACTAACTGACTATGGCTTATAGAGCTATATTGTAACAGTATGCAATAAACCATTTGAGACAGGTGGATAGAAAATTACGGATTGACCAGGAGCATTTAACTTCATTTTTGGTCGATCATATTAGGGCTGTAGCTCCATATTGCCCATGTCGTTTGGTCATAAAACTATAACTTTTCTAATAATCATTGCAGACTTTTAACCATGATACTAATTGGCTGTCAATATATTCAAAAAAAAAAATATATAATAATAATAATAATAAATAAACTCCACTTTTGACCAAATGAATCGGCTATATATAAAACTTTATAACAGGATACCCAGCCATCGCATCCCTGGGTCTTAATTTCTCAGGGATCAGAATGTAGCCGAGCTGGTAATAGAATCGATGGCCATAAAAAAAAAAAAAAAAAAAAAAAATACATTTCACCACGAATTAGAACAAAGAGGAACAAGGACACTATAACTAAAACCTGTTGACTTCCATGACATCTTTTAACTCGTCTAAAAATGTTATTCATAGCTTCAATAGCATAAGAGAACTATCTACCCTCTTAATGATTGAACACAGCCTTGCTCGCACCTTCATTACGACTTGACGTCTATTGCTGGGTTGAAACACAACCAGCTGATCAAATTTAATTCATGACCAAGAAAACAGCATTCGCGGCTCTCTTTGGGTGTTCATATATATATATAAAACATGCTTGGAGTGTTCTTCATCTGTCATGTTTACTGTTTATCTGCACATTCGCAAAGGTACATGTTTTTACACGTTCGATCACCCTTTTGAGAAATGAAAGTTGGGGGGGGCAGAACCGGTTATTGTCATTAGAGCACTTGGCATCTTCCTCAGAATGCCTCAATAGCACTTATAGATTTGACATCAAACGAAGAAAAAGAGCCAAATGTAAATTCTCTTCAAAAATGAAAATGTGTTTTTGGTACCATAGACATCGCTCACAAAAGTTGACTTTGATAATGCCTAACTGGGTTCGTCTGTCAAAAGAAAAAAGAATGATAAAAAGAAACCGCGCAATTTCTCTGTGCAATCATCATGCAAATCAACAGGTCTGGCCTATTGATTGACGAAACTCTGTTTCCTTGTATTACAGCCACTCTATTCACAGTCTAATTACTGTTACTGATGTTCTTGCAGTTAATGTTGATGCTTTCTTTTTGAGGCTACAAAGCAAAACTGTCTTAAGAGAAAAAAATAAAAAAAAAAGGGTGTGTGTAACGATCGGGACATCGGTTGAATAACTGTCCATCGATCGTTTTCGAAGCAGTGTTCTGGTGGCAAAGGGGCATCACACATTCCACATTCCTTATCCATCTTTCATGCCTATCTGTGCCGCAAAAACATTTTTTATATCCAAAGCACGTATAATCGACAAAACCCTTAAAAAGTATACACAAGATTATAAGAATGAAGGTATATAGTCTGGGTTTTGAAAGTATTTTTTTTTTTTTATGGATTTTGGGTTATGCTGGGGCATGTTAACTTTGAACCGGCAATATTATCCGGGATCAGCTGGCACGTTCATTTCATTTTAAAATCAATAATGCCTAATGTATTTATACCTTTGATCTACTTCCGTTATTTGTTTTATGATCAAATTGGCTCTTGATCGCATGGCTGTTGTCATTTTTTTTCTTTTTCCCATGCTATCACTTAAATGAAGTGAAGCAAAATCGATCATGGTATATATATATATATATACATACCCTTTTCTAATATTTAGAAAATGATATTAAAATGAGTCGGAGAGGAATCAGTTTGTTTATAGTCTTTTTTTTTTTTTTTTTTTTTTTTGCGTGTATACATGTGTCATCAAACAACAACTGAAAAGATAAAAATAAACCCCTGGATTTTGTTACTGTTGAAAGCTGGTGCTTGGTGCGACCATAAAAAAAAAAAAAAAGACCATGGGACGTGTATTTTGTTTCTTGAGTGCTCTCAGTTGTCTCTCCGTCTCTATTTCCTCACTCACCTCACTCAACGACTTGTTCCTCGCTACTCCTCCTGCTTTCGTTACTTTGTTATTTTTGTCGTTGTTGTTTGCCTTGTACGACACGACACTCTCCGATTACAGCTCTTTGGTGGAAATTCGGGGAAGAGAATACGAGGAGAGAGGAAAGGAGAAGAGAGGGGAGGAAGAGGAAGGAGGAAAATATTATAACTGTCTTATGCAACTTTACATCAAAACAATAGTCAATAGATGAGGTCTATGATAAAGAAAAGGTGATTTTTTACTTTGATGCTGCACACACAGACACACGCCCGCACGCACATTAGTGAGCAAGATTATGATACCAAATCAACGACAAAGAGGAAAAAAAAAGGATCGATCAATCAATCAAATGAACGGTGAGCATATAAACGGCGTGAAGAGGAAGATGGCGAATATGGGAACGGTATTTAGACAATGCAGCCAAAGATCCTTTGCCTTATTTTTTTTTTTTTTTTTTTTTTTTTTTGACCATGTGGTGAAAAATGCAACAACATTACAAAACTAAAATAAAAATGTTTTGGTAATTAAGCTAAAAAAAAAAAAAAAAAAAAAAAAACTTTTATTTTTTTCTACATTGCATTGCTGAAAACCGCGTGTGCTTTGGAGTGGCATGGTCCTTCCTCTCCTTTGCTCCTTTCTCCTTCTTCTTTTCCTCCTTTCAACATTTGATGTTAATACTGCTGATGAAGACGATATCTACACTCCCTGGACTATGTTTACAGTAAACTAATTCTAACATGCAAAAAGAAAAACCCACAAACCCAATGCTCTCATGCAAGGCTTGCAACTAAAAGAATAAAATAAAATTATCTAATGTAATAAATATAATTTTATAATAGGATCATAAGAAGTTCAAGTCTATTGGAGCCAATTAGTTTACTTGTTTCAAGCACCACGAGTCGGAATCAGCCACCAGTTCAATTCTATTTTTTGGCACATGTATTAATTCCGTGTTCGGTATTCAACTTAAAATAGGCTCGTCCTCTTGAAAGCCTTTGAGTGGCAGGAAAGGAAGATAACCAACTCTTTTTTTTTAGACCCCATGTCATTCCCGGCAACGTGATTACAAATACATTTCGATCATACGAACTTAATCGTCTTTGTTCATTCCTTTTTACTTTTTATTATTATTTCTTCATACTCCCTAGCCACATGTATTATGCAACTAATCCAAGCTCAAATCTTCTGAGAAAAAAAAAAAAAGAGCAAGAGAGAGCATAGTCTTCATTGTTGTATGATATGTGCAAACTATATTTATACATACATATATATATACTTGGTGTTTTTGGAATCCCAAATGAAAGAAGGTCAGAAAGGAAGCACATACATGTATATATATATATATATAATACAGTAGATTAGAGCAACTGTGGGTGAAACGAAGAAAGACCATCAGCAGGTGGACCCAATGGAAGATGAGCATGGAACATGAGCACAGGACATGGCCATGGGACATGTCGTAAAATTATCAGCCTCTGTTTTCTTTTTAGCTGTATTAATGCTCCGAAGTTTGCATCCTTGACAGATGGACAAATGCAAGGTCATTGTCAGCTGGACTTACACTCGATGTTGTTGTTTACACTCACACTTTTTATTTTCCTCCATGTCTGCAAAAAATAGATCTCATTTATTACAACCAACCGGTCGGATGGTAGTCCGAATTATTGATGTAAAATGCAAAGCTAAAGAAGTGACAGGCTAGCTATCTTGCAGGTGTACATGTACCTGATCCATTCTGTATTCCGCTCCAGCATTAACTTTGATTTACTTTAATCCATTATTATAGCATGTATATAGTTGCCCTATCAAAGTTTTTTTTTTTTTTTTTTTTTTACAATGCGATATGAAGATATGAACATGAGTTATTCTCCCACGTTGAACTGAAGTGAGGTTTTGGAGAGGATAAAGCAATCCATATTCTTGTGAGTAGTTTGATTAAGGTTCGTATCTATTGGTGACTGATTTATTCCAAGATATTGGAGCAAAGAGTTTGGATGACTATCTTCAGTGTTATCGTCTTTATCAGCTATTGTTATTATACACATTTTTACACGAGCCGTAGTGTTTATATCAAATTAATGTAACACGTTGGGTTTAAATAGGCGTGTTTTTTCTTATCGTTATATCATTAAAAAGGACAACAACCGTAATAACGATGCTAGCGGCAACCATGATGACGGCGATGGGGATCATAGCTGTTGAGCAGTGTTCGAGGTAATCCGAGTCTTGACGGAATGTTTAAATGGAGCTTTACATGTATCCCTGATGTAATCCTCCTCATGGGATGAGGTATTGCTGTTTGTATTGATCCATCTTGTTTCAAAAAAAAAAAAAAAAAAAAAAAAAAAAAGCTTGTTTCAATATAATACACAATATTAAGCTTTCAAAGACTCCTTCACATCAAACTTTTATTTTGGCCATTTATTATTTTTACTAGGTTCAATGACGCGCAAGAAAAAAAAGAAAGAAAGAAATGAAATAAAACACACTGGAACTGAGCCGATTCATCCTCAATCAAATAATAATGCATAATGCGCGATGCATCAGGCAGTATATATTTTATTTCAAAAGCACATGCAGACAATTTTCATTGAACCTTAGAAAACTACGCGCTGCATCGTTGTCAACACAAAGGTGATTGATTATAGAAAACATATTTTTCCTTCTAATCCTTATAAAGTTTGATAAGTCATTGGCCTCGATTCGCATAAATGTTATTTGCAATCGAAGAGTAAACATCAAAAGAAGGAGAGAGAAAAGGAAATGGAACACAGTACACAAAGATTAATTGCAATGGATCTGACAGGTTCTTTTTAAAAATAGATGCACCAAAATAGCATTTTTAAGCTAAACGCCACAAACCATATTGTCGGGTCGTCCACAGAGGAACATGGCGTTTTTACATGCTAACCCTTTTTTAGCTCAGCCCTACATCTTGTCCTTCTTTGCTTTGTGAGAAGATCATATCGATATCCATTATTAGGTTACTCATCATACTTGTTTTTTTTTTTTTTTTTTTTTTTTCTATTTTTTCAGTTTCTTACATCTTCCCTCTCCCTATTGCCTAATCACATCAGTGGCATGGTATATTCAGATGGGCAGATGGGCAGATGAGTATAGTCATCTAGTTAATACGCTGTAACAAAGCTTTAATGAATATAATACTATACCTATTGTAGTATTTAATGGAATGTATTTCCGTTTTTTTTATATCTCCTCTGTATTCCACGAAACGATATTTAGTAATGTGGAGTAACTAAAGTCGCAAAAAGAGAGAGCACGCGTGGAGCATCATATACAAGGGAGAATCAATCCACCATAAAGCTTAAAAAAAAAGGTTATTTTTTCTTGACGCGTCCTTGTAATTCAAACTGCTCTTACTTTTTATCCATCCCGTAATACCCTTATAGACTTTCATTTTCTCCAAACTAAAACGCGTCCAATTGTCGTCTGACCAAGGGAGGCTCCCCAAGGTGTTATATATTTATTTACACTCTTAAAGATTTGCGCCCACAGGATGAAAACCCCTGCAAAGCCGTGCTATTGACATTAACTAATCTCAGTAACGCTAGCCAGCTTGTGTCGGAAACAATCAAACAACCATAGTTTTCTTGATGAAAGTAGATTTGAGTTTGATCTTTCCCGCAGCGCTCTCAGATGCACTCTCTCAGTTTATAATATTTATGAGTGAGAGCGAAATGGAAAGAACTATGGAATAGGGGGGGGGGGGTGGAGTGAAAAAGATCAGGCAAATACACACATACAGGAATAGAAAACAGAAATATATTCGTGCAACAGCCTCCTAACAAGACAGGGCATGAGCAAGGGATGGTAAAGCGAAAGAGTCTCGTTGTGTAACATGCGTTAGTTCTTGAATAAGGCTCACTGGTCGTCTTTCTCTATTTTCTTTTTGACCCCTGGGAAATAAAAAAGAAAGAAAAATAAAAACAATAAACATCAGAACGATGACAAAAAAAAAAAAAGTAGAAGAGATCTATTAATAATGAACCAAATGCTACGCGTATTTCAGTTCCCGCATGGTCCCTTAATCATTCATTATAAACGACGCTTTAACATCTTTTTTTTTTTTTTTAAACATGTGCGCCTGCTTCCTCTCCTGGAAATAGAGCGCAGCATTACGCCGTTGAGCACTTTCACTGTTACATTTAATTTCACACATTCTTTATTTTTATTTTTATTTATTGTTTAAAAAATACAAATTGAAAGAAGAAAGAGAGCGTCCAGCAATCAAGTGAGGAAAAGGGGGATGGAAAAAGTTAATATTTATTGGACGTAATCAAGGTACATGTATCTATTTTATTCACAACATGCAGGCGTGAGTGTGGCGAAGACCTTCTTTAAAAAACACATGTTGGAATTTATACCAAGTCTGGGCTCCTCCCCCCAAAAGGGGCATCAGTTATAGACACATTATTAAATAAATAAATAAAAAAGATGCAGGGTGCTTGTAAAACCCCAATCTAATCCATAGAAAGTCTTTTTAGGCATGTACTATACAAAATTGGATTACCTGGCCCGGTTCCTAACGCTTCTATGTGAACAAATAACTCTTTATTTTTACATTAATTAAAGTCTGCCAAACAAGATCAAGCCAAAAATACGAAATATTCATCTCGAAACACTGATGTGTATTGGGAAAATCACCGGACAAACAGCCTAGAATATATTGTGTTGATGCCACGGCAATAAGTACGTTATTATGCATATTTATTGTTTACAGACTGCAAAGGGAAAAAAGGAGGGTACAGAGATGATTAGTCTATGAGCCTTTGGATCCAAAAGAAATGTCGATCCATCCTTCCTCCCCCCCTTATTGGCTGCTTGATAATGGTAAGTATATATATAAGTAAGAAAGAAGAGGTTGATGTTGTTGTTAACTTTATTGTATGTTATATATTGTATTGGCGATGAATCTCATACTATCCCGCGGGGCCAAGGTGTATAAGAAACAGGTTCTTTTTCCATGAATACAACTCCATGAGCTATACCAAAAAATAAAAGGGTTGGACACAAAGCCTAATGTCTATTTATTGTAAACAAACAAGATGAGAAGTAAAAAACGGGAGGCAAGATCTCGCACGTTATCACACATTCTCTCTCCCTCTTTTTTTTTTTTTTTTTTTTTTGGTCGTCCGTTTGCCCATCCTTTTCTTCATGTTCATGTACTCCTTTTTTTTTATAAACACTCACTTCGCTGTGTTGCTATCAACATTTAGACTTGATTTGATTTGATCTGACATAATGTGATCAGCCCAATTCAATAATAATAATAATCAATTATCCGTCCCACTTTTTTTTTTTTTTTTTTTTTTTTTTTTTTTGGTAACGATTTCGGGAAGTAGTTAGACTAGGAGATAGGAGAAAAGAACGAAGGACAGAGGTCCCAACAATTCGGTATTCTATTCATTAAGTAGTCTAGTGTTATAAATGTACATATTCAAATCTTATACTACCGATGAACCTTTTTCTTTTGCTTCCAATGAGTAGGGATGACAGAGAACTACGATGTGGTCATTGTAAACTCTCTTTTGATGGCTTTTTTTGTTCCTACCCTCGCTAAAATGAATCTTTTATTTTGTAATTGACAACCGGATGTGGAAGATGTCCTCTTGCTGCTTTTGAACATACTCTATTGTGATGATACCAAGGCCGAGAAAATAAACACAAGCTGGACGCCTCTCCTTGGAAATATCATATTTGGCGCGAGTAATAGTCAAGAAAGGCTAGGGGTTCATTCTTATTCTTGTTTCTTCAAACAATTCAGCACACCGACAGTCGAAATTGGAAAATTGAGCAATAGAAATGTAATTAACATCATATAAATATCGACAAACGAAATAAAAAAATAATAAATAAATGACATTTTCCCTACTCAAATCGCATTTGGCTTCACTCATCTCCATAGAACTTTTTTGCACATGTATGCCTCCGTCCACGGGGCTTCAGACACTTGTTTTGGACTGAAATGCCTGTATTGTCTTTGAAACCACCAGATCTTTCCCCCTTTTTTAAAAGGATGAGGAGAAATGCAGTTATAACTTGCAGGTTACACCATAGTTGAGGGGCACGATGTTACCCTTAAGATGATGACGAAACAAAAAGCAAAAATGTGAGTGTGTGATTGCGTGTTTATGCAAGTGTAACAGAGTGGACTTGTATGCTAAATGTGTATGAAGCTTTTTTTAGTGCTCATCACCATCCTCCCAGTCATCTTATTTCTCTGTCTCTTTTCAATATTGCGATCTTTATTTCGCGGAACAAGTAATCGGTAAATGATCCTGCTCATCTCTGCATCTTCGTCAGATATTATACCCCTGCTTTTCTTTGCTACCTCCCCCCGCAGCAACAGCAGCAGCAGCAGCACTCAAAAAGATCTGTCGTGACCCATGATTTGCAAGCAGGACGACTTGATGTAATCAAGCATCTTCAAGCTTTTTCTTTCTTTTTGTTCTGATCTCGACATGCCGATGAAGACAGTATTTAGTAGAAATTTTGCAGGAAGGCCATTGATTATTGGTAGCCTGCATCTATTGAAGACTCTATAGACTTGTGTGTCTTCTCAAGAAGCCGAACATTCGCTGTATAGAGATCATGCGAAGTTCCTAGGAAGACTTGTCTCTTCCAACCAGTCCAGTCTAGGCTAGCTTGGCTCAGCAATGTCTCGTTGATAATGCGTTTGTGCTGCGTTGCACACTGCACGTTTTCACATCGTTTATTTGCTATCCGTGGAGGCCTACCATGGACAATATCCAGCACAATGCGCGTCGATACCTGGGGATATACAACCAACTGGGAGTGCAAATCTCTCTCTCTCTTTTTTTTTTTTTTTTGTTCTTTTTTCTCTCGACAAGACAGGAGGGACGAGTCAGCTCAGCATATTTGCATCCGAACGGGATAGTTTGACATTTTTTTGTCTACTTGGGTCGCTTCTTTTCTGCTCTGCTAGATTGGGACTTGACGATCGTACTCTTGCTATGCTCGTTCTCGCTCGTTTTCTTTCTCTTTTTCTCTATCTATCTCTCTCTCGCGTGCTCTTTCACTTCACGCTCGCATTTCTTATATATATATATATATATATCCTACGCCGCTCAATGCTTGCTTCTGATGCTGACCCCACTGCTCACCGCCCAAACCCTTGCTTCCCCGTTCTCCCATCTCTTGTCCTTTTCAATGACCATATTTGATCATCTAGCACTTATCCGCTCCGTCCAAAAATCCGTCTTTCAAGCACTCTTTCTCCTCTTATCTTCCCAAGCTTTCCAGCATTAACCAACCAAAAAAAACCTAAATCCCTAGTGCTTGCCCATCCTTCCCTCCAGTCGCTCGACTCCGTCTATTATCTTTTTTCCTAATACTGTCTAAACAAACAAAAAACATAAATAACCATGTCTGATACTGAAAAAAACATTTCTGAGGATCGCGAGAAGAAGAGATCTCTGCCCGCTGACGATTCTGACGAGCACGACTCTGATTCTGAAGATCGTCGCCACAAACGTGCAGCTGTTAATGACTCCAATTCTTCTTCTCCTCAGCGCCCTCAACATCGCCGTCGCAACTCTGATGATGCCTGTAAGCTCTCTTCACTTGGTCATAATTCATTTTATTTTTTTACGACGTTTTTTTTTTCTTCTTCCTTTTTTGTACTTTGTGAATGCTTTAAGGCTACATATATTGAAATATGTTGTATTTCCTTTTTTCTCATATTACCTTCATCAACCAATGTAGCAAGAAAGGAGGCTGCTGAAGGTGATATTCCTCCTACCACTGCTTTGAGATCGATTGTCTCTACCAAAGATGCAGGTGTGATCATTGGCAAGTCTGGTAAAAATGTCAGTGAGATTCGTGAACAGTCTGGCGCCAAGGTCACCATTTCGGAAATGGTCCCTGGTGCATATGAACGTATCTTGACAGTCTCTGGTCCTTTGGACACTGTCGCCAAGGTGAGTTACTCTAAATATAATGCCTTTACCATATACAACACAATGTTACGATTGGGTGATGCTCATACTAATGTACGCGATACTTTTTTTTTTTTTTTTGTTTATTTCTTGTCTCGATTTCATTAGGCTTATTCCTTGGTTGCTCAAAAGATTATTGCAGAGCACATTGAACCCGATGCTGCGCCTGACACCGAGTCGACAGCAATCCGCCTTTTGGTTGCACACCATCGTATGGGATCAGTTATTGGCAAGGGTGGCGCAAAGATTAAGGAAATCCAAGATGCATCTGGCGCCCGTTTGGTAGCATCAGAAGAAATCTTGCCCGCTTCTACAGAGCGCACAATCACCATCACTGGCGTTCCAGATGCTATCCACATTGCAGTCTATCACGTTGGGGTTGTTTTACAAGAACACAGTGAACGCGATCGCACCGTGAGCGTGATCCCCTATAGACCTATGGGCCGTAGTGCCTATCCCGGCCCTCCTGCAGGTGGCATGGGAGGATATCCTCCTCACCACAGCTCATCGTCGCATCATCACCAGCAGCCTTATTACGGAGGATATCCATCGCATGGTGGTATGGGCTATGGACAGGATTACCTCCCACCCTCGCGCGGAGGTAGCCATGGTGGCTATAGTCATGGTGGAGCTTCTGCAGGAGGCATAGGTGGACCAGGCTCAGTTGCTCAGCAAATCTTTATTCCAAATGATATGGTAGGCAGTGTCATTGGCAAAGGAGGCTCAAAGATTAATGAGATTCGTCAAATGTCAGGATCACACATCAAGATTGCAGAACCCCAAAATAACGGAAGCAACGAACGCCTGGTTACCATCACTGGAACGCACGAATCGAACCAGATGGCAATCTATATGCTCTACCAGCGCTTGGAGAGCGAGAAGGCTAGGCAGTAAAAATGTCGTAGGGGGATAGGGGAGCTTTTGCTTTTTTTCTCATTATTGCTTTTAAGGTATATATGAAGTGCAAGTATGAATAAAAGAGAGGGTTTTTTTTTATACTTTTTTCCATATGTTTGCTTGCATCCATTTTTGTATATTACTGTGTTATTGCTCTCCTCAGAACGAGAGATTGAGAAAGCGCTCAAAAAAATAAAAAAAATTGTTTGGTTGCCCAAAAAATACTCTATAGCTTATAATACTGTACACTTTGTTTAGGGTGGAGAAATATCTATGTCAATGGGTAATATGTCTGTCTATTGGCTGCTCTGCTCTGATATCGTTATGGAGTTTCACTTTCGTTGCCTGATTCCGAGGCAGGCTCAACATCGGAACTAGATGCAGAAAAATCCATTTCCTTCATCATTTGTCTCATATCGCGGACAATATCAGGTAAGGGTTTTGTCCGCGGTAAGATGAGGTCTGCCAGTCTCCTCCTGTATTCCTTCCCACGACGACCTCCATAGAGCATTTTAAGAGGAGCCATGACGACCGAATTAGAATGAGGGGTACCACGTTCGTGTATTTTTAATACATATTCCAAAAACTCTTCGATGACCTCTTCTGTAGTCTTGATATTTTCGGGTGGAACGTTATGGTGTGCTGATAATAAATAATATTATTAATAAAAATAATAGGAAAATAGGGTTAGTGGGTGCAACACTTCTATTTCTTAGGAGTGAGAGTGAAAATAAAACAAAGTGCCAAAAGCCCTCACCTGCATCCACCTTTGCAAGGAACATGGGTCTATCCATAACTAGTATTTACCAAAGATTATGTAAATTGTCGGGTTAGAAAAATCGGAAGATAGTCCTGACTGACTGTTTGATTGACTGTTTGATTGACTGCTTGATTGATCGATTAACCAACTTACCCTCACGTCCAATCATGATTCCATCCACCAACTCTAATTGTTCTTTGATTTGTTGCGTTGTATTGAAGCCTCCATTAATAGTAATTGTAAGGTGGGGAAAATCTTTTGCTAGCTATGTAAAAAAAAGAAAAAAAAAAAAAAGAAAGGAAAAAAAAAAAAAAAAAAAAAAAAAAGTTAATGAATACTCCTGTTATATGTCGATAGATCTCATAACTTCATTTATAATTATACGAATATATATTTGTAAGAGGATTTTTACCTGATAAACAGCTTCATACTTTAATGGTGGTATGCTCCGGTTCTGTTTTGGCGATAATCCTTTTAACCAGCATTTCCGTGCATGAATAATAAAGTGATTGACAGGCGTTGTAGTCGATATCAACTTGATCTAGTAAAAAAAAAAAAAAAAAAAAAAGGTTGTCACGATAATATTTAGTCAAAACCATATATAGCCATTACTACCAGATATATATATGTTCTTAAAGGCAAAAGGTCCTTGAAACGTACAAAATCATACAAATACTCGTATGAATCCAAATTGTCGACACCGATCCTGCACTTGACTGTGATAGGAATGGTTACTCCTACTTTACCCATTTCCTTGATAATATCAACCACAATCGAAGGAGTCTTCATAAGCACAGCTCCGAAAGCTCCTTTCTGTACTCGAGGACTTGGGCATCCAACTATGAATGAGCGAATGAACGAATTGAGAGCATTAGAGAGAAGAACAAAAAAATAAAAGAAAAAAAAAGGAAGAGGGAGAAAGAAAACGGCAAGGCCGGATCAAATTATTCAAAAGTATATTTGTAGAAAAATCGATGCACATTTATTTTTTCCAAGGGAATAATTACCGTTGAGGTTTATTTCTTTATATCCATTGTCCTGTACTAGTTTTGCAGCTTTAGCCATAGCCTCTGGATCTGAACCCCCCAATTGAACCACCTTACCCTCCCAGGGCTCTCCAAAGAAATTGTATAAATCTTTTGGATTGTAGATGAGGGCATTACAATGAATCATTTCTGAATAGAGTGTAAAGTTAGGTGATATTATTCTGCAGAGCTCGAGAAAGTGCTTTTATATATATATAAATAAAAAAGTAGTCAGGTTAGCAGAAGTTCTTCTCTTCTTTCCGGGACATCATTTCTATACACATAAATATTTACCGAGGTTGTCACATCAACCATGGGAGCAACCGCAATAGGGAGCTTAATCCTTCGAGGATCTACAGAGCGCCCGGATGCAGTGCGAAGCCCTTCTGCTGCAACTGCTGATCCAAAGGATAAACTGGATAGTTGATCTATTACAGGCTGAATCTGTGCGCTTCTATAGCTATTGTCGCTATAACTGCTGTCCTTGCTGCTAAGTGCCACATGAATCTGTTCCTGTTCCTGTTCCTGTTCCTGTTGCTGAAGAAAAGATGTTTTGTTAATGAGGGTAATGTTGGACATCATTCGCATGAATGGCGTTGACTTATATGGAGACAGGCGCTGAACGTGTCGTAGTCTTTGCAGGATGAGCATAACCACCCCTCTCTTTTGTCGCTGAAATGGTTCTGGCCAAAAAAAAAAAAAAAAAGTTTTGGAGTGGGCTGAGTTAGTGTCAATAGTGACTGCTAACCTTAACTTATATATCCTTTATTCTCATTTAAAAAAGCAGGCCATATGAGAAGGATCGCCAAGTGGCAAAAGTTAAGACATGGTGCTACCACAATTAAATACTGTCCTTTATCCAGCATCAATCTTACCTATTTGCCCTTCTCATCGGAATATTTTGTGCAACGTATACAAGAAAATTGACTGGAGGGCAGATGATATAGAATGTAGACGCATAGTTGGACTATAACTAATCTTATTATCCTGATTGTTGATATGGGTATGCCGTAAGACGTAGCAAAGTTAAAGTTAGTTAACAAGAAAGCTGTTTTTAGGGAAATTAAGACACGTAAGTCTTTTTTTTTCCTGCGCTATTGATTTTGACTTTCTGGGAATAAGGGGGGAATGTATCTGTTAATATGAAATAGAGCGACCTCGCGCCCATCGATTCAACATCCGTCCAATGTAAAGCAATATCTAACTTTCCTCTAACCGACAGAGGCTCGAAATAAGGCAGTATATGGCGTGTGGGCATCCCAAAAATGTCGACATTTACTGCCTCAATTTGCATTCATCAGATAATGGCAAAGGATATGGATGTCCCTTAGACAGTATCTATAAAAGGTGGCCTTTTCCCCTCATTCCCCTGCATAACGATTCACAGCTTCAATTCACTTTACATAACACGTTCATACACGCGTAAAAACACATTGCTTTAAGATAAAATGAAAATGCCCCCTATCACCAACACTCGCATTGTTCGAATAAAACTAATCCCTGCTAGAGGAAAGTTTACAACTGATCTTGTCAAGACTGAGACTGTCGAACTTGATATCCAGTTAAATGATGGCGAGATCCTCATCCGCAATCTTTATTTGGCTTTGGATCCATGTAAGCCCCCCATACAGCCCATCAATCATGACCGTGTGGTTCCTAAGTGCTCTTTATTATAAGCAAAATAGTCACATCCTCATATTTTTCATGGATTTCGTGGTACATTTTCACCTTAGTTAATCACTTCTTGTTCGAAGAAGACCCAGGAAGAGTTGAAACCATTGGCCAGTCCGTTACTGGTTACGGCCTTGGAGAGGTCATCGAGCCCAAGAACAGTGCTTTCCTGTCAACTCTATTGTTCAAGGCTTCGCCGTCGGTTGGGAACAGTATTCGTATGTCACCAACCCTAAGGCATCAGGTGTTGTGATTATCCCTGACCCTGCAAGTAACCCTAAAATCCACCCAGCAGAGTACCTTAGTGCTTTAGGAAGTAACGAGCTCACTGCGTACGCAGCTGCAGAAAGAGTCATCAAGTCCGAGAAGGGCCAGGTGGTTTACATTTCTTCCGCCGCTGGGTCTGTGGGCGGGTTTTTTGTCTTCTTGGCTAAGCGTGCGGGAGCATTTGTGATAGCTAGTGCTGGTTCAGATGAAAAAGCCGAGTATTTATTGAAGCACTTGGGAGCAAATGTGGCACTTAACTACAAGACCAGAGACATTGGGATCGAGTTGGATGCTGCATCCACGCCAAGAGGAGGTATCGATGTCTATATCGATCTTGTCGGTGGTGAGACTTTGGATATAGTCTTTAAAAAGATTAAACCAAATGACCATATTGTAGCAATCGGAGCCATCTCGTCTGTAGGCACAGAGACCCCCTATGGCTACCACAACTTTGGGCAAATCGTTATAAAAGCCATTAATATCGAGGGGTTCAATGTGCTTCAGCATTTGGATTTGTATCCTCAATTATGGAAGGAGATTGGGCCTTTGATCGCCAGCGGTGAGTTCAAGGGCCAGAAGTTGACAGTCCTCAAAGCACTGGACAATGTTCCTCAGAATATGAGGATTATTTGAACGGAAAGTACCATGATAAAATTGTTGTTGAGGTTGCCGCTTCATAAATGAAGAGGCAGTGGTGTAATCTTCCAAGCAAATAAAAAACTTTTTTTTTTTTTTGCCTCATTTAAGAACAGTAACAATGTAATATAATATTTTGCATTTCGACAGAGGAGTCAACTGAAATGGCAGTCTTTGACTACCAAGTGTGTAGTAATAGTAAATAAGGTACTTTTTAGAGGATGGGGGAAAGCACCACGCACAGAGTGTCAGCCCTGAAGGATTTGCCAGCTTTTACTTCAAGTAGCCAAACCAAGTACCTGATTAAGTAAAAAAAGACTATCCTGACCTGAAGCCTGCTTTCAAGTAGAATATGGCTATGAACCAGATGTGATTCTCTCCTTGTTACATGCTTTTACAATCATCTTCTCAGGTCTAGAAATAAAAAAAAAGGGAAATGTGTTTATAGCGCTTTGTATCGCTTGAACCGCAAAGGTTTAACGAACAAAGTTATCGCCCATATCCTACTGGCATAGATAAGATATAGACAAACTAATGTTGATGTTGACAGCGTAGGAGAAGGTGTATCTAAGATAGAGGCAACTGCAAGCATGGGCTCACGAGAAAAGGCAAAAAGCAGCTTACTCAGTTACAAAGTGTATGTACTGCTTTCAACGGGAATACACGAATCGTACCGGCGCTCGTGTAGTCCAAGCTTAATTGACCCTCAAGGATGGAGCGTTTCCATATACCCACATAATACTCGAGATCATCAACCTAGATATTCAGTTGAATAATAGTGAAATCCTCCTTCCTATCCTCTAACAGGCCCTTTATATGTATCGACTGCCATCGTAAGAAGAATCCCTATGAATCAGCTTATACTTAAGTCGAGACGCTGAGTGAAGCTTAAGACAAAATCTGTAATGGAACATTAATCATGTTAGTATGCGCTCCATTTCACCTACATCTATCTCAACCACACATCATCCTATATATTCCTTTTAGTCATTCGATATTCGTTTGAAGAAGTCCTTAGAAGGGCTGAGACAAATAGCCAAATTGAAGAAGTGATAGAGTCCGAGAATAGAAGGTCTCTTATCAATTCCAAGGAATTAAGTTTCAGTATTAGATGGGAGCAATCTGACCCAAACTCAACTACAAGGCAATTTTGCCATTCCTAGTTCACATCAAAGCTCAAAGTCTCTTCAGATAGAATATATGAATGATCTCAGGCATGGCAGATTTGGTGCCTATGTGGTCGTCGAGACACTAATTAGCTTCAAGAAAAGCCGATAGGTCTTGATCTCTGCTATAATCTCTATTGGTTCATTAGTTACTGTCTTGAGAGTGTAGAAGTCGGAAGGTGGTGGTATCAATGTAGATAATGTTGAGGGCGAGATGTTGGATATTGCATTGGAGGGATTGAAAGCGAATGGAGAAGTGGTTATGGCTGTTAGTTTTCCAACTGTGGCTGCGAAGATGCCATGTACAACCAGGAAACTTGACTAAAGGGATTGACTAATTCAGGGGGCTCAAGCTTTCGCGCAACTGGCTCTGTTCCTTCGGCTGTAGGATGAGGTTGGATCGTTGATTGCTGGAAGAGCTCGAGATTGGAACAGAGAGTTATCCAGAGTGTAGGCAGAAACGCGATCTGTTGTGACTGCACTGCTTAAATGCTCCTGTTTACGCGCCAGACATGAACAACAGAGCAGAGAGAAAGAAGGAGCAAATGGTTTTATTAAACTTCATCCTCATTCTCTTTTGATTCCTTTTCTTTTTTTTTTATTCCTTCTTAAACATAAATATTATAAAAAACCAACTTAGTTTCTATCATTCTTTCTGTTTGTAAATATTAATAACGACTCTCTAAACTGCATCGTTTTAAACACAACGCTTTTTTTTTTTTTTTTTTGTTAATCTTCTCGGCTTGTGCTTCAACGTTTCAGTATTTTTGTTTATGTCCATATCTATGTCTGCATAGTATCAGGCCAGCCATCACACCATCACACCATCACTCTCCTCTCACCATCCAAAATATTCAATATACTGTATTAATACGAAGAAGCAGCAATGACCCCTGAGGAGCTTGCAGCTCTGTTCAAACGTCGAGGGGACTTTGACAACACCCGCAAAAACCTCTTTAACGAATTCCAAAATAGTGTATGTGTCCTTCATCTGATGCGAACAGTTGATGATACTGAAGTGAGCGATACGACAATCCATGCGCGACTCAAAAAATAATAATAATAATAATAATAATAATAACATGCATTAAATTTGCTACTTATTCGTTCAATGCAGGCCGTTGGGAAGCAATTCACAAAGCAGCTTAGCGACATTATTCAGAAATGTGTAGATGAAGATCCTGGATTGTTACGACGGGAAAAGTCAGAGTTCCATCAACTTATGGTTGAACGCATTACAAAGTAAATATCTCACTTCTTATGAGCCACATGTGCTAAGCATGGTAAATACCTTACGCAAAGGACAACACGTAGGCAAAACAGGACTTTAACCAGCTAAAAAAAACGTTTAAATAGATCTTCTGAATATAAGAAGGTTCATCAGTTCGCAGACTCACAACTTCAGCCTTCGCAATATATGGGCAAAATTGAAAGGACGCTTATGACTATTGTCAAGGAACAGGCACCACCAACACCAGGTATTCCCTCCCTTTTTTTATTTGTTTATATACACCATTTAATATTGCATGTTCTTTAAAATCAAAATAACTAATCTAGTTTATATCATATAGAAAAAGAAGCAACGATAGATCAAGACAAGCATAAAGCTAAAGAAAACAATAAGGGAAAGGAAAAGGATAAAGACACAGATAGAGAGAAGGATAGAGACAAGGAAAAGGAGAGGGATCAAAAGAGCACCAAAAAGAATCACGTCGCTGGCACGACAAATATCAAAGAGGAAGCGGGATCGCCTTTGTCATCACAATCATCAACCTTCAACTCAAAACAGGAGTCTAGTCCATATAAAAAACTGCCATTGCCTCTACCACCAACACCCTCCATCAAGAAGGAGGACTCTAATAATAGGCCGCGTTATAAAGATCATCGGGCCCTCAGGAGGGAACTGGATCTTAGTTTGCCGCCACGCCCACAACCAAAGAAGAAAGAGCCATCCACAGCTGGTACCCACACCCCTGCTACTACCATTATTGGAAGCAATACCACACTTGCCGTCGCCACACATGATACCAAAAAGGAAATCGGTTCCAAAGTTCCAGGACTCTCATCTGATGCTTCTCACCCATCAATATCGAAGCAACCCTCTATAGAATCGCCAAAACAAGGGCACGCTGAAAAAACACAACCAAATGGGATGGATACAGCCAGTGATAGTCTTAATATTATGACAAATGGAGATATCAACAACATTGCCAACTCAGCAACCAAGGAGGGTATAGATACTGAGAGTGAAAATGTCCCTACCACAGACTCCGCAATATCAGCAGTTTCATCCACTATTACAGTAATACCGAAGAAGAGGAATAGACGACGTAGTGTCGCCTCTAATTCATCGTTATCGAGTCCACCATCCAGCTCTGGACCAGAATCCGATGGCGAAGGCGGTGAGAGACGAGGCAGCAGAGCTAAGAAGTTGGCAAAGAAAGCCCCTAGGGAGCATGATAGTAACGAGGCCGCCGGCGATAGCACTGCAACTGCTGCAGCAGTAGGCGACGATCGGAATACTGTAAAGCGTCATAGCTCTATGGAAAATGTTGAACCGAGCGCTTCTGCAGTAGACTCTGAGGATACCGGAGCATCACTAAATAGTATGGACATCGTAGAGGACCCTTTGGCTTCTATCGATGCGGCTGAAGCCAAAGCTTTGAAGCCAGATAATTCAAAAGGCGACTCCAACACCGAGACAGACGAAGGTATCGATATCAAGAGGAATGAAGATTTCAAGAATAGGCCAATCTTGACCAAAGATAAAGATAAGATTGAGGCGGGCACAACGACCGAAGTAGAAAGCAGCATGGATGTAGATGAAGACCCCCCTACGACGAATGGTGGTGCTAAAGAGATAACGCCTGCGATGTCAGGCAATTCTGGTACTAATGAATCGATTGCACAATCAGAGTGCAAAGCGGATATATCGAATAGTGATAGCCAAAAGGAATCGACACCAAACATTTCTCTCAAATCACCTGTCATACCTGCCACAGGTCTCTCCCTACATAATACTCGATCGAGCCCGTCACCTTCATCGTCCTCAACCCCAGTGTCTAACCGAAACTCTCCTGCTATTACGGGAGTCAGCAGCAATAGTAGTCGGAAAAAGGAATCAGAGACGACTGACAATAAAAAACCGCTAAACAGTAGTAGCCATAGCCATTCCCATGGACACCATGGCTCCCACAATTCGAAGCGTTCTGGACACCATCATCAACCATTACCACAACGTCCTGCTATTGTCCCTTTACCGCCTAAACCAACAGTCCATGCTTCAAATCGAAGAACCAGCAATCACGCTCGTGACGGCCCCTCAGCAACTACGACAGGGACGGGGCCATCTTCATCGCACGGAAGCAAGCCGAGCGTCGGGGAAAGCGCAAGTAATGGAAGCCTTAAGTCTGGGTTCTCATCACCCTCTTCTAGTCTCCCAGTATTATCGATTTCGGGCCATCACAAGTCAGCTCCAGTTACTAGTCCTACAAGTAGTAGTAATTCTGTTACTTCAGTAGTAAGCTCTGGCACTTCTGGGGCATCGCCCTCGACAATGACGGCAAAACAAGATAAAAATGCAACCGTAATACCCCCACCAACTACCCATGTTACGACACTATCATCGTCATCATCATTACCAACTTCATCTTCAGCAACCTCAATAGCCAAGCCAAAGCCCCATGTTAGGACTCCTATCCCACTTCCTCATAAGCCTATCCCACTTCCTCCGAAACCCAATGTTGCAGCAGGTTCAGGATCCATAAAGAAAAAGCACAAGTAAAATAATACAATATATATATGTATATGTAGTGTCCTATTATGTATTGTGTAATTTGGTTTGTTTTGGTAACCAACCAAATAAAAGTAAAAATAAAAAGCGGGCACTGGTATCTCTCCTTGATTTGTTTTTATTTTTCTACCCTTGTTCTACATAGATCTAGGGATATTTCTCCATGATCCCTTTTTATGATGCCATGATTTCATTGTAAACGCGCTGATCCTGTTGCATTTTTTCTACGATCCTGAATTTGTTCTCGTAAAACCGCTGTAACTCTGGATTATGGATGGGTTCAATAATATCCAAGGCCTCTGTCAGTCGCGTCATGGCATCCCATAACATACCTTGCATGTTAGCCTCTGGTCCTCTCTGTTGGGATTCATAAGCGACAGCACCACAAACTGCAGCGCCCACGACTACAGCGGCATCCCCTCCACTTCCTGGCAAAACTACGGGCATCTGCATGATATCAGCAAGGACCTTAACAAAGACCCTATTCATCGATAACCCTCCAGAGATGCAAATTGTCTCAATAACATAGCCCGCTTTCCTTAGAGCGTCCAAAATCTGTCGTGTGCCCAAGGCCAGTGCCTGGACCGTAGCCAGATAAAGTGCAGCAAGACCATCAATGGTGTAATTGCTGTTCAAATCTAATCCAGAGATAAGGCCTCGCATGGTTTCATCTGCAAAAGGTGATCGGTTGCCATGATGATCCGGGGTCATATGAAGCCGCTTAGTGAGAAAGGCGATATCAGGTAGTGATTGCTTTTGTGCCAAAGATTCGAGATGTTGATTGAGGTATTCGTAGACGGACACTTCTTTCTGAAGACTGCCTGATAAGGCTTTGGCTTTTTCTAATGCCTCATTGTAAGCTGGATGCGATTTGGTGAGATGGTCAATTAACTGACCTGTAGAAGATTGCCCTCCTTCCGCAACCCACATGTCTGGTAACATGACTCCATGGAATGGACCCCATACTCCTAAAAATAAAATAAAAAAACTGGAATGTCAGTGAGATTATAGAGCCATTTCAAAAAAAAAAAAAAAAAAAAAAAAAAAAAGCCTCTGCTTTGACTTTTCAATTTTCGGTACCTGGAACAAAGATGGGCCTATCGCTCATGACGAGGTAACAGGATGATGTTCCACAGATCGAAGAAATCCGCTTACTGGCTTCGTCAACAGTTGCTTGCCGCCCATTCAATTTTGCTCCCAGAGTACCAATAGCACCCGCATAAGCATCAATAACGGCACCCCCAACAGCAGTCCCTGGAACCAGGCCTAGCTCCTTAGCTGCTTGTTCACTTAGCCCACCAATATGCTCGCCTGCAAAGTGGACTTGCTTGCCTCCAGAATTGCCAACACCACATAACTTCTGAAAGTCGTCATCTGCAATGTCGCCCAACCCAATTTGTTGCAAGAACTCCACGGGCCAGCCCTGATGAATTGCTTTATCCCCATCGTCACTACTCTTATTAGCACCAACTTCAGGGCCAGCTTTGTAGCACCATTTACAAACAACAGAGCATCGACTAGGGAGATAGTCGCCCGTCGCCTTCCAAGTTAAAAAGTCAGGCAAGTCAAACAATCGTCCAATGGATTGCCATTGTTCCTTGGACATATTGTCCTTGAGCCATAGAGTTTTGGGTAACTCCATCTCTAAACTCATGGTCCCACCAATATTTTTGAGAATCTCATGTTGAGTTTCCGTAATACGAATTGCCTGTTCTTTTGCACGATGATCACACCACATGATGATGTTTCGGCTATGGTCTTCAAAGTTAGAACTAGGGGAGATAGATACCGGACGCGCAGTCTCGGGCGTGCCTGAAGTATAAGCTACTAAGGAACAAGTCGCATCAAACCCAATGCCTCTGACCTGTGAAGGATCAACTTTTGATGAAGCCAAGGCAGCTTTGACAGATGTACAGATTGATGTCCATATCTCTTCACTAGATTGTTCAAAATAGTCTGGTGCTGGACGAGAGGTTGAGAAGGGGGTGGAATGAATCGCAAGGAGACGACCTTCTGAAGTGATGAGGGCAGCTCTAGCTGAACCAGAGCCAACGTCCACTCCAAGAAAGACGGTATTATTACTGTTACTTCTGTTGCTGGTCGATTGCATCTTCCTTCCAAGTGACCTAACCTGAGACGCGTGATGTGTATGCGTGTTTATTAAACAAGAGCTTTAAACAGAAGCAAGGCAAAAAGGGGTTTCTGCATTACTGCACTCCCTGACGTGACTTGTTGCCATAAGTGGAGGAATGAATGAATGTCTAGGACTAGAAAAAAAACCAGCTCTTTTCTCTCTCTCTCTCTCTCTCTCTCTCTCTCTCTCTCTTTGTACAGGAACAAAGCACAATCAATTCACACTATTCCCTTGTCAATTCTTTAACGAACATGGCAGACAATCCAGCGCAAGATTCAATCACTATGGCTCAGCTGAAGCAGTTCGTGAGCACACTGCCCTCAAAGCAGAAGGTTAGACTCACGTACCTCCTATCATCTTAAGGCATTGGTAAACTGTAGTGTTCAACAAAGGTTTACTGAGCTTTTTTCTATTTCTTTTTCACTTTTATTATAATAACAAGCTTGAACCAGTGCATTTTCACTACGCGGACATGGACACACCTTCGGCTGAGATTGACGAGTTTTATGGCTACACAGAAATTCAACAGTTTCTTGAAAATCAAGAAAACTTTCTGAAAAATTACGATGGAGGTAAAAAGAATATAAAGAGTACAATTGAATAAGGAAGAGACGTCGTAGAAGAGAAGAAACCTCTATGTAATTGTATATGGCTTGACAGAGAAATCCTTTATCCTGCTCGCTAGTCTGGCAAAAGAGCTCTGTGTCTGAAAGAGAGGCCTACGCAGAATATTTGCTGGATTTTTTGGATCAAAAAGATGATGCTAGTCGACTTTCCGTTGCTCAACAGCTGATCTACATCTCTCAAGGTAATCATAAAAATCTTGTTAAAGAAAAAGAAAAGGAAGAAAAAAATCCTAACAGGTCATTGCTTTTTTTCTTGGTTCTTATGTTAGGGGCCTATTCTGGCGTGGCAAATGAAGATGACCACAGGGACTGGATCATCAAAAACAACCAAATGTTACGGAAGCTCGGCGCATTTCAAATCTACTACGACGCACTCAGGATTGCATGCTCCAAGTAAATGGAACAGGTTAATAATGAAATTTATCCACAAAGCAAAGTTTTAATAACCGAGGAGTGGACGCTGAGTGGCTGTGTTTCTTGCTTTCTGCCATCTTAGATTGGCGAACGATCCAGGGATTGTTGTTGAAATTGAAGCATTGGTTACACTACTTTACATGCTTGTGGTGTCGCATGAGGAAGATTCAGAGTTTATGGGCGAATTAGGTAAGGTTATAAGTAGTCTCCATAATTCATATCATTCTATTATGAAAGCTATAATAAAAGACTCTAACCAAACAAGATGGTCTTTTGGTTTTACTGACTCCATCCAACCTTTCTAGCAACTACAAATCCCTCCATAACCGTGTTCTTATACGACCAGATATGTGTCCGCCCTGCAAAAGATCAATATTACCCACTAAAAAAGGTAAAGTGGGTGAACCAGTCGTCTTGAAGGGATTGAGAAATGAAAGAAGACATACACTAATGCATATGTAGGTTTTGTGCAATATCGTTTCAGATGCTTCTGCTTCTTTGGAAAGTTCTACGAACTACCCTTGGAGGAACTGATGATTTCCCAATGCTAAAGAGCGCTGCTCGCAGGATGATGGGCTACCCACCTATACTTGCTAGCAGTATAATAGCTCAAAAGTCTGATCCACTCGATTATCTGGAGTACCAGTCCGAAATGAGCCAAAAGTACCCAGCCTATATACCCACAACTACTTCTCGCTGCGGTAGCTGCCCTTCACTCCCCATTTCGACAATTGCTAATGTTTTGCAGGCAAAAACATTGACTGGCGTCGCAGGAGGAGGCGCCAATATCACTAGCTCTCAAACTACAAAGACTGGAGGATTAGGAACAGGATCTACAGGGAAATCAGGGAAAGGAATAGGGAACGGTCCTGGTGGAGCAAATGGAACGCAACCCTTTATATTTCCATCTTCGTCCATGAGAAGCTCGACTCCGAAATCAATTATAGAAGCAGAGGAGCTATTCAAAAGAAACATGTACATTTCCACTGCAACCTTGCAGATATATCACGAAAAGAAATTAATGACAGATAGACGATATAGATCTGCGAACGATGCAGAAGACCAGGATTCAGGGAGAGCGCTAGAGTACAGACAACCAGCTTCCGTTCGAAACAAGCCCAGGCGAAGAAGCTTGATGCGCAAATCGAATGGAAACGGTAACCAGGGCGATGATGAAGCTGAAGATGCTAGTAATGAGGAAGAGGAGGCATCAGATGATGATGGCTATCCAAAGCCGAGTATCAAGTTGGATGACGCGGGCAATAACATCCAGCCTGTGAGCGACAAAGAGAGGGAACGTATCGAGCGCATCGAGCACATCTACGTAAGTTTTTGATCTCAAGGAGTTTTCATGTTCTGTTTTGACTGGGTACCAAACAATTTGGGAATTTTTTGACAAATGGCCAAACCGCTCGTTCTATTAGAGAGAAATTGTACCAAGGATGGCTCAGATCCAGGTTACATTGTTAAAGACGCTACTGGTATGCATCAAAATAAGTGGGGCATCCTCGGGCAGGGAAGCATCGTCTGCTGCAGAGACAGAGGGCAAGGAGCCTACTGATTCATTCACCAGAGTCAACGACATTCGCGAACACGAAATCATGGCCAAAGCTGTCTCAAGCATTCTCCTTCTTCAGCTTCAACATTTCAAGATTTATCATGTTTTGGCTTTTAATTATGTTTGTCAACTTTTGGTTGATTCGAATTGTTTGCTTTTATTGCTCAAGATTTTCGGAAACGCCGAAAATCCAGGAAATATTCATACAAAAAATGAGCTTGAAGAGTACAACTTTTTCAAGTATTGCTCCATCCTTCGGGAGACTACTTCATCATCGGTGTCAAACCCCGAGCAGGCTCGAACGGCGATACTTATGGCAGCGGTTTCCGACATTGGGGACCCTTTACCAGTTAACTATGTTTGTAGACGTAACATGTTTGCAATCATCAACTTGCTACGCGTGTTACAAAAATTGACCAAGAACAAGACGCATCGGATCTTGCTCTTGGTCCAGTACAAATCCTCGGCCATTCTGAAGCGTTTGTTGAAAATCAATCATCCAGATCTTCAGAAATACGTATACAAAGCACTGAAGAGCCAAGTGCCATTCTTAGGTCGTAAATGGCGGTCATCTCATATGAAAGTCATTACAGGAATTTACATCTACTGTCGTTCGAATCTAAGGGACGATTGGATTTCGGGCGCGGATGTGGAAAAGGATTTGGAGGATGCGCTTCCTGCGGAACAGCAGCTGCGGAATATGATTCGGCATTACCACGACCGCTTGCATCCAAATGCATTGGTACCTGACCCAGGAGCACAGGCAAAGAACGGCAAGAATAACAACGGAAGCAGTCAGTATTCCGGACCCAAGTATGACTGGCAGGAGATTTACGAGGCACATGCGTCTATCCCAGATGCAGGAGCTATTGACCACTGTACCAGCAATGGGTCGAGATCAGATGGCGAGGATAGCGTCAAGAGTGGACATAGCAGCCGAAGTAATAGCACCAGCGCGTCTTCGTTAGGTTCAGAGCGGAAACGAGATCTGACCATGAGTGACATTGAGCTGGATGCTGGATTTGAAGAAAATTATGAAGAATGGCTCGAGGCAGAAGTCTTTGGCAAGAAGAATACGCCAAGTTTGTTGGAACCACCCAACTTCAAGTATAGCGATTATTATGATGATAAAACTGATATTCCGTTCCTCAGCAAACCTGGAGATGGATCAGGCTGGGATACCCCTGCAGTAATGCCTTCGGATGACGAGGATTTTTATGGAAGTGCTTTCAGCTTTAGGAAATGGGAGGATGAAGAGCTCTTCAAGCAAATCGACTGGACACCCAACTTGTACGGGATGGATGCCTCAACAGAGCAGCAGTATTATCTGGATCATGTCTCAGATTTCTCTCAGAGCGAAATCTATTACAACTATGATTATAAATATGGTTATGAGGACGGTGGAGTGGATGCAGACACTGGCGTTGACATTGCAACAAGTCAAGGAACAGAGGGCTCGGGTGGCAGCAATAGTGTTGGTAGAAATAGTGTGGGTAGAAAAGGACTAGGGATGCGACGCCGCTCACAGTCGTTGCGAGTTCGAAAGTCAGAGGTTGGTGATACAGAATGGATTGATGATGATGCCCAAGAGGAGGTTATGCATGCCTATGGCCCATCACCTGCGACTCACATGTTAGATCAGCCTGATCCTGACTTTACTGATGCGTATGATCCATACGAGCCATGATACTCCACCCCTCGCCAATTGATTAAGATAAAAATAACAATAAAAAAACACTAGCCATCGGATAAGAACATAGGATCAAGGTTGGAAAATATAACAATCTGATTAATGTACAATGCTGTGGCCATACAGATATTATATTGTGCTTCACAACGGCTATTATAGTTTCTCCATTCCTTCATGCACTCTTTTCTTTACTGAAAGTGTGCGTAGTTATCACAACATCTTCCGGAAGCTTTGGGGCCTTCTTCCTTCTGTTTGCTCCTCCAACAGCTGATGAAGCATGCCGCGAGTATAAATATGCTTCACAGGCCACAATCAATATGAACGCTGCGAATGCCAATAAAACACGCTTTGTAAACGAGAAAGAAAAAAAAAATGTAAGTAACAGCTACCAAGTTCAGACAAAATAAATAGACAAGTTGAGGTAGTATATTACTAGATGGAAGAAGCCCCTTACCATTCCCAGGTCCTCAGTAAAGTGCGCCGATATCATGAAGACTGCTGTGAAGACTGCAGCACCCGTGTAGAGAACATTTACAATCCCGATAGCATGTGCCTTGATGTCCTTCATATCCTTGATGTCTTGCCGAATATTGTTGGCGATAGAGGTGGACGATGTAGGGTCAACGCAAGAGATCATGCGTTGGTACTCTTTCTCAGCCGCCTGAGCTCTGAAAGTGTCCATAAGTCGCTCTAACTCAGGAGTCTTGTGGATATAAACGAAAAGATGATTGATAAGTCTTTAAAGAGGTGCAAACTCTGGATGAGTTCCAGTAGTATCCTGGAATGCTTTTTTTTCTATGCTCACAGCCATACCCGCTCTCTAGGCGCTGCCTTGGGAACATATATGGAGCTCCCTTTGATCATGGTATGGATCCAATCCTCTGATGCCTCTATTTTATTTGCCAAAACAAAAGAAACAAATCAGCTTCAAAATAAGCCAAAAAAAAAGAAAAAAAAAAAAAAAGTCCATTTGTTTGTAGCCTAACCTTTCTCTGTGTCTGTATCGTTGTCTCTATACTTCAAGAGTAGCGCAGAAACTCTCCTAACCAGTTCCAAATCAACGTATAGCGGCGACTGTGTTTTTGCGTTATCTAAAATGGATTCTACAGCCTTGACTGTCTTGAGTTCCGCACTATTCAATGTTATTCCTGATTCCCTCTCTTCTATTACTGCTGCTGCTGACTTTGTCTTGGTATAGAGCTTCGTAAAAGCCTTGTCAAGGCGTGGTGTCCATTCTAAATTCACCATTTTCTCTTAGCAGTTGCTTTTGGCTTTTTTTTTTGCTGTGAATGAAGAACTCAAGTCAGGCGGAGCACCCATGCCTATTTAATCTTCGATTTTGTGGCATCATGTGATTAAGCGATGACTGCAGTCACCTCACAAAGGTGAGGAATTTTATTTCATAATCTCGCCACTATGAAACAAGCGAAACTCTCAAAGTTCGCACGGTATGGCTGTGAAGAGCCAATTCGTATCCATGTTTTTCTCTACCAATGTACACCGTGATCGGTACTCGAAGTCCATCCTTCCGATGTGGCCTGTTGCGCCCGTGAAAAGCCGCGGAGGCTGGCGTGCCGACTCTAGCTTAGGACGACTTTAATTTTTTTCTATTCGATCAAATCCACTGGCATGTGGACCCAAATCTTGCGGGATTGTCTGAAATTTCTACTTTGGACTCCGTCAAACTTTTTGTGATCATCGCTGTCCTAGTCAAGTGGAAAGGTAGGAAGAAAAAAAATTTAACCTCACGTGAGACTTCACAGTGTCTATTCTTAAAGCTTGTTTTGATATGTCAGCGAATGGATCATGGAAATATAACAGCCATTGGATCAGGATGTGTCATGCAGGAGATGTGGGTAGTGTAGAAATCTCATTGGTCCTTTGTCAAACAGGGATCACAAAAAGATCACGCCATCCACTTCCCCAGAAGGACGAATGAGGATTCACGAAGCAAATGAAGAAGATTAAGGTCAAAAGGAATGAAGATTGGAATCTTCAAACGCTCACTCATTCCTTCATTCCTCAGTTTTCACTTTGCTACTCAAACACCTTCTTGCAGAGACACATACTCATTACTTACTTTCCTTATAACAGCCATCAGCAGACAATTATCAATATGCCTTCTAACAATTCTCCCTCAACAGAAGGCAGACATCTTGGAGGTCTTAGTGAGACAAACTGAAGACTTAAATAGTTCTATTGAACATATGGAGGAGGTCAGAAATGGCTTATCTTCAAGCGAGGACATTTCGATTGATAGATCGAGTGTGTCTGAAGCAGATAGTCACCGTATAACGGTGAAATGGGATCCTGCTAATCCCGAACATGACGCACTTCACCGAATCTTCAAAGAAGGGAACATTCCCTTGATGGAAGATTCAGAAGAGGTAGACTATACCAAGGTCAAGAAGAAAACGTTCGCGGATGCGCCTATGCTTGATTTAGACGTGTCCAAGGTTCCCGGCAAGAATATGGTCAAGGAAATAGTAATCAGGATTGTCACTTTCCGTGATGACTTTGAGAGGATATTCCGTCGTAATCTTTCTGATGTTCTTTTCGACAAACTAGCATGGGATTACTTATCCCTCTGCATTTCCAAAGTGTCCGGCCTGGTGCGCGAGACTATGACGACCTCATCAAGAAAGTGCCTCTTCAAGACAGGACCTGGTCTCGGGCAGTTACATGCTTGAACAAAGCTCTACATTCTAGGGGCTTACATCGCTGATATGGCGCTAGTTATGAGGCCTGAGAAGAATGACACCATTAGGTCGTTCGCACAACGATTGCTACCTCTGGTTGAGGCAGCTGGAATCCCAGATGATGGCTGCTATATGCTCATCAAAGCTTTATGCAATCATCTGTCCGACGTAGGATTTCAAGCTGTCATCAAGGAATTCGGCTCAGTGAAAAGTGTTAGCTCTTTGAAGGAGTTTCTAGAGTTCCTAGAAAAGACACCAGGTGCCTTAGGTGAGAAACGAACCGATGACGCCCATTGGTTTATCCAGAAGTATGGAGGAGACGCTGGAGAACAGTATTTGCGATCCATCAAGTCCAGATCGGAATACACTCCTAGAGAGGTTCAGAGATCTAGTCATAAAAGATCTCGACCTAATGCCAATCCGTCAAGTGATAGAGAAGCCAAGAAGGCTAAACCATTCAAGGTCTGGTGTAAGGGAACGGAGAAGTGTAGGTCAAATCCGTACAAACATGCCCCGGAGGACTGTCGCTATGCTAAGGATCAAGTCAGAGAGTATTCTAAGGATAAGCCCAAGGACGTCAAGAGAACTGATGTGCGCAAGCCGCTTGTCTCAGTCAGTGCTTTTAAGAGGATTAGTGATAATGCGCTCATAAGAGACATAATTCCGAATAAAGAATCCTTCTTTTCCTCGTACTCAATTGTTGAGAAAGCTTGTATCAAGCACCTAGGGGCTTTCAAAGGTCCTGCTCCTGGTGATAACAGAATAGCTGTGCCTATATTTATAAATGGGCAACAATATACAGCATTGTTAGATCCAGGCGCCACAACTTCTTTGCTCAGTAAGGAAATAGCCATAGAGCAAGGAAGTAGCCATAGAGCAAGGAAGTAGCCATAGAGCAAGGAAGTAGCCATAAAGCAAGGAAGTAGCCATAGAGCAAGGTATTCGCTATGGTCGAGTACCAGGAGAATCTATAGCAATGATAGAAAAAGGGACTAGCACGGATAATGCCATTACTTGTGAAAGTCCAACTGGTCTGCAACAATAGATCTGGAGAATATCAATTGTCGGTCATGGACATTGAGTATTATGACTTCGTGTTGGGAATGGATCTCTTCGCTAGACTCGGCTTTTCCATCACGGGAATAGCCATGCCGGAGATACGAGAGGAGGAATCCCTATGGGTCCCATATGATGAAAAACCTCAAGTCATTCCGTCACAAACTTCAGAAAGAGAAAACAATGCTGAATTCAAAGCATTGAAAGAAAAGTTCCTGTTAGCACTGGAGCCTTATTTACAGGCGAATGAAGCCATCTCGCCAAATTCATTTTGCAATCTTGATACAATGAAGGTCCAGCTAAAGGTTAAACCCACCTGTATCATCCAGGAAAGATCTCGCCCATTCCATTCGCAAATTGAAAAAGAAGAAGTGGAAAAGACCATCCCGAAGTGGCAAGAAACGGGTGTTATCGTTCCAGCACCTAAGGGGTGTCCGTATAATAACTCCCTGACAATGGCAGCACGCCGTGACCTGGATGGTAATATTCTGAAATATAGAGTATGCCTTGATCCAAGAACGTTGAATCGTCAACTAGAGGATACTGATGTCTTCCCTCTACCATTAATCACTGATATCCAACAGAGGGTAGCAGGGCATCTGTATTTCACCGCAATTGATCTGTCTCAGGCGTATCATCGCATGCCTGTAGAGAAATCAAGCCAACCACTAACTGCATTTACGTACGGTGGTAGCAATATATGTTTGCTAGAGCACCTTTTGGTTTAAAACCCCTCACGAGTATCTTCCAAAGAGGAATGTCACAACTCTTAGATGATCTGCACTTTGCTGACAATTATGTGGATGACATTATTGTCTATTCGCACACAGCAGAGGATCATATTCTTCATGTCAGCATTGTCATAGAAAGGCTTACAGCTGCAAAGTTGATAATCAATAGAGAAAAGAGTAAATTCCTTAGTACAGAAGTGCTACTACTGAGGTTCATAATCAACAAAGAAGGCCGCAAAATAGATATCAACAAGGTTGCTAATGTGCATTCATGGACACCACCTACCAATAAGAAGATGGTTCAACGCTATTTAGGCCTCTTCAATTATTTTAGGGAGTATATACCCTTGTACAGCACGCTCACAGCACCTCTAGATGCCCTGCGCAATGCCAAAGGCACTTTTGATCTTAATAAGGAGCAAATGCGAAGCTTTAACAGCATCAGATCACTTATAGCCCAAGCTCCAGCCTTATCGTTCCCTAATTTCACTCCACAGATGCCTCTAACTTAGGCATAGGAGCTGTCCTATATCAGCTACCAGGTGGCAAGGAAGATGAAATCAAGATCAACTACATATCCTTTCAAGCCAGAGCATTGCATAAGCATGAGAAAAATTACCCAGCTTACAAGAAGGAACTCTTAGCAATTATTTTTGCACTAATGAAATTTCACCATTACCTTTGGGGAAGAAGATTTACATTATATACTGATCACAGACCTCTGACGTATATTCATGAGCAGAAGGAGGGAGTTGCCACAAATAATCCTGAATTGGAAGGCCACTCTGCTCAACTATGATTTTGAATGTATTTATCGTCCAGGCCTGCTGAACATTATTCCAGACGCATTATCTCGCGCATTTCCTGAGGAATTGTGGAAGTCTCCTAAAGAAGAACAAGTTACATGTTCTACGAGTCGGCAGATTGCTTCTATGAGGCGAGAAACAGAGACTACCGAGAATGTTCAGGCAGCTCCACAGTCATCTGATTCGCAGCAGCTGCCTTCCACTCTACACGTTATTGATATAACTGCTCCTTACTCTCATCAACTTCAGTTGGAGGATGCTTCTAGAAAAATCATCCAAGATCCTGAAGGAAAGCTTCAGCATCTTCGCCTAGCACACGAATTCGGTCATCCTGGAGGAAATGCCATGGTTACTGCTACCCATGCTAAAGACTTTACTTGGCCTAAATTGAGAGATGGTTGTCTCAAATGGGTTAGCCAATGTGGACCATGCCAAAGATTCAACATAGCTAGAAAGGGGTATCATCCTTTAACTGCCATACATGCCAGACTCCCAGGGGAACACATAGCATTCGATTTAGCCTCATTTGAAACCAGTTCCAGAGGTAATAACTACGCTTTAGTGGTGGCTGATATCTGCACAAGATTTGTATTCCTGGAGCCTCTGCCTGATAAGGAAGCCATTACGGTGGGCAGCACCCTCTTCAAGCTATTCTTCTCTATTGGATTCCCTAAAATTATCCAAACTGATAATGGCACTGAATTCGTCAATGGAGTGTCACGTCTCATAACGCAAAGTTGCAAATAGAGCATAGACTCTCCACGTCATATCGTCCATGCTCGAATGGTGTAGCGGAGAGGTTTGCCCGCACATTTAAGAACATCCTCAGAAAACAACTCGAAGGCATACAGGATGATTGGGACATCCATCTTCCAATGGTTCAGCTCCAAATGAATACTAGAGTCGCGAGTCTGCATCATTCAACGCCATTCTCATTATTCTATGGACGCTCATTTGCAGGACTAACGGATTTTTCCTCAGCCGAGTCACATCTCCTGTCTGAAGAAGAATTACAGAACAGATTGGAATATCTCACCGCGTTAGTTTTCCCTGCTATCGATGATAAGAGTTCTGACACGCAAAAGAGAATGGTGGAGAAATTCAACAGGACACATAAAATCCTTCAGTTCCCACCTGGAGCGTTTGTCATGGCGAAAGAAGAATTGCCCAATGGTAAATTAGCACCTAAATACCAAGGCCCATACAAAGTAGTGGCTCGTACCGAAAATGGTGCCTACACTCTGCTAGACGCTACCAACCAGAAATTGGCTCGTAATTATGCTCCGAGCCAGCTCAAAATGGTCACTCAAGCTCTTGATGCTCCCAGTGAAGAGTCGTATGAAATAGAGTCTATCGTTGACCACGAACTCACGGGAAAAGGAATGATGTATACTGTAAAGTGGAAGGGCTATGACTCCTCATACAACGAGCAAATTCCCTATGAGAATTTTGACTCGGACATCATCATTCGTCAATATTGGAAGAACCTAAGACAGCAAAATCCTCATATTAATGACAGAAAGAGGAAGAAGCAGCAAAAGAATAACGCATCAGAGTCAACAAGACTTCTTAAGAGGAAGCAGAGACAACTCACCCATAACCAGACCAAACGGCACAAGCGTCATGTAGCGGCAAAGCTGTAAAGTGCAGAGAGCTGTTATATTAGTAGGGTTGAGATAACTGGAGTTTTTGTACAAATAAGTTTTCTCCAGTATGAAGAAAAGAGAGCACACACTCGTCCTCATTTCAATATTTTTTTTTTTTTTTGCAACAGTCAATAAATTTCAATTCAGCAACCATCAACTCTATTCTTTCCCTTGCAGCATGTGCAACTAGCAACTGGATGTGATGGCGACAGAGAGTTAAGAGAATCTACAACTTTCTCTACCCGTATGCGCATAGTCTTATACTTCTCTGATTGCTTGCGCAACTTAGTATACGTCTTGTAGAGGCGTTCATACCTCTTAGCCCATGCGAATTCTCTTTGGAGGCGGCTCTTCGCGGAATCATCGCCACTCTCCGCTATCAAACGGCTTCTCTTCCCGAGAGTCGTGCACACTCCACAGCTTGACAATTCTGCTTTCAACAACAAGAAGTTTTTCTTATTTTTCCTCAAGGCCTTTAGACAAGACGCCAAAAACCCTACATAAAATTTGGGGGGAGTTGTTACGTCCCGAGGCTAGGGAGTGTACCCAAATGGAGCACTCCCCTTTTTATTCATAGATCAGAGCAGTTAGTGAACAACTTTTGATCTCCTTGACTTCCGACTTACCATAAAATATTTCAAATTCTATTCACCAATAGGAGCTTCTATCCCCGAGCTTGAACATGCCTCAGGAGAGAGGTGGAGCTGTGGATAATGAGATCTTCAAAAATGCTCTATTAGGGGAAATTAAGGATCTTTATTTTTTCTTTTTGAAAGTTATAACTAATGCCACAGTGTCAGAGACAGAAACGCTTGTACTTATGGGTCGTGCACTTATAGGTTGTGCACTTATAGAAAGACTTTTAAGAATAAATAATTTACTAAAACCAATAATGACAGCAAAGTCGCCCAGAGGAAGAGCGCTGGGCTCATAACCCAGAGGTCGGTGGATCGAAACCACCCTTTGCTACAACTTTTGTCAGTACTTTTTCATTATCTTCTTGATAGCATTGTTAGTCGCTTTTTTTTTTTTTTTTTTTTTTTTTTCCTGGTGATCTTTTTTCTTATCTCCATTATATTTATTTATAAGTTTGTCTTGAAGCTGAAAAATCTATCTAGTCCTTTTCTTCTTTTGATGCGTGTCCAAGGTGGTGCACATGGCTCATTTGTCCGATGGCCAAGATAGGAATCTTACAAAACCTCTAAGCTCTAACGATATATGACCAAAACACGGTATTGGATGACAAAGCATGCGATTGCAGAATAGTGCCTTGAACGATCTTGTATATATTCATTAAAAAGTTGGACTCCAAATCATATAAAGTCTCTATATTTTTTGAATTAAAATAAATAGATATTAGTTGGTCAAGTGCGCTGTTATGCTGTGCATTTTTATGCGTATAATACATTAATACATTTGTATATAATTGCTCAAAAGTCAAAACTAAACGCGAATCGAGAATAAATAATAATAAAGATAGAGACTGAATTGGAGAAGTTTCTACTTTAACAAAAAAGAAGGCAGAAGGCAACGGAAATTATATAACGCATCGAATCTTATTATGCGCTTAACAAAGACTAAAAAGAATTGGAGTTGTACCAATGTGGGGTTTGGAGCAAGTACACGTTGACAATTGGCTATTGTTTTTTTTTTTTTTTTTTTTTTTTTTTTTTTTTAAAAAAAAAAACAACTATAAAAGATAATGTTTCTTGAGCATTCGGAATTTTCTATCTCTTTCTTCTTTCCCCCACATCACACTCCTCAATCGACTTAATTTCCTCTTCCCTCGACAGACGTTTCATCATTTAAAATGGTATGTCAAACAACACTTTGTTCTATTCATAAAGCATAGAAGAGTGCTGAAGGTTCCTTATTATTTTATTTATTAATATAATATATATGAATGTACATGTACATTCGCTTTTTTTTTTTTAAAAAAAAAAAAAAAAAAAAAAATGAAGGCAACACCACAGCAAAATATCAATTTTACACCAGAGGAACTCGCTAAGTTTAAGGAGGCATTCACATCATACGACAAGGACAAGAACGGTCGCATTGCGACGGACGAGCTCAAGCAGCTTGCTGCATCTGTAGGCCAAGAAGCAAGTGATGAGGAGCTGGGCTTTGTAATCAAGGCATTTGATACCAATGGGGATGGCGAACTCGACTTTGATGAATTCCTGGGTCTCCTAGCAACACTTCGCTCAGCATCACGCGACTTTTAAAAAAAAAAAAATACAAATACGTGGCCTGAATGGTCGATGACAAAATGAGATGTAGCAATAAAGAAACATGGTAGTGGGTTACTCTGATTGATTTCTTGATATCCTGGACGACTTTCTGTACTGTGGACACGTTTACATGTTATTGCCGTTATCGTGCTTTACTTTTTCCTTCCCACCCTTTCCACCCTTTTCACCTGATTTATCACGCAGCCTTGCAATTGTGGTACTTATGGGAGCCTTTTGATGACGACATTGACCTGAAGCGGAATCAGGGCTCTTCTGAGACAGGCACAGCGGGATGACAGGGTGAAATTGCAGTTTTATTGTCATTTCGAGTATCCTATTTATATTTTACGTCCTAAATTGAAGCAGAGCAGGGTAATTTTTTTATGATCGGACTCGGCTGTTGCACTTTTTTGCTTTTGTCGTCATTGGAAGGGAATGGGAATAAAAGACTCTTAGGCGGATAAATTATAGTATCATGTCTTTCTTCCCTCTCTCTTTCTCTCTTGGCAACAACTTACTCCATCCATAATACATCAGTGGCCTTCATTTCTTCAATTAACATCTCAACAGCAGAAAGTAGCTGAATTCACAACAAACAAGTGGAGCCAGAATGCCTTCTATTGAAAAAAAGTATAATGACTGGCGTACAGAGTATGTGCGTGCCTGGGTGACATGTTTTACATTGATTACAACAAAAAAGGCGAAGTTGAACAAAAGAATGCAATTACTTGTTCTGAAGGTAACTAAATAGAAAAAGCGAAAAGTAAAATTAACCTTTGCAATTATTCCTCTCTCCCTAACATTTTTTTTTCTTTTTTTTTTTTTTGCTCTTGGGAATAATAATTAAAAGCCATTGGATATGGAATGCTAATATCTGTTCTAATGCGCAATCAGCAGGATTTTGATGGACTCTTGCGCTGGTTCCTTCACTTAAAAACGCCAATGGGCTTTGTGCATGGCAGCAGATTGATGATAAGCATCACCGTACTTACAAAAACGCTCCAGAAGGAGGCGAAAAACTCTGCGACCGATGGCGACATTGACATTGCCACGTCATTATTCTACGCCGCTAAAGTTTGGGGTCGCTCTCCCTTGTGGGCGCTATGATTATCGTCAGATTGCCATTCCCCTCTGTAAGGCGATCTGGGACCACGAAATCAACCATTATACATTCATGCCTACATTGGGAGATTGGGTCAAAGTGCCTGAGCCACCCAAGGTGTCTGCATTTGGTTATTCAGGCGGTGCCTCAGTTGGAGAGGAAAATGCATACGCCAGAAGTAACACGGCCCTCAGACTTTATTCTGTCAGGATTCCTAACCTTCTATAATGAGGACCCCGAGCGTTCACCACAATGGGCTAAAGTCATGGATGCTATCATCACAAATGTACAACATCAATTAAGCCTGAATCCTACTGGCCTGATTGCAGACTTTTTAAAGCTTTCAACGAACGGATACTATGAGCCAGCAGCACATAAAGTCCTGGAAAGTGACAATGACAAAGACTTTAATTGGAACTCGTGCCGTGTCCCGTAAGTTTATTTACAGAATACGATGGTGTTGGATTTGAAAAAAGAAAAAAAAAAACACTAATTTATAAATCATTGTTTTTTCTTTTTTTTTTTTTTATAGGTGGCGATTGTCAGTTTATTATTTGTTGACACACGATCCTCGCATTTGTCCCACATTGATGGCGCAATCATCATTTTTTGGATCACTCTCCGAAGTGTGCGCAGGATACCATTTGAATGGTCATAAGATTCACGATCGCAATTACTGCGATATGTCTTTTACTGCTCCAGCATCCCTCGTGATGTGGACGATGCGCCATCCTAACCAAACGCGGCTCCAGGATCAGATGGAAAACCTTGAGTCTGATAGATCATATTTTGGTGACTCTATCCAGATGCTGTGTCTCTTGCAGGCAAGAAACCCTACAGGATTCTGAAAAGAAAGAAGACAATAAAATTATTGATAGTGATAAATATATATATTTGTAGTAGTCTGATATTTTGAAAGAGTTAATAGAATTGAATTAATTGAATCATAAATGTACTCAATAATATGGCCTGGGTAAATGAGAGCAGTCTGTGATTATGACTCTTTCCTTGATACAAACTGATCTTTTTTTTTTTTTCCTCCCTTCTCATTCCTATTTGCTAACAACATCTCATTTCTGGACTTTACATTCCTTTCTTCCCTTCACTTTTCTCTCGCTTAAGCTCTGAGTAAATGGCCTCGATAGAGAACAATAATAACAACTTAACCAGGGTTATGTTTTCGTTCCACTCACACTCAGGACAGTTTGTATGCATGCCAAGGGTACGCTTGAGCAAGTTGTTCAGTCGGCGATCCAGCGTGGATTCACAATCTATGGCCTCTCCGAGCATATGCCTCGTTATCGTCCTGATCAGCTTTATCCTGAAGAGGTTAAAAAAAAAAAAAAAAAAAAAAAAAAAACATCTTGTCGTCTTCGATCAATACAAAACGAAACGTATACGACTAAAATATTGACTTATTTTTATTTTTTTGCTTTCAAGTCCCATTTGACAACTCAAGATCTAGAAAGGATGTATGACCAGTTCTTACAGGAGGCTGTGCGTCTTCAACAGAAATACAAGGATCAGATTTGTCTCCTAATCGGCCTTGAAACCGAATACTTTGGACCTGAATCTATTGAGTATGTTCGGAATCTTCGACAACCTTATCGACAGACCTTATTTGGCCCCACAGATACTTCATCTTCTACAACTACAGCTACAGCTACAGCTACAACATTAACAACGGCTGGTACTGTTCCTCCACCAATCACATTGCCGCAGGTACAATATATTGTGGGTTCATTGCACCATATCCATGGAATCCCATTGGATTTCTCACAGGAATTGTATCTCGAGGCACTGGAGAAAGTGGGTCATGGATCATGGCAAGTCTTGTTCCGAGAATATTTTGATGCACAGTTTCAAATGCTTCAAGGACTTCAGCCGGAAGTTGTGGGACATTTGGATCTGGTGCGCATCTTTTTTAGTGCCATTAATGGATGTCATCATCATCAGGGTAAAGATCAAAATAAAAGTCAGGAACAACATGAACAAGAAACAGCCAGGCAGAACCAAAACAAACTAACACCAGATCTTTGGGAACTTGTGAGACGCAACGTTGACTATGTAGTCGGTTATGGCGGACTGTTTGAGCTTAATTCACGAGCTTGGAAGAAAGGGCTTGCGGATGCCTATCCTCAGCGGGACATTCTCGAAGTATTTTTTTTTTTTTTTTTTTTTTTTTTACAAGTTGTATCAACATTTCCAATGTGTGCGCACTATAGTTTCTAAGTCTATTTTTTACTGTTTCTTTTCTTTTAGCATATCCTCTCAAAAGGAGGAAGGATTACACTCTCGGACGATTCTCATGGACCCGACGATGTCGGTATGTTCTACAACCCAAACTTGAAGGCATACCTTGAGCAGATGAAAATCGACCAGGTGTATTACCTCGCTCCCAATGACAGTGAGGATATCTATACTGAACATGCTTCACAGGGGGCAAAAGTAAATGAATCTTTCCAACATGTCCATGTCCGCTCAATACCTTTAGCTTCATTGAAGTTTTACGAAAATTAGAATAGGACATGTAAAAAAAAGAAAAACATTAAGGAAGAAATATGAGATTAGTCTTTTTTTTTTTTTTTTTTTTTTTTTACTTATGATTTTTCTCTTAAAGTAAAATAGTCTAGTATGGTTATATGTATAAAAAGAAATAGGAGACGGCCACCATTGCACTTCACATATTCAATCTTGAAGTAAAAGGTAGTAGCAACATTGACAACAATAACAATAAAAACAAAAAGTTAGCGAAGCATGGCTCCCATCAAGACAGGATTCTCGATCATAGTCTTCCAGAGTGCATTAAGGCGGGCTATAGTAGCCCCATCAATGACACGGTGATCGGCGCTCCAACTGACATTGACAATTTGCTGTGCAACCACGCGCTCAACCATCTTGCCATCCTCCTCAATCATCTTGAAGCGAGGCAAACGCTGCATGTTGCCAATGGCAGCGATTGCCACCTCAGATGTGACAATTATAGGATGCAAATAGGTACCCCCGATACTGCCAACGTTGGACAGAGACACGGTGCCGTCCTTAAGATCGGCTAAGGGAATGGCGTTTTTCTTGCCAAGTTCTTGCAGCCTAGTTAATTCAGATGCAATTTCAAGCACAGACAGATTCTGAACGTTTTTGATGTTGGGGACGATCAAGCCGCCGGGAGTATCCATAGCAATTCCAATGTTGTGAGATGCACGGTACTTAAGCTTGGCAGTGGAGGGATCTTCACCATCAATAACACAGGCATTCATGATAGGGTACTCTTCCAAGGCAATCGAAAGGGCCTTGATGATGATAGGCATGTATGAAATCTTCTCAAAGTTGTACTTCTCGGGCGACTTGGCCACGTAATCATTCAGTGCACGTCGGAAGGCAATGGCGTTATCAAGAATGATTTCATCAGCGAATCCGACATGAGGGATCGATAGAGACTTGGTCATCTGCTTGAACATGGCCTTTTGGATCTTGCTCAATGGAGCAATCTCATCCTCCCCAACAGGCCTATGAGCCTTGACAGGGGAAACGGTAGCTATGGATGCGCTAGAGGTCTTTGGAGCAGCTATATGGATGAAGTGAAGGCAATGATCAATTCCAGATTAGGTTCAACTGTTCTACTGTTACTTTTCGGAATATTTTTAAACACAGCGCAGGTTTCATTAGGCAGTAAAGAAAAGAATGTTTACCAGCTGACTGTTGTCCGTTAGCAAGGTATGCTAAAACATCCTCCTTCATAACACGACCACTCTTACCGGTTCCTTTAATAAGACTAATGTCAATACTGTTCTCCTTGGCAACACGACGGACCGCGGGGGTAGCAAAGGTCAAAATGTGCTCAGCAGTAGGAGCCTCAGCCTTGGTAGCCTCAACCTTGGGAGCCTCAACCTTTCCCGGAGGAGAGTCCATCATGGCGGCCACCGCATTCATGTCCTGAATGACGTTTGAATGGCCTCTCAAGCCATCCTCAGGTGCCGTAGTGGGAGGAGTCGATGTAGAAGTAGCGTCAGGAGCAGCAATGGGTTCTTCTACAGCAGCACCGTCATTAGTCTCGATTTCGACCAAGGGTGATCCAACCTTTGCCATGTCTCCAACCTTATATTTGAGAGAGGCAATGGTTCCAGTGAACCGGGATGTAATCTCGACAGATGCCTTGTCTGACTGAACCTCACAAAGCCTATCAAACTCTTCAACTTTGTCACCAGCCTTTACAAACCTAATAGTCAGCAAAATAAGTAGAGAGTTAATTGGCGAAATAAGTATACCAGCCTACAGCGCGTATGCTCCAATATTTTTCAGTAAGGAAGGTCATAATGCAAGAAGAGTAGGGAACAACAGATGTTCACAGATACGTTACCATTGGATGACTTCACACTCTGTGATACCCTCTCCAATATCTGCCAATAAAAAGGGGACTTTGGCATTTGCTAAAGCTGAGGCGTGAAATCTATGGATATGATTAATGCTGAAGTTGGCTCTTGGCTGACGAACTGCCTTAATGCAAAGAGTAGTGGCGGCCTATGAAGGTTTGAAATATATATTTTGAAAAAAAAAAAAAAAAAAAAAAAATTAAGGACCATCAATCACTTCATCCTTTAGTATCATGAGCCCTTTTGTTTTAGCTCCTCACTTTTATTTTGTTATCATTACCTTGGTTGCAATTGAGTATTTTAACCTCTGTCCAGAGATCATTCGGGCAGTGGAGATATATGTAGACTGGCCAACCTAGCTCAGTCCGTAAAGGAATATACATACTTTGTGTGAGTATCGATTAGAAAAAAGCTAGGGCAGAAGTGTACTGTGTTGTACTTTTTTTTGTCTTACCTTTGACCTGAGAACATTGAGTGAAGAACGAGATGCAGAAAACATTGTCTATTTCTTCTATGTTCGACTACTAATGAAGATTGTAGTAAAATGGGGGTCAGCGGTAGCAACTATCTGTGCATTCTGGAAACAAAAGCCAGCATGGACACTTTTTTGTTTTTTTTTTTGAAGATCTGAAAAAAGTGGTACAAATGAGCTTACATGATTAGTGAGAGTAGATGTAGATGAGTGGAGAGGATGAAAGCAATGGTAATGACCAAAAGCGAGGGAGAGGGGAGAGATAGATGTGAAAGAAAGATGAAGGGGTGAAGGTGCAGAAAGTGAGAGTAAGAGTGAAAGAAAGAAAAAGGAAGTGGGGTAGAGAGCGTGAGAGTAAAATAAATAAAAGTGGGAGCTGAGAAAGAATTGTGTGTGGGAGAACAGGGACACTATTCAGAAAATTCTCACGATAAGGACAGGAACTAACTCTTTGCTCCAATGATGCAATTCTCTTTACTTCCTGTAACAATAAGTCACTGTTTAGTCTTCCTCTTCCTTTGTGCATCCAAGAAACATCCAATCCTTTGCATCAGTTACCTGAGTTTACTTGGCGGCTCTTCATCCCCATCCAAATCATTAACTTTTCTTTTCTTTTTTATAGGTGTCAACGCAGCTTCTAGTTGAACAATGTTTTGCGCAACGCCTTTACGAAAGTCCTCCCTTTTTCAGTTTGTTAGCAGACGCGTGAATTACCTAGTCCAAGTCTCTCGTCCAAGACTTCCCGCTCTATAGCTAGCCACAGTCCTTGGACCCTCGGTAAATGAGTACCCCTAGCTTGTTTTCTCATCACCCTCACTGGTGTGGAGCGCGAGGTTTACCACCATGCCCCCTTGCTATTGCAAAGATTAATGGTAAGGCGTGTCTGTCCGGCGGTAGCGTTGGATATATTTTTTAGAATCTTTACAGGTTCTACGACAATATTTCAACACTATGCAGATTATTCGATATCGCTAGAAAGCTCTGTATAGCATAGTTGTCGGTGGCACCGGGCTTCCCAACGAACGCTAGCAGTGTCTGTTAGGTCGTGTTTAGTCACTCTACCTGCGCCTTTGACGTTTTTCAAAGTCAAATGTGATGTGTCCTTTGACGATCAATGGTTGGGTTTTTTGCGAATCTCAACACTGTGCAGATCCTTCGATATTGCTAGAAGCTCTGTCCAGCATGGCTGTCATTGGTAGCTGGTATTCTGACGAAGTCGAGCGGGACTCTGTCGGATGTTGAGACTTTTCACAAAATCTATCTATAGGAGTGGTGCGCTGTATTTCGAATTTATTACTATCATCTGTATCTCATTTTCGATTGTAGATATTCTATCATGTCATCCAAGCCGACTAGACCATGACGCCAAGATCTAAAGGGTCTTACGCGTGGCCATACCTGAATTCATGCGCCCGGCCTGATGACTTTGAGTATCAATCATTTTTGACCTGGACGGAAAAAGATAATTTGAGCAAGGTCAGCGCACGAGCAGAATGGAGGAATGCAATAGCATGGATGCAAGAGAGCAGCCTATAGACGCTAAAGGAGACGGCAGTTAGACTGGAGAGAGCATGGAGTAAGAATCTTCATAAGGACTTTGAGAGTAGGCATTTCACCAGTCAATTGTCCAAACGGAAGCTGGAGAACGATCGTCAACTTCTGCATCGAGCGGTGGATAGTGTTCTCACAAAACGGTGCCGACTTGAGTACAGGGAAGAAGAGGAAGCTCTTGATTCGGCTCTGTCATCAGGTATTTGAGTATATATTTGGCATACAGCTAAATGCAGAGTTCACTCCTGAAATAATGTCCGCACACCCAGCCAAGACATCACACTTGCTAAAAGAATAAAACACTGTTTTGCTTTGTAAATTTGTATTCACACGTATTTGATGATGAATGAGGCACCGAAAGACTCCGTATGCTGCATTTTTTAAATCTATCACTCGTGCATCATTGACTTCAATAGGTGGATTTTGATGCGCGAAGCATGCTAGACCACCCCTTAAGAACACCACCAGAGTGAGAGAAAAAAAAGATGTTGCCCATACGAACAAATATCTCTACAACAAATTGGCTTAATCTCAGCTGATCGTAGCAACAAGGCTACTCTACAGCTTACAATACCCCGTTCAATTAAAGTCGTCTGCAATGGATTTATCTTTTTCCAATATTTGAAATTAACAGTAGCAGGAACCTCATGAAGCCTTTCCGCTCCACCAGATGACCCTGCATAGCATGATTCAGGAGCCGAAGCTCTATTCGTATTCAACTAAAAATCGGAAAAGGCGGTAATCGTCGCGTTCTAGCACGGATTCTGACTTAGAGGCGTTCAGCCATAATCCAACGGATGATAGCTTCGGGCCATTACCTGCTCAGGCAGGCCCAAATACCAATTATCCGAATGAACGGTTCCTCTCGTACTAAGTTCAATTACTATTGCAACAACATTTCATCAGTAGGGTAAAACTAACCTGTCTCACGACGGTCTAAACCCAGCTCACGTTCCCTATTAGTGGGTGAACAATTCAACGCTTACTGAATTCTGCTTCAGTATGATAGGAAGAGCCGACATCGAAGGACCAAAAAGCAACGTCGCTATGAACGCTTGGCTGCCACAAGCCAGTTATTATTATTATTATTATTATTATTAACCCTGGGAACTTAAATATCTCCCTCAATAAGCTTTCTACCTAATCCAAAATAAGAAAAAAAAAAAAATTTAATGTGCAGGCCATGTGTACGTGAAATGCAGCGCATTCTCAAATAAAGAAATAGAAGTGCTAGTACAGAATTTTATTAATGGTTTCTTTTTTTCTTTTAATAACGAAGGAAAGCGAACAGATGGAAAGAGCAATGAAGGTAATGTCTAAATGATACATGTAAGATATGAGCCAAGTGGTAAATGGATTCCGTACGCTTATACGTTGAGCCTAGCAGCGAGATCAGCGAGCTCGTCAGAAACCTTCTCGTCTCCCTCCTTTTCTTTTTCATCTTTTTCATCCTCCTCATCCTCCTCATCCTCCTCATCCTCCTCATCCGAATCTGGCTCCTCCATATCATCCAAGTCTCCGAGCGCATCACCATGATCGTGTTTGGCAAGAGCATCACGAATAGCATCAATAGCGGCGCTGTCCTCATCAACTTGGTTTCCATTCAGTTCAAGCTTTGTCAAATTGGAGAGGCGATTAGAGATCGCGCTGGCCAGTTCCAAAACACCGTCCTCCCTCATCTCAGCGTATGTAAAGTCAAGAGACTCCAACTTGGGATTCTTGCCCTGTGCCAAAGCATGTGATAGGAGAATAGAACCCTTGTTGGAGAGTAAGCACTCGCCAAAGTTGAGCCTCCTCAATTCCTTCCAGGAAGGCAAAGCAGCAGCAAAGGCGCGGCATCCACGCTCTGTGAACGTATTATCCTGCAAATCCAAAATCTCTAATCCAGGACACTTGGTCAATCCAGCAGCAAGAGCCTCAATTCCTTCCATACGTATTCCATTTTGAGGCATCGCAACATGGGTTAGCGTTCCATGGGCTGCAAATGCCTTGGCGAGATCAGGGGTAGAGCCATTCTCAAGACGATTACGCCCAGCAATAACCACACGGAGAGATGACTTTTTATTCTCAGCAACATTCCTTTCATGAGCGGTCATCAACGCCTCAGCAAGGACTTTACCTCCAGTCACACCCAATCCGTTGTTGTTGAGCTTTAAGATCTGCAAATTCCTGTTCGTAGTCAAGAATTCGACAAGAGGGTGGACGCCAGCTGCTCCAAAGGCATTGTCGCTAAGGTTGAGCTCCACAAGATGCTTCTTGTCTTTTAATGCATCGCCAAAGTAAACCAGACAGTCAGGAATCTCGGAGCGCAGACGTCCTGTAAAAATATCCGAAAAGTTGGCAACCTAATAACAGATTTGGGGCGTGAAGAGTTAGAAAAATAAAAATATACAGATATATGCATTCTGATTGGTTATTACCTTCAACAGAGGCTTCTTGGCAAGAGCGGCAGCAAGAGCACGGCAAGCCTCAACACCAAAGGTATTTCCACTCAGAATAACGTTCTCGAGCTCGTCCATGCTCTCAATGGTTTTAATGAATTCCTTGACATCCTCAGCACTTTCAAGCTTTAGGCCACGGCCCTCAATTGAGAATGTAGTTTTAGACATGCTTGAATCTAAAAATTCAGGATTTAGGTTTAGTTGCTGTGGTTAGAGGATACAATTTAATTCAAGGCATTTTGTCAATCAAGAAAGATTCTGAGGTTCAATCGGATCGAAATCTTTAGAGATCGCATGAAGTCGATGCTGTCTAGGGTATTCACTTACATAGTGCGCTGCGAGGATGAGACAGTAAATGGATGTCAAAGAAAGAAAAACAAAAAAAAGAAAAGTGTTCGCTGGAGAGTTATAGTGGCTGAGCACATACCTCCTTGTAACAGGGCAAGAGTGTGCCAGGGCATCGCATGAGTTGCACAACTAACTTGTCCTTTTTTAAGATCATTGTCACTCAAAGCATCATTCACAAAGGCATAAAATACAAAAATATAAAGCAATTCATTCACTTCTTACCATTCTGACTTACTCTCTCTCGCTCTTTCCTCTTTTTTTTGTCAGTTACCTGCCAGCTCGCTGTACCTGCATAATAAACAGAATTATAATTGAAACATTGTCATCAAAGGCTCAATCAACATCACATCTCCTCTTAAACACTTACCATATATACCCATACTTAGGTTGTGAGGGATATGGAGGCTAAAGAGAAGGTATCAACTGCCACACAATAATTTTAAGAAAAAGCGCGCCAGTTTTTTATCTTAGTAGTGAATCTATAACTTTCTAGACTTCATGTACGTAACTATAGAAACGAGCGCCACCACCAAAACTTCAACCTGTTAAAGCTGACCAGCTGAGGGATAAAGAAGCTTACCTTGTCGATTACTTTGGCGAAGCCAGTCTACCTTTGGTAGCGACCAGTACAATCGTACGGCCACCGAAGCGACCTCTCTACACCAGAGCAAAAAGCAGCAATCAATCCAACAACATATCCAGACCGCCTATTACACTACAGCGCTCTCAAGATGCAGAGAACACTATGACTGTGAAAAGTCAAGTACCACTAACATCCTTTGAAGGGATTAGCGTGAATTCCTTCTCACAGGCAGAGGTACCACCGATACAAAAGCCTCATCCTGGTTCAAAAACTGAAGAGCAAGGATCGCTTCAGAAAAAGCGAACGCCTCTGGCAGATACCCTAAAACTGGGTTCCGAAGGATCTGCAGAAGCACTACTAGGGCCGAAGGTGTGCGTCGTTTACATGTCTTATTGATATTGGCACGGGGTTCAATATATCTTTTGCTCAGAGGCTAGTTATTAGATTCTAAACGTTGACATTTAATTTAGGCTAACTTTACTCCTCCTCAGCACAAGGTCTTCAGGAAAGCAACGGGGAAGGAAAACATTCCTCCTCAGACACCCCTTAGCTCACGCTCTAAAACTCTCAAACCAATTACTAAAACTGGGCTACGAAAGTCCTTCAATTGGGGTAAGTGTAATGTAACAAACAGTCAGTACAGCGTGCATAACTTTATCTTTTTCAAAAGCCCAGTTTTTAATCATATACCGCTAAATTAGGTCGTCCATACAGAGGTGATGTTGCAGATCTAGAGAATCAAGAAGAATCGAGAGCGGGAAATGGTAGTCGTTGACATAACTAGAGTCTGCTTTTCAATTATCTTTGAAATATTCACTAACAGTATTTGCTCCTATTTACGTACAGATAACAGCAATTCAACAGGAGACCTACAGGCAGAGCAAGAGAAGAAAGAATCACCCGTGGAGGTAACAGCATCAACATCATGTGAGTTACCAATACAAACCTTACAAGAAGAAGACGTCGCCATTGTGGACCAGGCTCGGGTACGGCAAGGTAGTCATCGCGACGTAGATATACCAGGCTCTGTTCACAAGAGAATGAAACATAGCATGGATGACTTTCCAGAGTCTCACGAGGGCCCTTCAAAGGTAATGTTGCGTAATGCAACCCGATGTCCCTTTAGCATATAATATCTCAAACACCCATCTTACACATAACCTACGCAATATTAATATATCTTTCAGCCCGCAGCACAATACTTGGATGTTACGGCAACGAACAAAGCTACAGTACAAGCCGTGCACACAGCATCGGCATCAGTACCAGCGCTAGTATCAACGTCACCATCAGCTCTCTCGACCTCTGTTACCCCTACTTATTCCTCTGAACAACCAAAAGAGTCAACAGGAACAAAAGCGGAATCGAGGGTTCAGGACCAGCCATCAGTCAATTTAGTCCCTAAGGCCATGCCTGGAGAAGCCCCTAGCACATCCAATTCATCTCAATTATCAAAGACTCCAAAGCCTGCTTCAACACTACCTCAAACCAACAACCATCAGAAACAGCAGTCGCATGGGTTACGTTCAGAAGGGATTGCCTCTATTGCAATGCATTTGGCGATAGGAGCAGCTCAGGCTCCACCATTACCGCGTCCCCAGCAGCGAATCGGAGGATCCATGGTAGCTCAAAGACCTCTCAATGATACATCAGACCCCCCTGTATCTACACCGCCTTCTTTAGTGGCAGTGACATCAACACAGGGCCGAGGAGAGCTCGGTGCGCGACTAGTCACAATGGTCAACAATCGGCCTTATACTCGGTTGACTCAAGTCGGCAAAGGAGGCAGTTCTAGAGTATACAAAGTGCTTGCCTCAAACTCGAGGATTTTTGCGCTCAAGAAGGTCTCATTTGAGGAGGCTGATCAGTCTGTTATCAATGGATATATCAACGAGGTGAAATTATTAACAAGGCTGGTCGGTAATTCGAGAATCATTAGGCTGTATGATGCAGAAATCAACTATACAAAAGGCTATTTATGCTTGGTAAGTGAAACAGACTAACGTGTTTGTTTTTTCAGGGTGCATCAGCTGGTAATGGCTAACTGAAAACTATTCACCCTTCGATCAATTAGGTGATGGAGTACGGCGAAATTGATCTTGCACACATGCTGCTCAACCAGCGAGAGCAGCCATTTGATATTCATTTTATTGGGCTTTACTGGCGACAAGTAATAAAATTTATTATCGTATATGCAGATTGAGCACTATTATCTGCCCTTTTCCGATTTTACAAAGATCGCCACCTTACTCACGCTTTTTTTTTATCTTTTATTTTTTATTTTTATTTATTATTTTTTGAATGACTTTTTGTCCTGGTGTATAGATGTTAGAAGCTGTACAAGTAATCCACGAAGAGAAGATTGTCCATTCGGATCTTAAGCCTGCCAACTTTCTCTTAGTGGAGGGCTCTCTGAAGCTGATTGATTTCGGAATCGCCAATGCCATTGCTAACGACACCACCAATATTCATCGGGAGGGCCAGCTTGGTACTGCCAATTACATGTCGCCTGAAGCTGTTGGATCTAATCCTAACGTAGCATGTCGAAAATTGGGGCGGGCGTCAGATGTTTGGTCACTAGGATGCATTCTATACCAGATGGTGTATGGTAAAACACCATTCTCGGATGTGCTGAATGTCTTTAAAAAGATGAACGTGATTACCAATCCGGATCATCGGATAGAGTTTCCAGAGACAGTCTTGTCTCCTCTACAGCCCAAACGAACACAGTTTGCTCAAGTGACTGTAGCGAAACCAACGAATGTACTCGATAATAATATTAATAACAATGGTGTGGATGTAATAGTTCCTGCAGCGGGATCAGGGCCAGGCACGTTGGGATTTGGGTCGGGATCAGGATCGGAATCAGGGTCGGGATCAGAGTCAGGGTTAAGGCCAGATGGTTCTGCAGTTATTAATGGATCACAATCAAAAAGCGGTCTCAATGAATCTTCATCATCTGCACTGGCGCCGGCAAAGACCATCAAAGTAGATTTACGTTTAATCCAAATCATGAAAAGCTGTTTATCATACCATTCCAAGGACAGGGTGACTATACCAGAGCTTTTGAATGATCCGTTCTTACACCATTAGAGAAATAAAAGACCGATGGTCTTTGCGTCAACAGCGTTGTGCGTGTAAAATAACATAAATAAATACATAAATCGGCATTTGCTATTTTGAGTCTTTTTTTTCGATTTAATAACCACAGCTAATTGACGATAATTATAAGGATAGAAAATGCCACTAAATGCTCGCAATAGTAATGAGATTCTACTAGGATTAATGGAAAAGAAAAGAAAAAAGCAATAACAACAGCTCAGGGACTATCATTTGGAAATGGCCTAGCAATTTCGCGCTCACTAGATCGCTCAATCCTTGAGAAAGCATGTCTGACACTGCCTGCTTTTTGCTCTAAAAATCAAGTCAATGGAATAGCAAGTTCCTCTTGTCTGATATGACCTATGCTTCTCCCAAGGCAATAGAGAGAGGGCGGCGGGGAGATGGAATCAAACTGTTTAATGAAGTTTACAACACACAACCAAAGGTATAATATATATGTCATCTAGTGGATCGATCTGATGATTTATTACTTAATACTCATTTGGGGCACATGTCTTGACTAAAGCGCTGATGTGTCTACCATTTTGTGTCCGATCATTAGGACTGAAGGAAAGAAAAGAAAGGGTATAATGCACTTTTAATGGACAACAGACAACCATTTTATTCTCCCCCAGTCCGGACTTCTTCAGCAAGGAAAAAGCTGCTTGATGTGTCTGTGGCAATCATATCTGAAACCACAGGCACTCATGCTAACTTTTTGATCTTGGATGTAAGGTGGGGTGAGCCTTCTTTCTAGAGCTTTAGAATTGTCATCGCGAAATGTATTCATGAGAATGGGAATACTTCAGTGATGTACGCTTCAACTATATGGTTTATTGAAATATTTCAGCTAAGAATCAGCAACCTCGTTCTAGGAAGATGAGACTATCAGAACAGCAGATATAAGCAACTGCACGGGCCGCCCTACATTTGTAACCGAAGTTGGGATCTGTATAAAATGTGGTTTTATAATGCTGTTTCTGTGTATGGGCCTTAACAGAGTGGTTCCTGGATGAGAAAGACACTCAAGGACACAGGAGGGACACAAAAAGATGTACGAAAAAGTCGACTATTTTATTTCTAAAATTTCTGAAAAAAACAGACATTTAGAAAAAGCCGTTGACCAATATATTTTGAAAACGAGGTGGCTACCATTAGAGGTGAATGAAGGCGCATGGGATCTCTAGTTGGATATCTCGGAGACCTACAGATGCGCCTATCCATGAATTTAACCATACGGCCATGTGACATGAACCATATTTTTAATTTGCCAAAAAGAAAAAAAAGAAAATGTCGCGTCTACGATGTACTTGGAGATTTAAACTGTGAACCTGATCTCTTTGTTTTACTGTCATAATATTCCACAGCACACCCTAAATCTCCGATCTCTTGCTTCCATTTCCTTCTGGGCCTTTGCTTTCGTTGCTTTCATTTATTATATCTATATGTTTTTTATATTGTCATCATCGCTACATGTTGGCGACAGTTTCGAGAACGGGACAACTGTAACTATTGTTAGATGCCCCGACATTAACGTGGGACCAGTAGTTAACGAACCATATCGGCTTCTCACTCTCAGTACCTTGGTGCTTACGGTGGAGAACCAACGCCATTTCGAAGATTCCTATCGCTTTCACGTTAAAGAGATACTTCATAGGTATGTCAGCCGCTTTAGGGATTGCTCAAACCCTCCCCCAATTTTGAAATCAGATAGCGACTGCCAAAACTGCAACGTACCCTTTACCAGCGACGAAGATTGATGAACCTACGATTGAAGGTAACAAATCAATCATTGACACTGTCATGCGCAAGAAACTTTACATACAGGCGGAGTGGTTCCGGGACAATTATCAGATCATCATTGCTGGAGATCATCTCACTATATCGATAATTCGATCGCTAAAGAGATACTCTAGGGGTGAAGTTTCGCCATGTTATAGGCGCCGGTGGGCCCTTCCTATGACCCAGCTCTTTCATCTTCAGATGACGCTCAGCAGTATGATAGACCGTAATCACTATGGCTCGGTCTCCGCGGCAGGCTCTATTACCTATAATGCATCGAAGCTTGGCCGCAAACGCGTCAACTTGAACAAGCAAGGTTTCCATGCGACAGATGAGCTCATACGACACACCTTAGATTCGATTTTTCTGTGAGCTGCTGAGGCTATAGACGGCTCGAGCATCATGAATCCCGTGGTCCATACTGATGGCGGCCTTAATTCCGAAGCAGTGCTTTCAAGTTTAGCTATGGCATTCTTTCAAGGTTTCAAACCAACTTTCCTACGTTCGAAAAACGGAGCACTGTGGCAGCGAGGAGCGCGGTATTTATGAGAGATGCCATTTTGTATATAGAACTATCCGATGCCATCAAGACTGGTGATATCGGGCGCATCGAGGAAGCTATAAAGTGGTTAACCATTGTATTTCAAGCAGGAAGTACAAAGGATTACGCGTATGAGCTTCTCCGTCTTAGTTGTCATCCCCTCTATTCTTGGACACCAGAAGTAAAGGCTGCCATAATGTCAACATGGCTGATAAACACAAGTGGTAAGGATAGTGGCTGGATCCCAGCTGACTTATATCAGGAACCCATTTTGTCTCTGTTCACACCGAGTGATGTTTTCTTTGAAGTTAAGGTATTTGGTAAGAGATATCTTATTTTTAAATTCAATCGGGTGGACGAATAATTCCAATCCTTAATCACCTTTTCTTGCCGAGGAATAGCAAAGGTCAAGTTATGTACCAGTCCCTCCAGTAGGTAGCATCCAAAAATGCAAACATTTTGGTAAAGATGTACTTACGGAGAGAGCTGAGAACGAGCCTAGGTAGACGCCACTAGTTTGTTATATGAAACGGACGCTCTTTTATTAGAGAAACAAGGCGAATAGGGACAGCCACACGCGCACAGCGTCCTTGGATCTCGTATGATTCTAATATTCTCTATTGATTTGGTGGCTGATTTTAATATTTCCCGCGACGAGCTTGTAACAAGGGAAATAATTGGCTCTCAATACATTCAAGGCTATTCAAAAAATATAAGAAACACCGACCAAGTGGGTTGGACAACACATTAACAGGCTCTGCATTCATAACCTTTAGCTTTGCCTATCATTATCTGAAGTATTCCAGATAGTTATTTTTTTTGGCCTTGGTCATACTAATTTTTTCTTAACAGGATAAACACCAAGGTATCTCAATGCTAGAATAAGAAAATGTTCTAAAGTTCGTTACCTCTCATTACCTCTAAGGATTAAAATTAGTACCACTGACTATGCGTACTGTTGATTATGCAACAGGAATTAGGGCCCAGAAGAGGCGACTTTATACAGCTCAGCAAGTGTTGCTGCTAAGGACAGGACTCCCTGAATGTCAATTTCCCCAGCATCTAACTAGCTTGAGTCGTAGAGCCTTTTTTTTTTTTTTTTTTTTTTTTTTTTCCGCTGTTAACAGATGAACAAATGATACTATTTATATTGTCAATGTATTCTTCGTTCTACATCGCTTTTGTTTCCATGCGAGGCCTCCTCAAGCTCCAAGGCTTCACAAAGCTGTAGGTCATGTTGACATGATCATGCTCCAGTTCATGGACGATAACTTGAAAAATACTCTCTTCTGTTGCCGTTACCTTTTCTTCTCAAGGCTTCGGTTCCCTCTTTCCTTGGCAGGCTAGCTTGCTCTTCATAGCTGCTTGTGGTGTAGCCTTTCCAACGGTACCGCTAAATCCCATGTTTGGATCGATATATTTCTTAACGGTCTGCTTGAATACAACCTCCTCGGAAAGCTTTAGCATTTTTCTTGCGTTAACGCTGCAGTCCTCCTCTGCATTGCGGAACACCTATTATATTTATACTGTATTACGGAGCATGAAAAAGTTTACTAGCTAGGATTTCAAGATTTCAAGTACATCTGTAGTGCAACAATGTCTTTGAGGGACTCTTATTGGCCAAGAGAGATTCAAGGACACTATTGGCACAAATTTCCACTTTTCTATCGTCTCTTCAGCCGAATGAGACGACTGAGGGCGGTTAGAAGAGTCTGATGCCGCACCAACTACTGTATTAGGGAACAGATCCGCTTGTGAGAGGCGTATCCCTCGGTGACATTAAGGACGTCTATAGAACAAGCCTTTTTTTGCCCTCAGATTTTCTCTTTAAAAAAGGTACCGCTTGCGCCTGCGTTGCTGTCATTCCTGTTATTAGAAGATGAAGAAACGGCAGTGTTTTCGCGTGGCATGCTGATGGAGGATTGCATAGGTACTCATGAGTACGTGAGGACAAGCAAGTAGTGGTTATTGTTAGAAAATAATAACTAGAGAAAGAAGATAAGCGAAAATCGAGTGTGGATCGCAGTATCACATTGTCCGGTATTTATTAATTTATTTTCCATCTGTTATTGAGATCTCCTATTAATATGATACTCTTTTGTACGTGCATATGATTAAATATGCAACAATCGTAATAAATAGCAGTGATTGATCTATAGAAAAAAAATAAAAGCGAGAAATAGAAGTGAGCATGGTTTTATACTTTTAATGGACACTATCAATTCGAAGATCAAGAGGACTTGATCACTTGTCATTTGTTGGCTTTCCTCAAGCGCACTTTTTTTTTTTTTTTTTTTTTTTTTTTTTTTCTATAATATTCCTTTGAGTAAGGAATGAGGGAATGAGAAATGAGGGAATGAAGAATTGAGCATGAAGCAAGGTATTGATCTGATCAGATCACTTTGTGAGTCCGCTACGCGCGTGTACTTAGGATACTTTTTTTGTTTCTACTTTGCAGTAAGTTGTGGTGAAAAGACATGTGCCTGAATTCAGTCTGTGCCAGCCTCTGTGTCTCTGTTTCTGAACGTGAAATCTATGAAACATTTTGGTAATTAAGTGGAATTTGGCTAATTAAACTCTTACAGCCTTAACAGTTGGGCGCCAGGGGCAGGTTGGGAGGTAGGGTTCTACCTTATTTTTCTCTCGTTGAATAATATCATTGCTTTAATAAAATAAAAAAAAGAATTAATCTATTTGACAACCCCCCTAATTTAGCAGTCACACCGACTTATTTGGCAACCCAGGTCTTCAATTTTCACTTTTTTGTTATTTGACAACCCGGGTTGTCAAAAAAAGAAGAAAAATTGTCTTTTTCAACCTGTCACATGACAAGTCTTCACCCTCTTGTACTTATGGAGGGCCTTTCTCAGCTGGATTTCTAAAATGGTGGCAACACTCCATTATCATGACTGTGGTTATAGCTTCTTCTGTCTCTCTTTTTTTTCCTTTCCGCGTCTTACGCATGCGCCATCAAGCGTCGCATAACCACTCCGAATTTATGCATGCTTATATATCCAAAAAACCCCTTAGTGCATGTTACTCGTATAGGCACATTTTCTATAAAAGCAAACCCTTGTTTTAGAAATCAGTTGTAATAAAAAAACAACACCTCGTAACCAAAAAAAAAAGTTTGTTATTTGATGGAAGCTTTTAGATTGCTGGAGGGATTTCGTGTTGCTGAGGGATAGCAATAGAAACGATTTTCACATAATAATCTTGCCAATAAAAAAAGGGTTGTCAAATAATAATGAGCTTGGGGTTGTCAAATTAGATATTTTACTATTTGGCAACCCGGGTTGTCACGCAAAGAAAAAAAATTGAGTAAAATAATTAAGGGGGGGGTTGTCAAATAAGAGTGACAACCCGGGTTGTCAAATAAGAGTGACAACCCGGGTTGTCAAATAGATTCATTATAAAAAAAATAAAAAAAAATAGTCACGTGCATCGACCCGCACAAATATAAATATGCCACACAAATGTCGTTCATCTCTACGACCTTGAAAACGAGCTGTGCGTGTGCTCTGAGTGTCGGAGTAAACCCCGCATTTGTGGGATAAGGACTACTTTTTTGTTATCGAATCTAAGATGGATCTAAGAATGAGATTCTCCAGTCAGCGGAGTAAAATTCAAGACTTAGAGCTCAACGTTTGAACTTTGAAGAATAGGGTCTGTTCACTGCACATGTTTTCAGACTCAGCAAAACGAGTAAGAATGCATGCGCAAAAGACCTCATTTGTCTCTTTGTTCTAAAAAGAAAAATGAAAAATAATCTTGACCAGTTATATATCTGTGCTTGGATTAGACGTAACAGAGACACAGAGAGAGAAGAGAGACAAGAGGGAGAAAGGGAGAAAGAGAAGGGAGAAAGGGAGAAAGAGAAAAAGACAAAGACAAAGACGTGCTTGAGAGCCAGAGAGAGTCAGGTATTCCGTTGATAATGGGTATATATATAGGGGTATTATAAATCATGCTTCTACTCCACCTACCAGTGCAAGAGTGAAAGCCTGTAGTACAAGTAACTATTTGTTGGTGTGCGCCTGTAGCCCTAACCAGTAAGGCATGTCTGCATTATTTTTCTCACGCACCCAAAAAGAAATATTGACATTAGTTTACGCTAATTCATAACCGTGTGAGTAATAAAGCATTCATGTTTCGCTCTAGACTTCCGGTCCATTCCACCATTCCACATTAATGTATTTACAAAATAAAGTATATGGGCATTTCATGACCCTTCTAGTCATGCTTCTCATGCTCATCATACATTAATACATACACATGCATAAGTATATAATACATCTTTATTGCATCGAACGCTTGAAGTCAAAAAAAAAACCCGAAATTCAGTTTGTTCATCTTATTTGTGTTTGTATTTGTCTTTGTGTTCAAATGGTTCAAATGTAAACGACCACGAGAAACCTCAGCCAGACTACTCACAAAGATGGCTTACCGGGCTACAAAATGATAGAATAAAGAATAAAAAAAAACTGACTGAATTGATTTTCCTCGTCTTCCGAAATTCATAAAATAAACTTTTTCGTTTAGTTCAAGCTATGACAACACAAAGCATGTGTGCTCATTTCTCCAGAAAGCTTTGTAAGGAATAATCTTCCCCGTCTATTTATCTATTTATTTGCTTTGGTCTGGTTTGCTCTCTGTCTGTCGATTGGGCTGTCTCGGCGATGTGAACTTACTTTGAATCGACACTGAAAGTTCGTATTATCTCTTTGTATGCACCTGATAGGCGGGCGTAAAATGTAATTCAACCCACTTGAGCTCGAGTAAAAAAACAGAGCGGATCTGTTCCGCACTAGACGAACCAAAAGAGCCTCATTACATCCATACACCTTCCAAGCCCAATCTATTCCACAAACCATTGATTATAGATAATTCTTTCAAAATATGCCGTTCTTCCGCTTTTTGCTTACAGGTGCAGTAAATCCTTTCTGCTGCAGAGTACAAATACACCCCTCATTGAACGCCTGTTTTTTTTCTTCTTCTTTTTAGTGATCCATCCTTCGATCAGGTTCATCTCGCCCTCTTTTCTCTTTCCCCCTCCACGGCGGCCAAAACATCTGTCGCCAACCTCTTCCTTTTTTATACCCAGGCCTTTTTTTTTTCTTTCTTTTCACCTTCTGGTCAATTTTCTCCTTCATTTTACATTTCTCTATTTTCCACTTTTCCTGAAAACATCTTCACACCGACCTTCTTTTTTAAGAATGAGCAACCGACTCTCTGCAGACGTCATGGAGTCCTACACCCCAGATCCCACAACGATAAGCGAAAAGAAGTATGATGATAGCCACTCAATGCAAGAAGGCCAGAAGCGTGAAGGAAATGAATGTGCGACAGGTGATGGCCTTCAGCGTAATCTGGCCGCTCGTCACTTGACCATGATCTCTTTGGGAGGCACAATCGGTACAGGTCTTTTCTTGGCTTCTGGAGCTTCCATTGCCACTGGCGGTCCTGGATACTCTTTGATCGCCTATATGCTCATTGGAACCATGGTCTACTGTTTCATGTCTTCACTTGGAGAGATGACAACTTATTTGCCCATTTCTGGATCGATGAATGCTTATGGTACTCGTTTCTTTGATCCTGCTCTCGGATTCATGCTTGGTAAGTTTTATTCGATCGAAAAGTCCTTCCATCATTATCCAAGCCGAATCCTCAGCCATAAATGGCATTATATGGCACGAGCAGACAACTGCGTGTGGTATCCTGGAGCACAACTGGAGTCGACCAATCAGGTCAAATCCTCAAATGGAACTCATGCCCGCGTGATTTGTGCTCCTGGTAGTTCTGGACTCCGCTCCAGTCACGTTGCTTCCCTCATTCCACTCTTTACTAAAGTTTTGGCTCTCGATCATTAATACATTTTTTATTTTTTATTTTCTTTTTTAGGTTGGATCTACTGGTTTTCTTGGTCTATCACTGTTGCGACTGAACTTGTCGCATCGGGACTCATTATTTCGTACTGGATTCCGGACGAGACATGTCCTCCATGGGTATGGGCCTTGGTCTTTATTGTCATTCTCACTTCCCTTAATTTGGTGTCTGTCAAAGCATATGGAGAATCAGAGTATTGGCTTGCACTCATTAAGGTCTTGGCAGTCATGATCTTCATCATTGTTGGCTTTCTTTATATTGGTGGTGCAGTTGGTACCCAACAAGCGGGGGAGCCCAAGCCGGGTCCTGAAGTCTTTAACATGAGTCCATTCCATGGTGGATTTGCTGGTTTGTTCTCCATCTTCTTGAATGCTGGTTTCTCATTCCAGGGAGCAGAGTTGGTTGGTATCGCCGCAGGAGAAACCAAGAACCCTCGCAAGAATGTACCTCGTGCCATCCGTCAAGTGTTCTGGCGCATTATCATGTTTTATGTCTTGACCATGGTGATTATCGGTATGGCCATTCCTTACACTGACAACGCTCTTGCCAATAGTAATGGCGACATCAAGTCGTCTCCTTTCACACGTGTCTTTGTTCGCGCTGGTATTAATGTCGGAGAGCATATTATGAACGCCGTCATCTTGATTGCCATTCTCTCAGCTGGTAACTCGGGTCTTTATGCCTCATCTCGTGCACTCCATACTTTGTCCAAGGAAGGAAGTGCACCCAAGTTCATGAGTTATGTGAACCGCCATGGCGTGCCTGTCTATTGTGTCTTGGCCACTATGTTGGTTGGATGCCTTGCCTTCATTGTCTCATTGGATGAGATTGGCAAAGGTCAAGCCTATGAGTGGCTCTTGTCCCTGTCCTCGACAACTGGTTTCATTTCCTGGCTCGGTATTGCTTTTTCACACCTTCGCTTCCGTATGGCGTACAAGGCTCAAGGACGTTCCCTCAAGGATTTGCCCTTTGTTTCCAGTCTCTACCCCGTGGGACCAATTTATACAATCATTGTCTGTGTGATCATTCTATTGGCGCAAGGTTACACTGCATTCTCCCCCTTCAATGTAAAGGCTTTCCTGTCCGCCTATGTGACCTTGCCATTTGTCTTCATTCTTTACTTTGGAAAGAAGTTCTGGAACAAGACGAAGATCATCCGATTGGTTGATGTGGACTTGGACACAGGCCGTAGCTTCATCGAAACAACCATGCCTGTTCTCTCGGACACTGCTTCTGAAGCAGCCGTTCAACCTTCCAAGATGACCCAATGGCGGAAGCGTGTCGTGAACTTCTTCTTTTAAAAATCTCCCCGTTTCCTGATTTCAGAAACAACTGTACTATATATACTATATACTGTGAATTGTCCATAAAAAATATTTAATTTTATTTTTATTATTCTACATGATCGTATTATATTACATGCGCTTTCTCATGGTTTATCTTATTTTAAAATGGCGATTTTTGTGATAAAAGACCTGTTGGCTTTTTTATCAGTCTCCCGGCTTCCTGCACTGCTGATACAATCTCTCCAATATCTGTTTCCAATACCTAAAAAAATAAGGAAAGAGGAAATGCTTTGTTAGTCAAAGTGTCGCGCGCATTGACAACACGAACTCGGCATGGGCGACCACGCCATACAGTAAATAGTTTCGTCCGCCGCCCATTGTCCTCTTTTTTTTTTTTTTTTTTTTTTTTTTTCTTGTTGTGTTTATTTGTTTGTTTTGTTCTGTCATTTGTTGCCACTTCCAATGTTTGTTGTTGACATTCGTTGTTTGTTTCTAGGTATTTCACACAAAATGTTGTTCAATCCATTTCATGTCCTTACCATGCCTCCTGTAATAACTTCGGCCAAAATATCGTGTACTTCCTTGAAATGAAAGATCTAACAAAAAAGTTTCCACAAAAAAATAAAATAAAATAAAATAAAGCAAGTAAAGGAAGGGTTAGTTTTTTTTTTTTTTTTTTTTTACTGGACCATGCCATGCACATGTACACAGCAATTTTTTTCCTTGATCCATTCCATTTACCAAGTCCAGTTCGCAAACATTCTCAAAACATCTGTCCAAGCTCTCGACAAAGACCTAAAACAAAACAAAATAAATTTTAATGGTGGATAGCTTCACAGATTTTTTTTTTTTTTTTTTTTTTTTTTTTTTTTTAATAAAAAAATACAGTATGGTGCTGTGAAATTACCTGGATCAAATCCAAGATACCAAGTTCACTTTCTGATTCATCCACAACAAAGACAAAATATAATGTGGCGTAATGGCGATAAATGACTCGTGTATCTTGACCTCCTAACATTTGACTGCCTTCCAAGAAGTTACAGACTGTATCGGGACGTTTTGAGATGAGACCAAAAATCTCTTTGATGAGCGCTTGCTGCATTGCAATGTCCTAAAATATGAATTGTGCCACACAAATAAGGAGAAACAAGGAAAAGGAATGTACATGAGAATCAGTTTTGCTCTTTGCGCTGAAGTTGTTGTTGCTGTTTATCATTTTATCATTGATATTGTTGTTGCTTTTACTGATGTCGCAAGCTCAATCGCTTGCAATCTCCTTACAATTGGTTGGTAAAACTTTGTCAACCGTGGGTTGCCATGATTATTAAAAATGAGTACTGATTTAATCATGGGTGAAAATGTGAACAATAATGATTGTAATAATTATAATTGAGAATGTCTTTCAAAAAGATTGACTATACAGCGCATCGCCCTGTTCCTCTGTACAGCTTTAGTCCAAAAGTGGTCGAAGTGGCTTGCAGGTGACGTTTGGTGAAAAATGCAAAATGTTGATCTTTATCTATCGATATTCTTTCTACATGTTCATCGCATGGATGTATTTTGTATATTCATGCTATTTATGCAAGGGCAAGGATGACAACAGCCACCATAGTCAACAATATGGTCTTGCCTGCAGACCGAAGACTCATTACTCTAGGACTGCCGCTTCCTCCTGTACCTTCGTACAGCCTTGCAACCTCACCCACACTCAGTTGAATGTTCTTAAAATAGACCTGAGTATCAACTGGTGTGGCATAAGACGCATCAGATCCTCCAAAGAAAGATGAAAACATCAGCCCTTGAAACCCGACCATGCCTGTAGAGCGATAGGGTATATTATTCATCTCAACAGCCAAGTTTCCATTCATGTAGACCTGCAACATGCCATTATGGTTACCAGCTGGTTCATTCAATGCCATGACTACATCGATGCGGTTCCAAACACCTGAGGGGAAATAAATCTGTCCTCGACCAATGGATTTGCCATACTCATCATTGCATATCACCTCGGGACTCTTGCAAAGACTGGATTCAGGACCTGCAGGAACATAGGCATACACTTGTAGTATCATAGTATATTGGGTAAATTAAATTTTATTAAGTATGCAGACAAATTAAAAAAAAAAAAGACCCTCATTATTTTGCAGTTCATAATTTACCTTCACCAGCTCCGCTGGATCGCCACATGAGCCGCACTGTGAGACAATGATCTCCAGTGGATTGGATGCCTCCAGAGCAACCATCGTGGGGTGCGCCCCCGTACACTCCAGGAAGCTTGCCGCCTAAATGGGAGTAGTTGAGGTCAAGCAAAAATGATAAAGACAACCAAGATGGATAAGGTTAGAGAAAGCAGAGATTAAGAAATAGTGGCAAAAATCGGTGCCTGAAAATATTACAAACTTCAACTATTGACTTTTGCCTTCAAGTCATACCTTGGACCCAATTGAAACCATTCGGGAATGCAACATCATAACTGACCATCATCTTCTCAAACGATGTCTTATTACCAAAAGGGATTGCATAAAACTGTGCTCCACCCATGACAGGCCCAAGGGAAGGTGCAAATGATCCTTTAGGGTAGTTTACTTGCAAAACAGGACCACCACTAGGGTTATAGGGATCTGGGGTAAATGAGATATCATTGCCTCCCATCGCAATGTGCTTGTAGGTAGTTGACCAATTTTGGACGATATATTTTTCACCACTTAGACTGCTGTTCCTTCCTTTCCCGCCTTTGCTAGTAATCGGGGTTGTGGGCATGGGTGCAATCCAGTTCTGTACAAGCCCATTCTGATTATATAGTTGATCGCGTGTAACAGAATCTGCTGCTTCTGCCAGCGGCGTTATTATTATACTGAAGAGGAGACATGAACTTGTCAAGAGGATCAGTTGTAATGAGGATGGAAAAAGTGCAATCATGTGTGCAATATCTGAAATGCCCAAGAACTATTGTTGCTAATGTCGAAGAGCGGTGTTGCGTTAAGGCTATTGTGCTGTCGCAAACGAGAAAATGAGAGAGAATAAGATGTAAAGTAGGGAAAAAAAAAAAAAAAAAAAAAAAAGAGAAAACCCTCAGGGGGTTATTTACAACAAGCTGTGTAGTGTTTGTCTTGTAGTTTTTTTTTTTTTTTTTTTTTTTTTTTTTTCCTTTGTTCGAAAGTGTAAAAACAAAACGGGGGACTGATGAGGAATGAAGAGAAAGCCAAGGAAGATGGGTGATGAATGAATAAGAATGAGATTGAAGAAAGAGTGAAAGAAAAAAATAAAAGAGCAATTCATTTTATTGCATGTACATGTACAGACCATTGGAAAGACTTTTAATGATAAAAAAGTTCAAAGCGCGCAAATATTAATTTTTCGGAGCCCTTTCCTTCCACATTTGTCTTTACTGCTGACCACGTTTGTGCCTGAAGGAGGGACAGAAAAGGAGACAGAGAAAGCGGAGGCGTGATAGGAGGTAATGAAATAATGACATGTAGTAGTTTACAGCACACTGTAAGCTCGATCTAGCCTATTTAGAGTCGATGTGCCTGTGAATTTCACTTTTTGAACGTGATCTCTTCTTGAACGTATTCACGGATTCAGTCACTTTAGTGGATAGAAGGTATCAGGATCATTTGACATTCGTGGGCAAATGGCGAGCTTGAGTGGTACGACATTACGGTTAAAAATGCCCTATTTTTATGAAATCGAATCGAAGCAAGTGGCATTTTTGCGTGATACCATCGCGCAGCCACAACCGCCGTCGCTATTTGTGGAGATGCAGGTTGATTTATTTTTGTTCAGCCATTCATCTCTTCTCTTCCCGCCAAAAGCTTTACTACAGCTGGGGAACTCCTTGTGCGCTGTGTACATTTTACATTTGAAAATATATGCAGTGTTATATTATCCATGGACCTGAACTTGTGACTTGGGGGCGTTTCTTTGAAAAAGGTAAAAAATAAAAAATAAATAAATAAAAAAAAAAATATAAGAAACAAAAGTATAAAGTTAAAATAGGTTAAAAAAAAGGTTAGAAAAGGTTGCTTTTTATTAATAACCTTTGTGTTTTGTTTATATCCAAAGGGTCATGGATGGAGTGAACATTGTTCAACGCCAAGCTGTTGCTGACTGTTTAGCTCGCCAGGGGTTGGAGGAAGGATATGAGGTAAAAGCTATTTTTTGCCATCTTGGAGATAAAAATAATTGGCCTGTTGCACAACATGGTGCCTCCATTGTTGATGTGTTTTGTTCCTTGTCCCCAGTCCTTTTTGTAGCACCCTCAATCCAACGGAGAAAATGATGCAACTCAAGTGTTTGTTTCTGCAAGTAATGAGGTTCTATAAAAAAAAAAAAAGAAAAAAGAAAAAGAAAAGCGATGGTGATCGGGAAGGATAAAAAGGATCGAGAATAAAAGAAAGTTGCAATTGCGAGGGCGCAGTAGAGTCGAATGTGACGAAACTGTAATTCTGTTGTCAAGGTGTGTCGATTTGCTACTGCAACTGCGACATCCAATGTAATACAAAGGAAGCAACACTTGAATGGTTATGACATCCTTTCTTTCACTGCGCGGTGGGCCCAATAATGAAGGACACGTTACGGATTATTACGAGCGACAAAAAGGAGAGACCAAACTTTTGATACATTATGTCGACTGTGAATTAATAATTGAAGAATAAAAAAGAAGCATCATCGAATCGAGTGATGACAACACTTTCCTTAACTGAAGTCGAAAGTGTTACAGACGGTGTATGTGCATGGATGTATGAAAATACCCATTGATAAAAATTAATTGAACAAAAGAGAAAAGAATGGATGGGTAAGTAGTTTCGATTATGAAGAGGGGATAGTAGTAAATAGAGTTCGTGAAGGGTGTAAATGCATATCCATACTTTCTTTTTGCCCTGTGTTTGCATCGCCCAACACGCTGCGCCATCTTGATCATTGACTTATTTTTTGTTAATGTTACTTTATTTAATTCAAAACTTAATTGCTGCGATTAATACGATGGCAAAGTCAAATTCATGACAACTTCATTTGACTCGACTTCATTCGCCTCATCCCCCTTCCTTCCGCTTTCACCTCTCTCTTCCTCTCCCTCTTTTTCGTATAAATAAGACTGCTGCTCTCCTTCTCTCTTTCCTTCCTTCTTCTTCAAACAATTAGTCTTTTCACGTCTTCCGTAGCCCTTTTTTTTACTACTACTACTACTACTACTACTACTACTACTACTACTACTACTACTACTACCATCAACTCAACCTTAAAACCTTCTTGCCGCCATTTTTTTCTTTTTACTTTCGCCCACTGCGTCTTCTCTCACATCCGTGACACAGACACATTTCAGTTGACACTCTTCCTCTCTTTTTGTCCTTTGTCCTTTTTCCTTTGCCTATTCTTTTTTTTTTTTTTTGACTTGTGCCATCCATATCAGAAAAATATTCTATTCGACTCCCTCCAACGTCCGCAGCATATAAACCTACTCGTGTTGTGTGTGAAAGCCAAACAAGGATCAGCTCTACTCTCATTGCTCAAGACCGCATCATGAACGCACATTCAGCATCAAAGTATGCATCAGGCCAATCCCAATCAATGACTGATGTTGACATGGACGGTGTTGAGACTCATGTCTCGCAACTGGGTGTCAATGATGCCATCAGTGCAGCCTCATCGTCAAGGTCCGTATCAAGGAGGTCTACTAGTGAAGATGAGATCATGGGTGAACGCAGCGACGATGATGACTCTGCTGTGCCGGGCTTAAGCGAAGATGAGGGTAGTGATTCAGATGAAGAAATGCATACCAAGGGTCGCACTACCGATACCGAACATCTCCAGGATAAGAATAGCAACGATAGTGATGAGTCAGCTACTGATCGTAGCCTAGAGACAGACCAGAATCAAGAGGACAAGAGGCTATACTCATCCGAGTCGGCTGCCTCATCGACTACGTCCCTTCAAACCGAGCCCTCGATCATTTCTATCCCAGAGGCTGTCTATTCTGCGGTACCTGTGTCGTCCGAACTCTATATCATTCCCCACTCAAGTAAAGGTTTTAGATGGAACGAAGATCTTTTCCTTAAATCACATCAACGCCGCAGCCTGGGTGTTGATGATATGTATAACGACTCTGAAGGCTCAAGCTCTGGCAGCAACGAAGCTGGGCTAGTAGTCCATGAAATCCTTTTAGATGAGGATGAATCCAAGCAGATCCTACCATCCTAAAAAAAAAAAAAAAAAAAAAAAAAAAAAAAAGTACATAGAATGTTTATAGTATGTAAAATAAAAAAGCGGTGCGTGAATGAGTTTACACAAAGTATCAACATTTGTTTCCCGTCATTGGTTACTGCGCCTTTGGAGATTCAGCATGGTTTTGGAGAAAAAATAAGGCTGTGAACTAAGTTACATTGACTAAAACAAGCTTAAGTGTTCACCATGATGAGTAACAAAAAAGGGGTTTTATTGTTGAAGTAGGTCGAAGCCAGCTATTTTTATTAAATCAAATGATAGCACGTATAGAGAAGTCCAAGCAAAATGAGCATCTCTTGTCGCCTCAGCTTCGCCATTCCAGAAGAAAAGGAAAAAGATAAACAAAATATAATAGGAGTAAGCAACTCCTCGTCTCAAAATTTGTCTATGTCGAAAACGAAGCAGTACTAACCTCAGAGGTGCACGTCAACTTGTGCAAGCCCCTCTCTGTTTGCTTGTAGCATGCAATGCACGACAACAACAAAAAATAAAAAACGGTATTGACAAAATAATTGAAACAGTGTCAATGCCTCAGTACAAGAGAAGCACTGACTCCAAATCTAGACTTTTGACGACTTTTGGCGCCGTAAGGGAAGGAGCTAAAACACTAAAGCGCTGTGCATGTGTAACATGAAATTCATTTCCAAAACACTGGATCTTTTAATTTTGTTTTGTTTTGTTTTCTTGTAATGTCGAGACAGTCAGACCCATGATCATACTATGGATCTGCAACCTCATAATCGAATTGTTACACAGATGAGTACACTAAAGTACCAAGTCCACACTATTCCACATAGTGCTTCTTGTTGTGTGGCATCGACATCCCCTCAATTGCTTGTCCTATTTCAGTTTTCAATCCTTGTTCTTTTCTTGTAACGAAGGACTTTGGTCTTTTTTAATCCATAAAAGGATTTCAAACCCCCCTCCACTACAAAGACCAACCTCGAGTGCTCTTGGTACGACTCCTTAAGACACTTCAACTGCTCACTTGGCCCAACCTCATGGAGTGTTATACGTTGTGATTGTCCACTGAGAGTCCTATTTTCGTGTACAGGCAGTTCAGCTTTGGGTTGAATGTACATGGCACTTTCAAATCCTATTCTCTTGCCATAAAATTATTAAAATGAAGAATAAGGCATGAAAGACTACACTCCCACTCAAAAGAAAAAGAGGACGTGCAGTATCGCCTCTTCTGCAATTAATTTTGGGGGCTTGAGCTTTGCCACGCGAAGTTGGTAGAACAGTCTTCATCGTGATACTATCTTTGTTTTGAATGAGAAAGGGACGATCTAAAAAAAAAAGAAGGTGTTAGAAAACAAAGAATGGAGGGAGCCCTTTAATGTTTAGCATTTATCCCTTTATTGGTCAACGCTATTGTGGTGTCTTATTTGTTTGTATTTCTACAGATAATGAGTCCTATTGTCAAAGGCAAAGTTGAATGCTAGCCTTCTGATCTATTTCAGTATTTAAGCGCGCGACATTTTTTTCCTTCCCATCTAATTATCATCTTACAACTTATCCATCCTTTCTGAAGGCAGTTATACTTTTCTACACACAAACTCGAAAGAGAAATAATAATCATAAAAAACACGCTAAGGCAATCCGATCATGAACCCAACATCGTCAAACAGCTCGACCATATTTGAGAGTAGCAAGGCTCTATTCATGTTCTTAGATGAATCCACCTCCAACCGAGTCAAGGCCAATATCAATGACGCATGGAAGAATGAATCTGCAGAGACCCGTCAGAAATATGAACTTCAAGCAGGCATTGCCAGCCAGTCACTCCCTCAATATAGCTTCAAGCAGCCACAAAAGGATGGAGAATCCAAATAGGATCGGTTCATAGACAGCATTGTTTTAATTCATAGACAGCGTACAACACAAAATAAAAGCATATGTTTGTCATGTGACATCGAAAATTGTATAAAGCAGCGCCATTCGTAAAACTTTGATTCCTCACCATTCCTATCCGGATGGAATCACGTATACTCTAATGAAGGTCTTACTGACGGAGTATATTGCTGACACCATTCAGACACAACCCAGTACATTCTTCTTTCTCTTTGGAAAGAAGGATGTGCTAATTTTTGGAAACCCATTATTCTGTTTTAAACGACTCTTTTTTGTTAAAAAACAGAGTCGTCTTTTTCAGTAATAATTGAACCTATTCTTATTATTACTTATTATTACATATTATTAAAAGGAGCAAATGGGTGAGAGTGAGCATGGGAGAGATTATAATTAAAAAAAAAAAAAAAAAAAAAAAAAGTCAAAAGAGAGTGATGGAAAGCTGCAACTATTGCATTGCATCGTTGGATTATTCTTCCAGCTGGAAGTGGACTAGATGGCTCTGTTCGTTCGAGCAACCCTTTTTTTGGTTTTGAACAGTCACTCAGGAAATAAAAACATTTGACATTTTTTTTTGTGTGCCGCTCGCTCACTTGCTTCTCTTCTGTTTCGAGAACCAGGCATTGTCGCTCGGGTAGTGGATAAAAGGAGGAAAAAAAAAAAAGACACTATTGCTATCTCTGTCGCTCTTTCTCGCTTTCTTTCTCTCGACCACTCGACCACTCGACTTCTCGACACAGTCATTGTTTTTAGTGCGTTTTCGCTTCCTGACTTTGCCAACTCATTACTTGAACAAACCTGGTTGCCACACTACACAATCTCACCATGATTTCAAAGAATTTGGAAGAAGCAAAGGCTGATGTTAAGTCTAGTTTGAAGGAGGCTCAGAAGCATGCAGAGGCCTTGTTTGGCAGCAAGGGACTCACAGACCCTATTCCTTCGGTCGAGGTGAGTCAGGATGATAAAAATAAAAAATAAAAAAAAATAAAAAAATAAAAAAAAAACCAGCAACACAAAAGAGACTCTAACTGCGCCGCCTTCTTTACAAGGCATTACAACGAATCTTCCAACTGACATGGAAAAAAAAAATCTGTTTGTATATTTGGAAAAAAACTTTCATAGGATAAATGGAAGCTGCTTCCTGCGTTCTTAAAAGTCAAGGGTTTAGTTAAACAGCACATCGACTCTTTCAACTATTTTATAAACGTAGATCTGGAAAAGATTATCAAAGCCAATGAGCGGGTCAAATCTGATGTTGACCCTCACTTTTACCTCAAGTACGCAATGTTCTTGTTGACGATAAGGTTTTTTTCTTTTTTCCTATTAGAGTATACGTATTCGGAATACTATCAAAACTTGGCTAACACGCAGCTTAACGTAACAAATGCGATTCATTAGATACACCGGAATTAGAGTCGGCGCACCAGAAAGACCAGATCAGGAAGCTATGAATAAATCATATACACCACATGAGTGTCGTCTTCGTGATCTCACATACTCTGCCAATATCTATGTCGATGTCGAATATGTCCGTGGTCGCCAGATCGTAAGGCGTAAGGGCGTACCCATTGGAAGAATGCCTATTATGCTTAGGAGCTCACATTGTGTCCTCACAGGAAAGAACGAAATGGAATTGGCAAAGATGAACGAGTGTCCATTAGATCCAGGTGGATATTTTGTGGTTAAAGGTGTGGAGAAGGTTATTTTGGTCCAGGAGCAGATGTCAAAGAACCGTATTCTCGTCGATGTAGATCGCAAAGGGTTTGTCCAGGCAGGAGTTACCAGGTACGCAGTTTTGCAGTCTTTATATTCTTCGCCATCTATCATCACAATTGCTGGAAAAAATGTCGACAACAGGGATTTAGCACTAAGAATATGCTCAAATATATAAAAATATAGTTCTACGATGGAACGTAAATCCAAGACATATGTTGGAACAAAACACGGAAAGATTTATTTAAAACACAACTCAATTTCAGAGGATATTCCCATTGTTGTGGCACTCAAGGCTATGGGTATGCAGTCAGACAAGGAGATCACACAACTCGTTTGCGGACAGGATTCAAAGTATATCGACAAGTTTTCACTCAACCTTGAAGAATGCTCAAAGATGAAGATTTTTACTCAACAGCAGGCACTTGACTATATTGGATCAAAGATCAAGTCCCCCAAGCGCGCCTTTACTACAGGCATCCGTAGACCTCCTGTAAGTCGGCCTTTTTTTTTTTTTTTTTTTTTTTTTTTCATATTCTTTTTGCAAAGAGTAACGGCTTATGATTGCATACTGACTAGCTTTCCACTTCTATATCCTATATAGTCTGAAGAGGCACTGGAAGTTTTAGCAACAGTTGTTTTGGCGCACGTAGAGGTCCATGACAACAACTTCAGACCCAAATGTATCTACGTGGCGGTAATGACTCGTCGTGTGGTTATGGCCATGCTTCGCGGAGATTTGGTTGATGACCGCGATTATGTTGGAAATAAGCGCCTTGAGTTGTATGACAGAACCGGGTTATGGATAAAAAAACAATGGTTGAAGTTATAAGATGAAGCATCAAGAGTCTAGATACTGACCATACTTTTCTTGAAATGTGGCTACACCAATTAGGGCTGGACAATTGTTATCACTCTTGTTTGAAGATTTGTTCAAAAAGTTTAATTCAGACTTGAAGATGAACATCGACAAGGTACTCAAGAAGCCTAACAGGACTCAGGAATTCGACGTTTATAGTCAGCTGCTCATCCATGGAGATCATATCACTGCAGGATTTGTCCGTGCTATCTCGTCTGGTAACTGGAGTTTGAAGCGCTTTAAAATGGAGAGAGCTGGTATTACGCAGGTGTTGAGTCGCTTGAGTTTCATTTCAGCATTGGGTATGATGACACGTATTTCGTCGCAGTTCGAAAAGACCAGGAAAGTCTCAGGACCAAGAGCTTTGCAGCCCTCTCAATGGGGAATGCTGTGTCCCTCTGATACACCAGAGGGAGAGGCCTGTGGTCTTGTCAAGAACTTGGCGCTCATGACACACATTACTGTGGATGACGAAGAAGAACCTCTCGTCAAACTAGCTTTCATCCTTGGTGTAGAAGGTATATATATTGATTGTTTTTTGTTCTTTTTATATTCTTATCTTCACAAAACCACTCTTCATGTTTCTACACAGTTGCTATTTGTATTAGTTGCCTTTGCTTACAATTCTTTTACTCGAATAACCATATAGATGTGTCATTGCTTACGGGGCCAGAGTTATACCTGCCTGATACTTTCCTGGTTTTCCTGAACGGAAATATTCTGGGAATCACGCGCCATAGTAAGCAATTTGTTGCGGCTTTTCGCCGCATGCGAAGAGCCGGCCGCATCTCAGAATTTGTCAGCATTTTTATCAGTGATCATCACAATTCTGTTCATATTTCATGCGATGGTGGACGCATTTGCCGGCCATTGATCATCGTTGAAAACGGCAAGTCGAGAGTCAAGTCAGAGCATATTGTACAACTTTCTGCAGGCAAACTCGCTTTTGATGATTTTTTGCGCCTTGGACTGATCGAGTATCTGGATGTTAATGAGGAAAGCGATTCCAACATTGCACTATACGAACGTGAGATTATCCCTCAGTCGACTCATGTTGAAATTGAGCCCTTCACCATTCTTGGAGCTGTCGCTGGATTGATTCCTTATCCACATCATAACCAGTCACCCCGTAACACATACCAGTGTGCTATGGGTAAGCAAGCCATTGGAGCCATTGGCTACAACCAATTTAATCGTATCGACACATTGCTGTACCTCATGGTTTATCCTCAACAGCCTATGGTCAAGACCAAGACGATCGAGATGATTGGATATGATAAATTGCCTGCAGGACAGAATGCTACGGTCGCAGTCATGTCCAATTCTGGTTATGACATTGAGGATGCGCTTGTTTTGAATAAGGCGTCGCTAGATCGCGGATATGGTCGATGCCAGGTGCTTCGTAAATATGCCACATTACTTCGACAGTATCCCAATGGAAGCTATGATCGCCTCGCAGATCCACCAGTTCATCCGGACGATCCCAGCATTGTTCAGGATAAGTTTGATGTGCTGGATAAGGATGGTATTGCCTCAGTTGGAGAAAGGATCAAGCCTGGTCAAGTCTATATCAACAAACAGATGCCTACTAACACTAGCTCAGATATCGGTGTCAATTCGCGTGACCCAACAGCCAATGCATACAAGAATGCGCCCATGTCATATAAGAGCGCCATGGAGGGTTATGTAGATAAAGTTTTGATGACAACCACCGAGAATGATCAGACGTTGATCAAGGCGCTTATTCGGCAGACTCGTCGTCCTGAATTGGGAGACAAGTTCTCGTCACGTCACGGACAAAAGGGAGTCTGTGGTATCATTATTCAGCAGGAGGACATGCCATTCTCAGACCTGGGTATCTGCCCAGATGTCATCATGAACCCTCATGGTTTCCCATCTCGTATGACGGTCGGGAAGATGATTGAGTTGTTGGCAGGCAAGGCGGGGGTTTTAAAGGGAGAATTGCAGTATGGAACTGCGTTCGGTGGATCCAAGGTTGAAGACATGAGTCGCATTTTGATCGAAAACGGATTCTCATACTCTGGAAAAGATTTTGTGACGAGTGGAGTTACTGGAGAGCCATTGTCAGCATATATCTATTTTGGACCTGTCTATTACCAAAAATTGAAGCATATGGTTATGGACAAGATGCACTCACGTTCTCGTGGTCCTCGTGCAGTATTGACTCGTCAGCCAACAGAAGGTCGTTCCAGAGATGGTGGTTTGCGTCTCGGAGAGATGGAGAGAGGTAAGCATGTCTACCAATGGCTTTGTGACAATAATTCACAGTGCTGCAAGCTTATTATTTTAACCTTTTTTTTTTTTTTTTTTTTTTTTTTTACCTTGGTTGTTTGACTATAGATTGCTTAATTGGTTATGGAGCCAGTATGCTTTTGCTGGAACGTTTGATGATTTCATCCGATATTTTTGAGATTCATGTTTGTGAGATGTGTGGTTTGTTGGGATACGCAGGCTGGTGCCAGCACTGTAAGAGTTCGAAGGGTATGGCTAAGATGCAGATCCCATATGCATGCAAGCTTCTATTCCAGGAACTACAATCCATGAACGTCATCCCCCGTCTGCAGCTCGAGAATGTCTTTTAAAAAAATTAGAAAAATAAAATTGCATTGTACTGCATATTTCTAGCATTTACAACATGACATTCACCCTGACAATATTACAGAATACTTCATTGCCAACTTGGACCTTATTTGAAAAGTAAGAGAACGCTTCATGTGTTGCACAAAATTTCGTCCAAAAATAATTGCTGCAAAGCGAAAGTCATGAACAAGGTGAACCATAACCATAATTTTCGTGAAATAAATGGGTGATCGAGTTTCTTGACTTTTAAAAGTTTGTTTATTAAGCACCATAGTCATCTTCACCATCGTTGCTCGTTGTGGTTGTTTCCGCCACTATCACCCTTCAATCCTCGAGACGAGTTTAGTAGTATAGGGCTTATATCTTGGCCCGTCATCAACACGCAAAGAAAAATCAAAGGCGAATAGACATGAGATGGAAGAATAATCGAATGCTTGTCAGGCATCTTATATCCCAAAATCAGCTCAAAAGTCAATGTCTCCCGTATTTTATCAACGCCTCCTTTTTGTTGCTCTCACCGTCAAACAGTGTATGTACTGTTATCTGAAGAGCTTGAAGCTGTTTTCAAAGGTGTATTTTTTTTATGGGCTCATTCATATTTTTATGAGTGACGTTTATGAGCTATCGTTAGAGGCTGAGCTCAACAATCATGGGCTGGAGTAGGCTCGTCACCAGTCTGAGGACGAGCCTAGGGCTGGAGATTGTCAGAAGGACATCCGGCCTCGGCAAAACTAGCGGTAGCAGGAAGCCTCCTTAAGAGTCACTTTAGCGACTATGGCACAAATACGATTTTCTTACCAAAATCATACCACGACTCCTTGATAAAGGGATGGTCGTTTTCGTTCACTTCACATGCACTTGATGAGACTTGTCACTTTTCCAGAAAGTCCCATGCTCAGGGTTTTTGGAGGTCTACTTTGCTGTCAGTCGTAACCAGATTTTCAAACTTCCAGTTAGTGCTTCTCTTTGAGGGCAGGGATGATCTTGTGCAGCCATTCATCGTGGACTTTGATGAATTGATGGCTATAGGAAGGTCAAGGAGTCGCGAAACTTCGAGGATGTCGTCAAGAAGGTATTGCGCAATATGAAAAGTGGATGTTGCTTTATGTCATCAAGGCCTGTTCATGAAAGGGCTCAGCATAGAAACATGAAAAGGAAAAAATACAAAGTGGGTGGTACGACGGTAAAGGGCATTGGTCGGAGTGGGGTAAAGAAATATGCTCGATGACGATATATTTCTTGGGCGGGAAGGAAAAAAAAGGAATAACCCTGCATTAAAAAAAAATACAAAAATGAATGTCCTCTTCGACTAATGACATATGATTCTATCGAGTGTAGAATGCTTTATTTTGGTTATTGGAAGGAATAGCAATAAGGGCAATGGAGACAGCAAAGACGCGTAGCATTGGTCAAGGATGTATAAATTTGGAGGAAGCTAGCGGAGCCAAGTTTATTACTTATTAACCCTTCCCACTTGCCATTCGTTGTATGAGTAAATTGTACATGCTAGTCTAGCTTGACAAAAGCAAGAACATTTATAAATCTTTTAATATTAATGTATACAGTCCAACATTTTCGAAGCTTAAAGTCTCCATTTGCAAGCAAGGAAAAAAAGACAAGCGTGACCCAACGAAGGTTGCCACAGGGCTCTCACACAGAAACATGCACAACAACTGGACCCACCCATCAAGATTGAATCGATTTCCTGTATCCGCACACATTTTCGCGTTGTCAAAATAGTAGCTCCCTTTTCTTTTTTCTTACTTAATTTCATCTTCTTTGTACATGTTCATGTACTGTCTCCTGATTTTTTTTTTTTTTTTTACAAGAGCGATAAATAAGATATCAGGAGAGTAAATGGTAGATATGAAGGAGTAACGAACATTAGCAATGCATATTGTAATTATAACGTGTCCTTGTTGTCTATCGCAGAAAAGAAAAGAAAGGACGACCTCACGGTTGCCTGAAAAAAATTGGACATGCTTTTTGTACACCAGTTTTGTTGTTTACAACCTCTGCTATTCGATAAATGCATTTGTGTTGACCTCAATGCGGTCCAATGCTTTTTTTGCAGTGCAATCCAATGAGAGCTGTCTTCCTCTCTCTTCTAATGCTTGAGTCTGGTTCTATTGTTTCTACTAGTTCGTTTCTAGCTGAACTGCATGATGGACTTTTCCTTGCGATGCAGTCTAAGCGCGTTCTTCCAACTCACAGCTAAAACCCTGCTCTATCGTCACACATCCTTTCCATCTTTTTTTTTTTTTTTTTTTTTTTTTTTTTCTGCATTCTTCATCGCATGTAATCTTTTTTATTACATTACTCCATTTGTGAAATACTTCTTTAGACTCTTTCTGTTTTTCTCTCCCACGCCCTTTCATACCCTTACTTATCCATCATTTTATTCTCTTGTACAAAATCTCCACAGACAAACGCCCACCTTTTTTTTGTATCCCCATTCTGTCGCTTGAAATTAAAGTTCGTTACCAATCACCTCAACCTGTCATCATCAGTCCGCACGACGCCCTACTATCCTCTCTGTCTTCACCTTCTATCACTTCTTTCACACCACTTTGTTCTCTCGCCTTCTGTATTGTCAAAAGAAGAGGAAAGAAAGAAGAAATAGATACGTATACCAGAAGGTCTGCATTTATACATTTATCGTAAACGATCGCAAGAGAGAGGACAAGCGCAATTGTGTGCGTCTTTGTGTGCGCATGAACAAGTGAAAGCGGGTGTGAGAAAGGTGAACCCGTTTACATTGACTATTAGATCATAAAGTACCAAGCAAAACCATCGAAGAGAGAGAAGAAAAAGGAAGATCGAAATAAAAATAAGAAAGAATAGAAAAAGACATGAGTCTGGCGCTTTTGCCATGCCAACAGCAGCAGTATCTCTGACCGTAACGAACTCTCCTCGCCGTATATCCTCCACCTCTACTTCATCCTCATCGTCTTCTGCCTCAACTTGCTCTTCTACTTTCCGTACAAACTCCAAAGACTCGCCACCCTCGTCATCTGGAAGTGACAGTGGAGGAGGAAAACAAAGCGAAGGCGAAGGAGGATGGAGAAGACGAGGAACTACAACAACAGCAACAGCAACGACGACGGCAACAGCAACAGCAGCAACAGCAGCAAGTGCAGGGACAGTGTCACGGTTCAAGTTATCTAAGCTCCTCCATCTTCCACTTCATCATCAATCAAGTCGTTCTGAACAGAATGAAGTACAGCCGCCGTTATCACCACGACAACAACATTATCAGTACCTTCAACAGCAATCATTGAACTCTCACTCATACCACGCTTATAACCATCATGGCCGTCCACAACATCAACATCACGACCACGGGCGCCAGCACAGGTCAAAATACCATAGCTCGGCCGCTCGATTTCGACGGGGTAATTTCTTTGGGTTCCTGCAGTCATATTACCATGTCTTTCATCGACAGCTACAAGACTCAACAGACCCAGCAACGGATAAAGATGCATCGTTAGCCCATTCGTCTTTCGATGGCGATAGTGACAAAGATATAGACATTGATAGAGACCAAGATAGAGATGGACATTCCAAGAAACCTAATGCTATGACCTCCCCACGATTGCCTGTTCGCTCTATGCTGTCCTCACTACAATTTGGCAGGAGCAACGGCAATACCAAGACCAACTATAAAGGTGGTGGTAAGAACATGACCCCGCCTACGTTGGCAGTGCATCCAGGATACAATGTAAGACATCCTTTCTTTGTTTGAGCGATTTGGATTGTCTCTTTCCTTTTTGTCTGTGTTCATATTTGATAACGCAGGATGCGCTTTGTCCACGTTCTTTTTTTTTTTTTTTTTTTTTTTTTTTTTTTGGCCGTTGCTATTGCTCTTGTATTAAACCAAGGCCACCATTTCAGACTTTCGACCGCACGCAACCATTGACTCTACACTCTCTGATTCTCCACCAACGAAAATCACAGAGATTATTTTTGACCAGCATAGCAGATATGCTGCCTCTTCTTCTGCTGCCGCCATCGCTGACTCTCATCATCACCAATTGCTTCTTGAGTTACAACAACCGCAGTCGCAAGATGTAACTTCGTCATTATCGACCACAATTCCATCAACAACCGCGCTAGTGGTTGCTGCGCCTATCGGTACTAATTCAAGTAATACAAAGCTCACTACACATGCTAATGTTAATAATATTGCCAGTGATTCATTATCCCCGAAAGAGATTGTAACCGTGACGACGACAATAACAGATACAAACACCAATCCTTCTCTTTTCACACCGTCATCATCATCACCATCACCATTACAAATCAACTCTAATAACAACGCTGATAACAGCACAAAAATCAGTAGTGGTCTTAAAGCAACGTTGCGTCCGCTCAGTTTATTGAGCGGTAGTAACAAAAATAGCAAAAGCACTAGAACACCTCAGCTATCATCAATCATCCCTTCATCATTCATCTCCTCTGTGACATCCTCGACTGTGACAACGGAACCAATAGTCTTACCATCTAGACAGAATGCCGTTCCACTCCCGTCTAGAAGAACCCGTCGCTCAAAAACAGGACCACCCTTACCATTAATTCAACAACAACAGCAGCAACAACTACAGGGCCAAGGCAGTGATCAACCATCTTTACCGTCCACTTCAACCTCCTTCTCTTCACCTTCTAAACACATTACTAGAGCATTGGAGGCTGGAGCAAAGAAGATTGGGCTTTTAAAAAAGAAAAGGACAACGATACCCACTCACTACTTGTCATTGCCTGTTGGAGGGATAGCCTCTGCTGCTGTTTCAGAAGCAAGTGGGATGTATGCGCTACACTCAGAGGATCTTTCTGTCACAGAGTTTGCAAAACTAGCAGGAATCACCATTCTGCCGGATATTGAGAATGATAGCGACAATTATAACAGTGTACTCAGCTCGTTTCAGTATCATAATGTTGACGACACTATTGCTTCGAACAGCGTGGAAGAAGGAGCCGATGGTAGTAGCGGGAGTGGCCACCCGTCAACGGGCGAAAGTAGCAGTAGCGGTAGTAGCCATTTAATCAAGGCCATGATCCCTGGATCAGACTCTGGAAACACAATGGACTCGGATAGGCAGCTGACGACTGACAGTATGATCAGCAATCAGAGTTTCCTGAGGAAAGTCAACATTTGGGATCCTCAGTTCTGGACCAACCCTCGCGATGGCATCACTGGTACCACTGGAGCTTTTCAAGCAGTATCACGGCCTTCTTCATCGCCACCTATATTACTGTCAACGATGTCCGTCTCTTCCAGCGCGCCTCCATCACCAATGTTCTTACCTATGGCACAAATGCCCTTCAATATCCCAGCGTTGGTCAGACAGCCACCTACACCAGCAGAGTCAGATAACGACAATATCGTATGGAGTAGTGGCGATAGTAAAAAGGTTGAGGATGATTGGTCCAGTGCCAAGACCTCGGCTCAGGTGCGCAGGAACTCTTTCACGTCGGATGGACTGTGTTCAGGAGATGGAGCTGAAGGAGGGACATTGACAACAACTAAATTTAAGAGAGAGCGTGCACGCACTACGAGTGGCACTAGTATTACTCTCCGACGTGTCGATGAGATGCCCAACCCCCCAAAGGATGCAGCAGAACTCTCGAGAGATCTTACCCGGCGATGTCCGTTCACGTCATTGACAGCCGTTGCTATTGAGCTAGGGGGTAGCGAACAAGAGACTCAACAAAGAGAAGGGCCTGCCAATCGGTCTGAAGCCTCTCTTAATCAGGCAAGGGGCAACAGTACTACTCATTTAGAACCATCTTTGCCAGATCAGGCCATTGTCCCCTCTAGATCTCAACAACAACAACGCTCACATCCACATCATGTCCCTGCTCATACCGTAGCACTACATGCACTTCAGCCTTCGAGATGTAAGAATACTTTACTACAGAGTTGTGGTAGTGGTAGCAGCAGTGGTCTTCCACGATTACCAGGGGGCACTTCTAGGAATCGTTCATCTTCGCCTTCACCTTTGTCACGACAGATCAACTTGGACTCTCCACAAGAGGAAAAAGAGGAGTTTGATTTTCAGTCATCAACAACATCAGAAGCAGGAACATCATCCGTAACAGGGTTTGTACCGACTACTACCACTGTTATTACGGATACCACTGTTGCTACTAGATCGTTCACTCTCAACCCATCATCAATGGCTATGGCCATGTATCGGCAACGGACACAGTCCTTACCCACCTTGTTCTTGCCGGATCCACAGAATGTTGCTGCTACTGTTCCTGCCAGTGATACACTCTCGTCGCTGACAGCGTCAACACCATTTACATCTGTGACCCCTCTTGCATCAGGCTCGGTGGAGCGTAGGCCGTCAACATCGACATCAACGTTAGCTAGCTCCAAGCCGAAACGTACGTTTGAACCTGGAACCAAGGTCGGGAGATTTACGCTGGTGAAGGAGCAATGCACTAGACATGTTGATATTCTTCGAGCACAGGAGGAAGAGCTACGACTACAAAATCAATCAACGCCATCATCTCGCCGTATATCTACGATTAGTTTAATGTCTTCTTCGTCATCTTCGTTAGCTGTATTTGGACCAGAAGATCAAGAACATCATAATATAGTGGGCGCCTCGGATGAATGCAAGCATGGAGAGGATGAAAAATCACAAAAAGAAGGGAGCTGGATGAATGATAGCCTAGTAATGAAGTCAGAAGAGAATGTAGTAGTCTTTCAGCGCAAGAAGACCAGACGATCACTCCCAGTGAATCCACAACAACGATACTCGAACCCAAATCCAGACTCAAGTTCACAATTGCAATAGAAGAAAAAAAAAAACTATCCTTCGTATTATTATTTGTATTATAATAAATTAAAAATTACTGTTCACTCCAAGATTTTTTATATTTGGAGTGATCAAAAGTAATGGACAAAGTATGATATTACAAAAACTTTTTTTATTGACTAAACTTTGTACAGATCGAGTGAATAATTAGTATTGAAAAAAAAAAAAAAAAAAAAAAAAGAAAGGATGATTTTCAATGAAGAAAAGAAAGAAGCGTTGCGTTCAACTTCCTAACCCATTGTAATGGAGCCTTGCTCCTCCACAAGACCCTTATTTCAACCTAATGACCTTTTTTCTTTTTTGTGTTGGTAGTTTCCAGGAAGTGATTCTTTTTTTGTGCTTTGATTGAGATATAGTTGTTGTTACAATGAATGAATAGATAAAAAAAAAAAAGAGTAAAGCGCATATAAAAAAAATATATATATAAATGAAAAGGCAGGTTTTTACAATGCATTTGCAACCGCAACTGCGTAAGCGCCGGAATGGCTGATCGAGACCTTGATCTCTTTGACACCGGCTTTGGTGGCTGCTTCTTGTGCTGCACCTGAGAAAACAACCGAAGGTGCTCCGCTCTCTGCCATCACAATTTCAATCTCGGCGAGTCCTGCACCTGCTCCTTGAGTCCAGACTTTCTCTGCGTCTAATGAGAACGACGACACAGCCTTGACCACAGCCTCTTTGGCGGACCAACGTCCTGCAAAGCTTGCCTGCGGGTCAGGTCGGCTCAGACAGTAGTCAATCTCTTGCTGTGTAAAATTGCGCTCCAAAAATGTCTGGTTCTCAATATTGATCGCAGAGACCATCTCGACATCGACACCTACACCACGTGATGTTGAAACAGACTCTTTTGCAGAAGTCTCAAGGATAGCTCGCGTCATATCTACATCAACCTTCTCTCCTTGAGGGACCAATGCTTTGGCATTGAAGGCCCAAGACTTAGTAGTGTTGTTGTACTGAGCACGAGCGCGAGGATCAAGGTAGACAGGCGATTCAAGTTCAGGAGTGTATGGAGGAGCGTTCTTGACCTGTACCAGGGCTGGACCACCAGTCATTGAGTCGTGGAGATAGCGGTATGACTTGGCCTGGCGTGCCTGCTGCTTAGCCTTGTATGCCTCATACTCATGTTCTTCAAGAGCACCAAGGATATAATCCGAGTGAATCACAAGGACTTCACCACCTACTTGACCGAATCCAAAGGACTTGAGCAAACCTGCCTTGATACCATCAGTCTGGATCGAACGTGACGTGTACAACACATACTCATATTGCTTCATAACATCATCAATGTTATCGGCGTTACGGTTACCAGGAATCAAACCAGTCTGGAGGACCTGGAGAACTCCATTCAACATCCAGGCAGCAGCAGCACCCTTAGGATGGCCAGTAAGGTATTTCTGCCAGATCGAGGGCAGCGCATTACCCTTGCTGCGACCCAAATGCTCGAGCTGCTTGTTGACGACTTCGGATTCATTCTTGTCGTTAGCTTTGGTAGAAGTGCCGTGGAATGATCCAACACCAATATCATCGATAGTCAAGCCAAAGGAGGCAAGAGCGCCGCGAAGAGGTGCAATTTGAGGGTCCTGACGATAGAACTCATTGCCCCACAAGTTTAATGCCTCGCGGTGTTGGCGCTGGGCTTCCTTCTGGATACGTTCGGTCTCAGCAGCGAGATACTCCTCTTCTGTAACAGTGAGTGCGTTGTTGGCTTTGAGCTCCTCAAGTTCATACTTCAGTTCTGTGTACTCGTTCTCGACCCACTGCTTGATCTGAGCACGGCGAGCATCAATCTGACGCTTACGATATTTGATGTCCAGAAGACGAGAAGGCATCTTGCCCTTGGCCTCTCGAGCAGTGGTCAAGACACCCTGGCCAGGTGCAGGGACAGAGCGGCCCTCCTTGTCGGTAGCGGTGTTAGTTAGAGCGATAATACCATAAATTGGGACACCCATCTTAATGGCAAGTTGAGCCTGCATCAAAATCTCAATACCAGCACCATGCGACTCCATGAAACCAGCACGAGTAGTCGTGGCAGGACGAGACATTTCCTGAGGCGTGCGGCCATGGGCAAACTCATCTTCAGTATTGCTAGTCGCCTTCATGTTTGCGAATTCGTATGAGCCTTCCTCCTGGAAGTCATCGTAGCCTCCAACAATAACAATCTTAGCCTTGCCGCTTTGAATAGTGTCCACGCCGATTTCAACAGACTCAACAGCTGTAGCGCAGGCTCCGACTGGCGTCTTGATAGGGCCCGAAGATGACAACAGCAGCATGTTGATCCAGGCGGGCATTGTATTAATGAAAGACTCTTGAAGCACATCCTTTTGCACAGGCCTATCCAGATGGCGGTCATGGTAAATACCGCGGAGGGAAAGCATACCGCCGACACCGGAGCCAGCTGTGTTTCCAACCTCAGAGACATGGACATATTGATAGAACTCGTAAGGATCAGTGATGCCAGATGCGACCAAGGCTTCAACGGTCGAAACCAACACATAAAGAGTTATGACATCGACTTGATCAATAATATCCTTGGGCACACCATAGCGAGCAGCGTCCCATCCAGTAGGGATCTGCCCAGCGACGAGACGGTCAAATTTGAGCGCCTTGGGGATGTACATGCTGGCACCCTTTTTGAATTTGACAGCCCATTGGCCTGACTCTTCCTCATAGATGTCAACCTTGTCGCCATGCTGGAGCTTGAACTGATGTGCTTCCTCCTTTGAAACCTCGAAGGGCTCAAGATCGTGATCGATCAAGACCTCCTGCATAAGGCCTTTGCGTTTAGGATCATACCCACCGAACAGTTCGGGCTCAATCAGACGAATACCAGTGTGCTCCAGGATCTGCTTCTCGTACTTGGCCTTGACATCCCTGTCCTTCACAGGCTCTTCAGTCTTGGCGTCAATCCATCCAGAGTAAGGAGCGCCAGATTTGAGAGGGCCGTTATGGTGCTTGATGAAGCCCATAATCCACGCCATCTCAATGCATCCTTCGAGCGAGAACTGGCCATTGGCTTCCATCTCCCAGCGAGTACGGGAATTGCCCCATGGACCAACTTCACTGAAACCTGTCACGACAACGACTTTTTCGAGGTCGAGCATACCCTTGAGCTTGTGAGCATGCCCAAGATCCTTGTAGTCCTTGAGTTCTGGAAAGGGGAACTTCATGTTAGCTCGGGGCGTGACTTTGTGTGATTGGTGCTTGCGCTCCGCCTCAGCGCCGTACGTCTCTTTAAAGTCCAAAGTGTTCTCGGCGACAATGGCCTTACGGATCTCCGAAGTCTGACGGTACTCAGCGCGCAAGTTGGCACTAATTTCGTTTAGGTTGGGTAAGTACTGCAGACCACCGTTCAAGTCAGCCCAGACAGGCTCAATTTGACAAAGACTGGTGATCGAGGGATGCATAAGACCTAAGATGTTGAAGGCCATCTCCTGAGTTGAGAAAGTGCGGACCCCATACTTCTCGAGACCCTCAGCGACAATGTTATTGCCACTCATCAAACCAGTACCACGAGTCCAACCAATAACGGCTCCAGTGATAGTCAGGTAGGCAGACCAAGATTCAGAAGTCCAGCGGTTGAACAGGGTCTCTAATGCGACCTTAGATTCTCCGTAAAGACCGTCAGCACCAAATGTCCCGTGATTAGGAGACAAGGGAAGAATAACCTGAGCAGGGCGTGTATCGTAACCGTACTCCATCTTCTTGGTCTTCACATTACCCAGCAGACGAAGAACGTTGGTCAACATGATACGGTGAGCTAACTCTGACTTCGAGTCAATATTGTCGATTTCCTTGCCTTGGACAGAAATGGCGGCGAATGGGATAATGTAATCAAGGTCCCAACCTAGGCCTTTCTTAGGATCTTTGTCGTAAATATAGTTGACAAGTGCATCAACATCCTGTTTCGAGCCTCCATTGAAAGGAACGACAACCAAGGAAGAATTCTTGGAGCCATGGCGTTGGTAAATCGACTGGTAGTACTCCGTAACCTCACGGCTGAAACGCGAGGTGGTGACAACGACTTTGGCGCCTCCAGAGAGTAGACCCTTGAGGATAGCGGCTCCGATGGAATCCTTACCAGCGCCGGTTATAAGGACCATGCGGTTCTCGTAGGTTATACCATCCTTGGCCATATTAGTCAGAACATCAAGATAAACGCTAGTCAGACGCTGAGAGAACTCCCATCCACCTTCGATATGAGGATTCTTCTTCTTGAGATGCAAGAATGGGATAGTTTCCTTCTTTGCTGCCTTCTTGGGGCGATCAGGGTTGACATTGACTGAGGGACGACGAGCACGGCTGGCACGACGAGCTCTCTCCTCACGTACGATATTATTGGACATATTGATGGCATGAATGACCTCACCATAGAGGGATTTGATGGCTAACTTGGATGAGGACTTCATAGTGTTTTGGGCCTTGATAATCTTGTAAATTTGGGCCAAGTTTTTCTGGACTTTTTGGCGGTTACTGTACTCAGACATCTTTCCGCCGGCAGCCATATCTTTGACATAATGATCCAACTTACGCACGCCAGCACGCTGGACCTCCTCGTACAAGATATTACCCTTGTTATCGATCGAGGTCGATGGGCCAGTGGGTACACCAACTATAGTATAGTAGAAAAAAAGATAAGACAAGAGTAAGTTACTGTAATATAGAGCAGGAGTATTAAAAAAAAAAAAAAAAAAAAAAAAAAAAAAAAGACTTACCATCTTTGTACACTGGAGCGGCCTCAAGAACCTCGCGACAGTTCTGGATCAACAAATTGCCGAATTCTTTGGCGAGAGCATAGGTTTTACCACGGTCAGCGGCAGTATTGTCAATGTGATAGACCATGAACTGCAGCAGCTGAGGATTGGCACGGTTCATAACATGGATGCACTGAGCAACAACCTCGCGATCAACAACAGTCAGACGTCCAAAGATCATGTCGTATAAAAGAGATAGAGCATCTTGACGAACCCAGTTCCAGTGCGAGTCATAGATACGAGCTTTCTTAGCGCTAAAGGAGGGCTTGATGCCCTCAGCATAGTAGTCACCGTGCTCTGCCATCCACTGATCGATCTCAGCCTGCAGACGAAGGGTTGCAAGCTTCTCTTCCTCATAGAGTTTCTCACCAAAGCGGAGATCCTTTTCAAGGTAGCGAGCATAAATTTCAAGGTGCTGGTACATCATAGCATTCTGCTTGGCTTGGAATTGGTTAAATTCTTCGCTGTTCATCATAGCGCCTCCAACAGCTCCAGTGCCAATAGTGCCGCTACCGCCTCCACCGAGAGAAATACCAGCGCGACGAGCATAGGCCTGTGCAACAGTGTCCAACCAACTCTTAGCCTCAGCTTCAGATCCAAGACGAGCACTAGGCTCCATGGTCAGGCCCAAGAGAAGAGCGCCATCAGCACGAAGCGGGCCTAATCCATAGGCAGAAGCAAGATAGCCCTTAGCCGAAGACTGAGTAAAACCGCCAGGCATCTTAGATCCAATCATCTTGGCGATGAGTGAGGTCGTCTGCTTGCCAAGAGTGCCATTGAAGTTGCTCTGAAGAGCATTTCCAAGGTCTTCTAATGGAGCTTCTTCACCCTTCTCGGGGAATCCAGATCCACCAAACTCCTTCTGCAGATCGCCCAAAATCTCGTTTTGAAGAGTTGACTTGCCTCCGACGAGATCCTTGATTGCCTTGGAAAGAGGAACTTCTTCAACTGATTTCTTAATCTTCTGAGCAACGATAACATGAAGAATATCTACAGCCTTAATAGGAACATCGGCAACAGCAGCAGGGGCGCCTCCGCCGACAGGTCCAGTGGCGGACATCATGGTAGGCGCGGCGCCAGCAGGAGCTGCAGCACCCAAAGTAATACCAGCACGGCGCGCATATGCCTGTGCGACAGAGTCTAGCCAGCTGTTGGCCTCAGAGACATTGTTAAGACGAGCAGCAGGCTCCATAGTTAAACCAACCAGCAATGCTCCATCAGCACGAACAGGTCCCAAGCCATGAGTCTTGGCCAGGTAGCCTTTGGCAGTCGAGAGTGAGAAACCACCTGGCATCTTGGATCCAATCATCTTGGAGATCAACGAGGTAGTTTGCTTGCCGAGGGATCCACTGAAGTTACCCTGAAGAGCATTTCCGAGCTCCTCCAGGGGTGTTTCCTCACTCTTCTCGGGGAATCCAGAGCCCCCAAACTCCTTCTGAAGATCACCTAAAATCTCATTTTGAAGGGTTGATTTACCTCCGACAAGGTCCTTAATGGCCTTAGAAAGAGGTATCTCCTCCAAACTCTTCTTAACTTTCTGAGCCACAAGGGCGTGCAAGATCTCAATAGCCTTAATAGGGGCGTCAGCGACAGCAGCAGCGGGACCAGCGGCAACAGCAGCAGGCGCAGAAGCAGCTACAGCAGCAGGCGCAGCCTTGGCAGCAGGCGTGGGTGTAGCAGGTACAGCAGCAGCAGCAGGGGCGGAAGATTCAATGTTATCCATGGCATAATAAATCTCTTTAGCATCCTTGGAAGTACAGAGTGTGGAACGCTGGAAAGTCAAAGCATCATCATATGCCTCATACTTGAACTTAAGGGTACGTTGAGCCATACCGCAGAGAGTTGGTGAAGGCCCAACTTCAATCAAACGAACAACATTGAACTCCTTGAAAAGTCTATCTTGAGTCTCAATCCAGCGGACAGGCGAAGCAAATTGATAGGCAAGCAATTCGACTAAAAGGGTGTAACCGAGGCGCTGCTGTTGCTTAGCAGTAAGCTTGGTGTCGACCCAGTTTCTGAGGACCTTGCCAAGGCGAGGTGAGGAAGTCAAGTTATAGACACCTTCAATGTACGACTTTTCGATACTGAAAGGCTGAGCGGTCAAGTTGGGAATGTACTTGTCAGTCAACAGAGGAACGTTGATGAAGGAAGGGTTGATCTTCTTGGCAAGATATGTGCGGAAAGGTGCGACGCCTGATAACAGGAAGCTTGAATGGAAAGGAACATCGATACCAGCTAGGGGAATGGTAGCAACACCGCGCTCTGGCTTAATGATGCCATCCTTGGCAAGCTTCTCGGCGACCTTCTCGAGAGCACCGGCGATGATCTGAGTGAGATGCCTCTTAACTTCTTCGAGCGGCATGGTTTCCATCAGCTTCTGGAGATCGATCTTTTGAACTTTAATGTAGTTTAGGACGGTTGAGAGAGCATCCAAATTGGAGAGCTCACCAGCAGCGACGTATTGCCAATTCTCAACATTCTCATTGACGATTTCCAGGAGCCCATTTGACTGTCTGGCAATGGCATCAACTACATAGCGGAGAGCCGAGTCATTGAATGTGGGGGACACACGCGAGGGGTTGATGGCGACCATACCATAGTTGGAGCGGCCTAATGAATCACGGGGCACAGCCACCTGCATGGTCATACCACGATAGAATACAACATCGACGAGAGACTCAATAGGCAAGACCTCACCAATAGCAGCCAAGGCAGAGTACTCGCCAAGAGAATGACCAGCAAAAGCACAGTTACCCTGAATCAAGGCCTTGGATCGCATATCCTCAAACGCAGCCTTCTCCATCAAGGTCAGAGCAGGTTGGGTGAACTGGGTTGCAGCCAAAAGACCATTAGGTGACTGGAATGTGTAAAAGGCTGTAGACTCGTTGATACCAGGGAATAAAGGCAGGGATTGAACAGATCCATCCTGGCCGACGAGATCATAACGCATCGACATGTAATTTTGACGAATGGCATTACCCTTAGGGCCACCAAAGTGAATCGTCTTCTTGAGGGGATTGTTGCGGACGATATCCAGGATTGAGAAACCTAAAAATAAAGAGGAGCACACTTGTCAGGTAAAGTTCATGGCAGATTTGGATGAAGATGTCTAATGATGCAAAGATTGTTTGCCTACCATAATTCTCAAGGAAGTGTCGATCAGCCCTCTGCCAGATGTCCTTTGCAACAGGTGAAGAGTCATATAAGGCCATTCCCATTCCTTGCTCCTGAGATCCTTGACCGGTGAAAACGTAGGCAATAGTAGGCTGGTCAATCTCTGCAGTGCCTTCAATGACCTAATGGATTCAAAATAAGAAACGGATAGGCTCAGCATATTACAGTAGCAACATAAGTAACAACAATATTGATAAAGTAAAATATATGAAATATATATACCTTAGTACCGTTTTGGTTGAAGGTCTCAACCTTGATGATCTTCTTTCCATTAATCATACCAATATGTGAAAGCTTGGTCGACAGGCGATCCTGAGGAAGGACCATAGACAAGAAGTCGACTTCATAGCTACACAGAGAGTAGGGTCATAAAAAATACCGATTAGCAAATGGTAACCAAGTGTGGATGTGAAAAATAATCAAAACATATGCAGTACCTTGTGACGCGCTGGGGATGGTTATCAGCGGCAAAGATTTCCACAAACTTGCGGGTAGAGGCACTTGTCCACATGCCATGGGTAATTGTACCAGGGAGCTCAGCGAGATCAGCAAAGTAAGGGTTGACATGGATGGGGTTGAAATCACCTGACACCTTAGCATATGGTTCGTTGCTGAATGGGGAAATGACCTCCGAGCTAAATGAGCCCTCAGGCATGACAGAGTAGCCACCGTTATCGAAATGAACAGCCTGCTCGATAGGCTTGCCGTGGCGCTTGAGATAGGCAAGGACAGGGTTACCATGAGTCTCCTCATCGTTGCTGTAATGGACCTTGGCGATTTCAACGTGTTCCTTAGTTGAAATCTGCATTGATACCGTGCCAGTGGTCTCAACATGTGAGAACACAGTCTTATTCTTGAAGCGTAAAATTGTATTGAGACGGAAGACCAAATAGGAGTTGGGGCCGACAGTGTGTTCGCCCTCAGTCCACTGGATCCATTCCTTGCTCTTCAAAACGGCAACGTCTTTGGGCGATGTAAGCTTAACTTCCATGGGGAGTTCGACGATTTTCTGGAATGTGTTATGGTAGTCATTGAAGGAACCACGATACAAGAACTCGGATTTGACTTCCATCACGCGCTTACCCTCACGCAAGACAACTCCCTTGACTTGAACTAGCTTGCCGGAGTCGTTGTTGACAACAGCATTAATTTCAGCAATAGTGTCCACGATGTCGCCCTGTTTCAGTGGTTCTGCACCATCCAACATACGGAAGCCGTTCGAGAGATGAACTAGTTTCAAAAGATCACCATCGATTGATTTAGGGAAGATAGCCTTGATAATTGACTTCCAGCCAACGACAATGGCGAAGTCCATAGGAGCATAAACAACCTTCTGGCGGCGTTCGACGTACAACTCTGCTTGGTTCCCGACGGCCTGACAGAACTCCTTGATGTCAGGTGTATTGACCTGCTCGCCATTACAGATGAACTGCTGTGTGAAGGCATCGGTAGCGAGACAGGCGTTGAACTGGTCCTCTTCTGAAGGGAACCAAAGTTTGTAATAAAATTCTTTTATCCTTTCATTCCTACCCTCCATTACTTCGTGGATGGGAGCGTAGCCTTTATCAGGAGTATAATGGAACAGCAAGGGGAAGGGAATTAGACGGTCACCATTCTTCTCGACTAAGACAACTTCAATTAATCCGTTAGCCTGAAGGCGAGCACGGAGCGAAGGCGACAGATCATCTGACTTGCTGGAGGCGGACCACGAGCGGCGATCATACACAGTGACAGTCTGGAGTCTATCCTCACTATATTCAAAGTGGATGGCCTGTGAGACACGAGGGCGGAAGATACGAGCAAGAGGGTTGTTCAGGAACTTTTTGCCTTGAATGACAGTGGGCGTTGTTAGCAAAGCGCGGAACCACGAAGGTGCAGGGCCAGCCAAGTATTCGAGCCACTCCTCGACCATAGGCAAGCTCGATTCCACCATCGAAGTCTCAACCATCTTGACTTTGCCATCCTCATAATGATCGACCTTGACCAATGGCGAGACAGAACTCAAGACAGATTCAAAACGGCTGGGCTTGCCACCAAAATACTCGACCTGAGGAATACTGCTGTCATCATTGCTATAGTAACGATCCTTGAGCGAAGCAATGTGGCTGTGGAAGATTCCGTCCAGAATGTCCTTGACAGGCTCATCCGCCTTGGTAGAGTAGCGAGCGGCGGTAGGTCCCTGGAGGATACAAGTACGTTGAACATCCTGGTCGACTACAGCAGCTAGATCTTCGGCTTGCCAGAGAGAGTCTTTTTTGAACCAGACTTCAAAGTCCTTGTCAAGGACAGGGATGAATGGCACTGGCTTCTGGCCGCGACGGGTCATTAAGAACAAGAAGTAGCCAACGTCCTCAGTTGTCAAGAGCTGAGTCTTAGTCAGGGGATAAGTATTGATGAACTCTTGGGCAAACTCAAAAGGAATATCTAATCTAGAATAAGTCTGAACAATGGAGTCCTTCTCGACACCGACAAAGCGCTCTTCAATGCGGCGGAGAACATCACCCAAAAGATTGCGGTGAGAGAGATCTATCCAGCGTTCCTCATGTTTAATAAACATGAGCTCGATCATTCTATTGATGACCTCCTCATAAGTCATGTCCTGAAGATCGGCAACACTGCCATCAGCCTTCTTACCAAACCAAACCTAGAACAAGAGAAAAAGGAAAATAAAGTTAAAATTTGTTTAAAAAAAAAAAACCTCTTCAAAATAAAATGGAGCCATCCTTGTACCTTTTGAAAGTCAGCGTTCAAGCGCTTTATGATATAGTCCTTCTTGGCCAAAAGAGCAGCAGTGCGCTTGTCCTTGGGGAGTGAGAAGATAGTGTCATCCATTTCCTTCCACAGGCGCACACCGCGTGTAGCAATTTTATGAATAGGCTCTCCCAGCTCGGAGCGGACTGTCATGACACCACCGGTGGGGCCTTTATAAGTCTTTTCCCACTCTGAATCATCAACACCAGGGGCGTCAACAATCGCCTGCTTCACACCGAGTGAGGCCATACCTTCCTTAGCAACCATCATACGTGAGCCAAAAAGCACACCATCAAAGGGCATAGGAGGGTAGTCCAGCTGTACAGACCAGTCGCCAGTGAGATAAGGATAAGTGTCTTCTGCACCACCGAATCCAGAACCAGCTACTAAGACGACGTTGGGATGACGACGAATAGCAGAATAAGTATCAAGGATGGGTTGGTGGAAATCCTCAAAACTGTGGTGACCACCAGCACGGCCACCAGTCCACTGAAGAATCATGGGCATCTCGGGGTGGGCGGCAGCGATAGCCAAGACCTGACGAATCGACTCGGCTGAACCAGGCTTGAAAGAGATGTGGCGAATACCAGCGTCGAGCATATCAGTAATAAATTCATTGGCGACCTCAAGTGAAGGGACACCAGCAGCGCAGCAAAAACCCTCCATGGGCAAACCCTCACGACGAAGCTTAGGCACCAAAGGAGCCTGGAAACCCCATTGGCGAACGTTGATAAATAGTGTGTTTAAGGTGATACCAGCACCGGGGGTAGTAAGTTGCATAATTTTCTTGACCTTATTTCGGACAGCAAGCTCGTTGTAATGGCCGCCGCCAGCTAATTCGATATGGTAACCAGCATTCATGACAGCACTGACAAAGGTCTCATTTACAGTCGAAGGGGTCATACCAGCGACCATTAATGGAGGCTTGGACAAAAGACGCGACATACGAGTGTCAATATGGATATCACCATTGGCAGAGCGGATAAGCTTAGGCTGGAACTCGCGAGCCCAGTTAGGGGCATAACGAAGCGAGGCAGGATTGGCATCAAAAAGATCAGGCTTGTATGAGAGTTCGCGATTGATCCCCTCTGTGGCGCCAGCAAGAATGATCTGGACGCCAGTACCATCTTTGTTACGAGCAGTCAGAGAGCCAATTCCAGAGGAACCACCTGGGCCGAAATCAATCACATGAGTCAAGCCAGCCATTGTGGTAGCCTTTTCCCAGTGTACAGGGAGGGACAGAATTTGGTGAACAAGGTCCATAGTTACATCAGGCGATCCAGCAATATCCTTTCCAGAATCAGTCGAGAAGACAGGGATGGTCATATCAGTGTGGTGGAACTTCAAGTCATATCTTTCGATATCCTGCTCTACAATCGCTGCACAGCCATCCAAGTAAGATGAATGGAAAGGAGCCGTGATAGGCAAGAAACGTGACGAGAATTTGACTTTGCGCTGCGAAAAGGGAACTCGACCCTGCTCAAGACCGGTTGGTGCCTTAAGCTTGCGAAGAGCCAAATTCAAACCATATAACGACTGAGGAGGGCCTGTACAGATGACTGAGCGAGGGCCGTTGATGAGGGCAATCTTGATTAAGCGATCTTCGGGAAGATGGCGATTCGTAGCCTCCACATACTTGCGGACCTCAGAGGCACGAAGCGAATTAACCACCAACATGGGTGTAGGATTACCCTCATTATTAGAAAGCGAATCCTGTAAAATAGCGGGGTTGAGGGTGGTAGGTGGATAAAATTCTTGTGCGCGAGTTCCAATCCAGAAGAGCAAGCCGAGGGCCTTGCGTGAATTGCTGAAGAAATCCTCAAAGCTAGCGGAGGATGAGATAACCACGGAGGAGATAACACCCTGAGAGTGCCCAGTTGAACCCAAAATAAGATCACGAATCTGAGCAGGGGTCTTGTCAAGAACCTAGATTTGATGCGATTTATGAGGCGCCATTTTAAAATATCATGGGGTCAGTATTTCTTTTTTTCCCTTCTTTAGCTATTTTCTCTCCAGCGATTAAAATGTATAGTGAGTTTACCTTCAGCATAACATAGTAATGCATCAACTGAAGCAGACCAATTAAAGGAAGAGATACGGGAGCAGACACCAAATACGCAACATCTGGCTTCGAGTCAGGGTTTTTCAGCCAGCCCATGACATCCAACCCCTTAGAGTGGAAGACCGAGGCGTCGTCAGATCTGGCATGCTCGCGCAACACCGCGGCCATAGCGTCGACGTAGACTTGAACCAAGGCAGTATAGGTGGTGTAAATATCCGCTAACTCATCAAAGTATTCCTCAATATTGCCCTGGCCGCCAAAGATAGCAAACAGTCTGGCGCTGCCATGCTGTGCAGCTGCAAACAGGGCTGAGGTAGGTGGTGCATACTCTCCGGAGTTCAGACTGTCAGTAGCTCGAAGGAAAACCAAGGCAGTGAAAAATGCATTAATAACGACAACGCGGGTATCCTTTGCAAGGTTACGGGTAACAGCATGGATGTCGTTCCCTTTGAGATATTTAGCGACGAAGAACAAGAAGACGGTCTTGAGCACAGGGATGAATTGAAGTGAGGGATCATTCTAAAAAAAGTAGAGAGTAGGAGTTCTTATTAGTGTCGTGGGAAACTTGCCATATTATTTTTCATCCCCAATCCCCCAGTTTTTCTTCCCTGCCCAAATTAAATTAATTTTTATTAGTTTAACCTCTCCGTCATACCCAAAAAAAGGGACAAAAAGTACCACCCCTCTGTTTTGAAGGAAATGTCATGACAGAAACATCTCTGTTTCCTACGACCGTTGACACTTATAAATAAACCACCACTGTCGGCTTACAACGATATCTGAAAATAATGTGGAATCTGGGGAGGCTCACTAAAAGGATCGAGCCTTCCATTGATCACATTCCATTGCTCCAGATACAAAATCTCCATGTAAACAATGGCATCAAGCACATTGCTAAGCTTCGAGATATTGAAATACATTCCTTCAAGCCTATCGAAAAACCCTGGACTCAATTGCCACGCTTTCACTCTTATTGATGACCCTTTTTGCTTCTCTCACAAAAAGCCGTTTGGGGATTTTTTTTTGTACCTGTTCACTCTTATCGGAGGCAAACTTGAGGAATCGGGCCACGAAGACCATCTCAGGAGCCTGGTTATCCGCATCAGTAACGACAACATCTTCTGCTGAAGGTGCTGCAGTGCTTGTAACCAAAAACTCTTCTCGAAGCTGTTCAGCAGCAACCCAGACATCAGAAGGGACAAGAATCGAGACCTCGGTTGTACCCTGCTTGAGGGTCAATGGACGAGTAACATTGGATTGAAGTGTAGTAGTCATGTTGATTGGCTTTGATTTTGTTTCTCGGAAGGTAAAAAATTGCTTTGGTATTAACGAAATTGATCTCTTTTTTTTGCCTTCTTTCTTTGTACAGGAATAATGGACGCTATTGAATGCAACTTTTCAATAGAATCAAAGACAAATAAGAAAAAAAAAATAGAAAATATGAAGAAGACTAAGGAAGTGAATGATGAATATAATGTTCTATGCTATGGTATTATAAAATGAAATGCAGAAGTGAATGAGGAAATGAGTTTGAGAATGAGAGGAGGAGGGGGAGGAAGAGAGAGAAGGAAGAGAAAGAGAGATTGATGAGACTGATCTCAGAGAAATGTTTTAATATTACGACCCAACATGTTTTATGGGTTTTGTCTCTGTTGATCTGTCCTAGGATAAGAAGACCAAGCGATAGGAACTTTATTGCACATTGCACTGGAAACATATACTTTGATTTTATTATTATTGCATCAAACACCTCATACTCCCAAACTAAAGCACGAACTAAATCTTGCAACTATCTTCTCCCCCACACATTTGCAAAAAGGCCAAAGCGAGAAAAAGACATGTTCTTGCAATAATTTAATGATAATAAGATAAAAAAAAAAAGAAACCCAGCCATCACCGTGTTTAAATGGTTATTTTTTTTTTTTTTTTTTTTTTTTGAAACTTGCAAAATCAGCATCCCCAACATTTAGATCTTTTTTATAATACTTTTCTATAGTGGCACACACACCACACCATTTCACTCTCACCTCTACTCCTCTATGTTATGGAGGAAAAAAGAATCTGACGGTCTTTGATCAGATTTTGGATCTCAAAAATATTCATTGACATCCTGGTGTCCTTCCTTTCTCTTCTCCTCTCCCCATAAAAACATCTTTTTAGTCCCAGCCTCTTCACTACTTCCTTTCCTTTCCTCCTTATCCCCTTCCTTACTTCCTTCCTTGCTCATTCCCAGCAATGTTTTTCACGGCATCAAAATAACTGTTTATAAATTTAAACTGATATCATTTTTCCTTCTTTGATCTGTTACAACATGATATGAATTTTAGGAACAGTGGTGTGTGACCCTGTGTTGGCCCCTTTTACCATCAAAATGAATCTTGCATGTCTGATAAGCAACATGTCCGATCGTAGAGAACAGATTAAAGGAATTTAAAATGTTTTTTATTTTATTTTGTTTTATTTTGTTTTATTTTTCGTGCTACCGTTGGCGAACATCCAAAAGCACCTCAAGCTGGACAGGTCTTTTATTTAGAAGAAAATAAAGCTTTGGCCAACAAAAAATCTTTGGCAACCCAAAAAGTGAAATGCGTCCGAATGTCCTTTTTTTTGCCCCCAAAATTTAATTTTTTTGTAATCTTACCCCAAGAACAAACGCGGACTACAGTGAGTAGGGAAAAAATTGCTGATTACCCTTTCTGACAGCAAACGTCGCCTTGTCAGTGGCAATATTAACTACATACCATGCCATGCTACGCTTTACTCTACAAACACAAGAGTTAAACCTACGCCACCTTTATCTTTTTTTTTTTTTTTTTTTTTTTTTTGGGTGTATCTGTCCATCTATCACTTCTGGCATTGCCAGAAACTTGCCAGCTCCATTAAAGCAAGAATCCATTTATTCAATTGAACCATGGTCCATTCAATAGATACTTAAGAGTGTATTACGGCGATATCCTTTGTTTTTTCTATCAGTCCAATCAACCATTTAGCCAGTGCAGCTAAACTGTTATGTTGCATGCATTGAGCTTGCATTGAGCTTGCATTGAGCTTGCATATATTCCTTTTCATTGCATCCGATGCTTCAACTTCGCTATTTGGATAAGGATTAGGGAGTAATGATCGTTTATTGATAAAGACTTCGTCCCAAAATATAATATGTATGATTTGGTAAAACATGGCTGTGCAGTTCGGTAACCCAGTTCTGTCACACAAACACTCCTTCCAAATCACGCGTGGTATTCGCGCCTATCGCGTGCGCTTCGCCACGACAACAAACAGCAAACGTCTCGTGGTGGCCTTTTTTTTTTTTTTTTTTTTTTTTTTTTTTCACTTCACTTTTACATCAGGAGTTTACTGACAGGATAAGCAAGAAGGACCTGGTTGACCTAGTGTTTTTGTGCAGGTATCTCAGCTGTTGATCATTTGGCAATGCTGCTCAGGAATCGTTAATGGGATCACATAAAAAGAAAAGACAAAGCAGCATGACAGCAAAGATCTATACAGTCTCTGGTTAATGCAACTAATTACTTCATTGCTTGAAATCGATCAAATCTTCATCACTAGTTCTGTTTTTCTTTTTGTTTTCTTTCTTTCTTTCTTTATTTTCTTCTTTTAGTTTTTCTTTTTTCTTTTCTTTATTATTTCTTTTTTTTTTTCTTTCTTTTTTTGTGGTTTTTTTTTGTGAGTTTCCAGCCTTACTCTTTACCTGTACAAAAAATCCTTCCTCCTCAAACAATTGATAATAATGGATCAATTCGCCGCTCAACAACAGCAAGGTTCACCTTCTGTCACATCCCAGTCTGCAACACCCACTAATAACGCAGCCGCTGGTGACAACGCTTCTTTATCTGCAAACACTACTGCAGCATCAGCTGGTCCCGCCTTCCAACCCGATGAGAATTCTAAGACGCTTTATGTTGGTAACTTGGATCAAACCGTAAATGAGGCATACTTGCAGGAGATATTTTCACAGGCCGGTGGAGTTGTCGAGAGCGTCAAGATTATCCGTGATAACAAAGTATGTTAGAATACTACCAGATCGATCTCAATCTCAGAACTTCTGCTGGACTTTGGCTAGGCATGTTTGATGAGAAAAAACATAATCAAGTCGTTTGCATCTAAGCCCTCAACCACATTTTCCCATTCTCAATGTACTCTAGTATGCGCACCAAGGTGGTCTGAACTACGGATTTGTCGAATTTTCTGATCATGCTGCTGCTGAGATCGCTCTGCAGACTATGAACGGGCGCCGTGTATGCCTCCAGGTGAGGATTGTTCAACCTTTTTTAATCAAAACCAAAATAATATACATAATAGCCCTTTTCGTCTGACTATTTCAGCGCTTGTCATGATTTTCTTACATCTTTTAGGAGCTCAAAGTTAACTGGGCATTCACTGGACAAGTCGCCGGCAAAGAAGATACTACAAGTAAGACTGTCTCACTACTTGCATTCGTTTAGGTTACAATTGGTCTACCTCCAGAGTGTCTGACATTTGCACTTGAAAATACTGCTCCATAGCCCATTATCACATTTTCATTGGAGACCTCAGCCCCGAAATCAATGATGAGATGCTAAGCAATACTTTTAGTGTCTTTGGCTCAATGACGTACGTACACTCTAGGAAATGATTGATGGCGAAGAAGCAGTTGATAACCTCGTGATGATGACAATCTAATGAGCTGAATGTCCATTTTAGTGATGCTCGTGTCATGTGGGATCCTAATTCGGGCAAGTCCCGTGGCTATGGATTTGCTGCCTTCAAGGATCGTCTTGTAAGTTTGAACAAGGGCGTTTAGAAAATAGTTGTTCTTACCTTTCGAAATACAATTATGAGCTAACTTATCTTCTTTCCCATGCATCCTTTCAAATCCTTTCTGCCATCACTTTGGTACTCTAGGATGCCGAGCGTGCCATCATGTCTATGAATGGCCAGGTCCTCGGAAACAGGGCTATTCGATGCAACTGGGCTAGTCAGCGTGGTGTCCCTGGACCTACTTTCCATCAATCAGGTTTGTACTAATTGTTTGAGTATAGATTTGTTGCTCAAAGAATCGCTCAGAAAACAATTTAACCTTATTTTTCTCATCTTACTCGCAGGAGGCCACCATCACGGAAACTCGTTCAAGTCAGTTTCCAGCCAGGCTGCTCCATTTAACACGACAGTCTATGTTGGAAACCTACCGCCCCATACGACTCAGGAGGACTTGATCCCCTTTTTCCAACCATTCGGCATGGTGGTTGACATTAGATTGCAGGTAGACCGTGGATTTGCTTTTGTTAAGCTTGATTCACATGACAAGGCAGCCAATGCCATCGTTCGCCTTTCAGGCACCATGATCAATGGCCGTCCTGCCAAGTTGTCTTGGGGTAAGGACCGTTCCGTTGAGAATGCTACACGTGGCAATCATTACGGCTATTACAATAATAATGCTGGATATTCCATGGGTGGTGGCCACCAAAACAATAGTGGCTACCCTTACCAGTACAACAACCATAATAACCATCATAATAATCATTATGGTGGTGGTGGACAGGGCTATGGACGCAATGGACCTCATAACCACCACCATCATCACAATCAGCATCACCAACATCATAACGGCCATCACATAAACAGCCATCATAACCAGCAACATGCCTTTCACCACCAACAGCAAGTTGGATTAGACGGCGCAGGATCATCGGCTTTGGCTGCAGGCAGCTCTGGTCTTCCTCCTGCGAATATGGCCGTCGGCAGCAGTGGTGGCAACAATGGCGGCATGAGCCAGGATGCTTACGATCAGTTCACATCCTATGACAACAATGGAGGTTCGAGATAAAAAAAGAAAAAGAAAAAAACGAAGTAGTAGAAGAGTAGGTTCTAGGCAACAAAGAGGGTCCGATCACATTAGCGATTGTTGAGAACAGAAACGATAGCTCATATAAACATTCCTTTTTAGACTTTTTGGCACCCTTGGAGTTATAATAGCCACCACATGTTTATTTACAAACTATTTAAGAATCCCACTATATAATACCATGCGTTAGGAGTATAGATAAAAATGAACATCCAGGCGAATGCAACAAAGGCAAAAGAAAAAACTCATTTATAAGCAAAAGCATAAGCATCGATCATAATAGCAAAATATTTAATTTCATCAAACAGCATACGAAGGAGAGGGGGAAAAAAAGTTTTCCCTCAGATACCGTTGTAGTCATAAGTGTCCTCACATGGTTTTTTCAAGTGACAAGATGTGTTTGTCGTCATTAGGAATTAAGACAATGAAGCTTTTCCCAGGATTCGAACCTGGCATTTTTCTCCGAAAGAACTCCTGAACCCGCTTAAATTGCAGTTATGCAGCAAGTCTATCAAAGAAAGCGCTTTCCCAGTAAGCAAAAAAGCTTTTGTTTGTAAATGCGCAGATTGTCGTTATCTATTTTCTTGCTGTTAACTTCACGTGACTATGTGGCTTGGACCCTCATCTTTTTTTCGATTCTTGTTTGGTGCCTGGTTTTGGAGCGGTACCCAAAGTTACGGCGGCCAGGGTTTATGAAATCAAGGATACAGCGGCTCTTGTCGTTTGTCCAGTAATAGCTGTTTATTGACTATAGTTTCTGGAGCATTTTGTTCATAGAGTGTAGAAAATAAATCCCATGACCCTGGTCCTTGTTATTAAAAAAAAAAAAAAAAAAAGAAAAAAAAATGGAGCGGTACCCAAAGTTCAACAGACAACTACGTAGGATGGCACAGGAGAAATTGGACAGTGAACAATAAAGCACTTCAAGCCAACGTTAGCCCAGGACTAGCAGACCACACTGGAGTCGTGGTACCACAAGATGTCAAGGAAAGCATTCTAAGGCAAGGAGAACGGTTAGTAGGAAGGAAGAGAATCTCTTTATTCTCTGGATCGTTAGAGAATGCAGGAAAGGACTCAGCGCGGATGGCCTTTGGAATTGTTGCACAACAGTAATATCTGGAAAAGTTGATGGCTATGCCTCATCCACCAAGGCAGAACTGTCAGGTCTATTCGTAGCAATACTTATTAGTCCAAGAAATATACCAACGACAGTCTATGTAGACAATATGGCAGTAGTTATGCAGCTCAAAACCCTGGTGAGTGGAAGAAAGGGATGCATGGAACGACAACGGCTTCGCTCAGCAGTTTATAACGCATTCGTTCGACAGGGCCGAAAGGTCAACGTAGTCTAGATTAAGGAACATGCAGGCAACAAAGGCAATGAAAAGGCTGATCAGGCAGCCAAGGAAGGACACTTTAGTGAACTGTAGAAATTGAAGGAACAGAAATACAATGACTTGAGATGTCACGCTTTCTTCAATGGATACGTAATAGAGGACGACCTTTCGCCGACTCCTGAAACTACAATCTGCTGTCAGGACGAATGCGACCTGAAGCGTGCAGAACAGGACCAGCCGTTACATCACAGATTGGAAAGAAATTGATTGGAAAGCGACTCTGCACATTATCCACCATGGCAACACTCCAAGAGGGCTATTCACCAGTCCAACTGACTGCCATCGACGAGCTCACAGAATCAAGAAGCTACATGCATGCTCCCAACGCTTGCTTACATGAAGCAGTGGAGACCAGATCTCTATGACACAGACATCTGCAGAATGTGTGAATCGGAAAGAGAGGACACAGAGTACCTTTGGAAGTTCCCTATCACAGATGACAAGCAGTTGGAAGGGTGGACAAGAGCGATTGAGAATATCACTCGCGATGTACAAAGGGCTCTAGCAAAGGAGAGGAAACTTTGGGAGGACAAGCTATGTCAACACAGGCACCAGGACAGAAACAGATTGGCAAGGGACCTACGTTCATACCAGCAAGCGAAGAGGTGATATAGGCGTCATTGGAAGCCATGTACAGAGGAGCTGCTGCAATTCGACAGGCGGACGAATTGTATTGCGACGACGAAGAGGATGAAGATGGCGACGGCGAGGGAGCCATCAAGACAGCCCAAGACTTTTATCATGGATTGGTGCCGAAAGACATGGTCAAGAATTGGAAAGATACTTTCAAGACAACCGCATCCATTGCAAAATATGTGGTTTGCAGATTTATCAAAGCTATTCAGGAAATCGGAAGGTCTGAGATCTGGAACAGACGTCGTAAAGTCACTGTCGACTGGGAAAGAACTAAAGGCATCAATGTGAGCAAACGCGCCAGAGGATGCACCTGTGTTGGTCAGCACAGACGTAGCAGAGGCGATTTCTTAGGACCTATCCTGAGACAACGACGAACAGCTGGCGTGAAAGCGATCAGGACGGAAGCTGAGCAAAGAGTAGCAGGGAACTATCGACAACATTAGAACTGACAGTAATGGAGCGGCTGGGAGGATGTCGTTTTTGATGATTGAGGACTGCGGCTAGAAGATGACTTTCGCGCGCAACAGGCCAAGTAGGGAGCAGGGCTCGTCACAGGTTCCGTAGGGATCAAGAGTTATCACTCATGCTGACGTGGTTTGTGAATAGGATGTTGTACAGCAACAGCTTAACGATGCGGTTAAGACCGATTATTGGAAAACGCTTTATTTGCGCCCCTAGTAATAGGGTAACCCATTTATAGAGTCTATTTCTGACAAATCCTCACGACCTCGTGAGTCTAAGCACGCCTCATTACATGTTTATAGAGACGGGGATCCCGTTGTCTTTACTGGTAAATGCCTTTCTTGACAGATTTTTTATGAGGATGAAACTCGATAAGGTTTCGTACCAAACACGAGTTATCGAAAGAGTCATTCGAAACTGCTTTTTTTATTTTATTAATTCTGTTTCTGTTATTAACAAAATTTGCAAATTGGCATGTGTGTGGGACATCTTTCAAGCGATAACTCTCCAACGGAATAGACGGCTCGATGTCAAGCTCAGTCGAAGATGAGAGGCGGCCTCTCGGATACTTCTGACAAAATCAGCGACAGAGCTTCCTTCGGGGCATTCACGCCACACACCACCATCCCTCACACAGCGTTTTCTATCGTCGATAAAAACTGTGCAGCTTGTACTATAGCAATGGAGAACCGCATATAAAAAAAAATTAGCAATAGTAACAAAAAAAGTATGCATTGGCGATCATGTCCAGTAGTTTTTGTGTATTAGTGTGTGTTTTTTTTTTACCTGACACCATGATGATTAGTGTGTTCAACCGATTCTACCAACAGATCAAATCCTTCCTGGCCGCTTGAGCACTGATCCACCTTGTCCAATAGATCTTTTTTGCCTTCATTATCGTAAGTATTACTACTACTGTAGTGGGATTTAACGACCTTCTCCCCAATCTCCCTTGCATATTGTGGCTCTCCAATACGCTGAAAGTTTTGTGTGTTCATGGTGACAACAAACGGTACCCAGATAGTATGATCGGGAAAGTATTTTTTAAAGCATAGCTGCTGCGTGTTACCAGCACACTCCATTGGGCCATGTTTGCATGTCACTGTTGTCTTAGTTGTCGTCGTCTTAGTGAACGATACAGCGCCTATGGAAGAAGAAATAACCGAAGTGCTACCCGTGGTAGTTGTTCGCTCGATGGTTCCAATATAAGAGAGAGATGGATTCACAGGCGGTAAATCTTTCGTTTGAACTACACAAGACAGAAAATAGTGAGAAAAGCAGCTACAGAGTGTGTTCAAGCACAACTAATCGATCTAGCCTAGTAACTCACAGACTTGAGAAAAGACGCCTTCACAGTGGACAGCATCTGGGCATCGCGACATCACGAAGAGGGCTACCTCGATACAACAGAGCATTATAAGGAAATTGTACATAGGATGAATAGGTTCATCCTCTGATTCTTTAGTGTATTCTAGAACATATTGTAGTATAGATCTTACTGATATCCACGGGGGATCTACTGGTGCCGAAAACAACATTCGCTTCAACGATTGCAATGAAGGAAAATGATGCAAAAATCAAGACTCCGATTAAGAAAAGCAGTGGGAGTTTCATGCTGGTTTTGAATACTTTGTGAAGGTGAAAGTTAAAGAATAAAAAAAAAAGCGCCTTCAATCTTTTTATGAATAATGTTACGAAGAAGAAAAATCGTATATGCGTGAGAAAAAAAAATGCAGTCAAAGAGGATGGATGATGTGAAAAAGAGGAAACAACTGTAGGAGATGATGTGATACCATCACAAGATGGGCAAAATTGTCTAGCAATTTGTAATACTCGGATGCACCAAACAAATCTTTGTATAACTTAGTAAATTAGAGCCTTTTTTTTAACGTCGATTAGAGAGTTGAGGCCGCGTTGATAGGAAAGGTGGCTCTGAAGGCACGCTTCCTGGAATAGCATTCAGACGTGACGCCTGTGCATGTTGTGCATAGTTCCTCAGCCTTGTCCCCTCTATCTGACCTGTGAACCCAGCCATCGAATGCCTCCGACGATGTGGGATGACTGTGATGATACCTTCACCTACAGGTCTTGTTGTCACCATATCCTGTATATCCTCTAGGTCTGGATTCTCTCCGCTCATAAGGTCCTGCGAATACCGTCGCTGTCTCCTGTATTCAAATCCTGGTTCGCGCGGATCATGAGGATCAAGGCGATGGTTAATATATTGCTGTTGATGTTGAAGGTTTCCCTGTCTGAAGCGCTCTTCATACTCCTCATCCTCCAATAGATCCTCGTCGGTTATACCCTCTATTAGCTGCAGATAACCTCCGTGACGAGAGTCCAAGATGTTCAAGATGATTGATAATGCCAAAGCTATAATAGCTAGGCTGATAAATAATCCCTCGACATGGGGATAAGAACCATTCGTGACATCCAGAATGGATGCGACGATCATAGGAAAGATTGTTAATGAAATATTGAGCGCAATCGTAACTAAACCATAAGCTGTTCCTAGTTGATGGTCATTGACTAGGAAAGGGATGCATGGCCAAAGCACAGAGGCGAAGAGGGAGTAGGCCAATCCAAGAATGAACATGCCAATTATGGGTGTGATAGTTGTAAATCCGAGTTGAGTATGGGCCCAGATTAAGAGGATGGCCGAAAAGGGGATATAACGAGCACGGTTTCCAAACTGGTCGACAAGAAATCCACAGATCGGTGATCCTATAGATGAGACCAGGTCGGGAATAGACTATGGAGCATCCAAGTATGTGGTATTAGCATTACATAGTTGTCTCAGAAATATCTGATTCGATATATATCAACTCTATCAGTTCGGCTTACCATGATAGTGCCGGCTTTTGTAGGATTCTTTGTGTACCATTTCTTTTGAAGGACTTGTTTTTGTTGATAAGATACAAGATGTCATGTGTTAGCCAGAACTCCATGATAAAAGAGACATCTCTTTCTGAAATCGAACATTTCCGACTTACAATCTGAAGAAATGTGAATAAATGGCACAACAGCCCCTAGGTTTTTTTTTTTTTTTTTTTTTTTTTTTTTTTTTTAGCATAGGTGCATGTTAGCTAGGTCTAAGTTCTTGCAATTTCAAGTTAACCATGTGGAAGAGAGGGTTTGTCAAAGCATGGCGGCCTTTCATCCGGACTATTCATACCATAGAGTGAAATGCAGCAGAGACAGAGTATCCAGAAGTTTGTCTGCAGCGTAAAGATCTCTGAGTAGAGCATCCGATCATCCTCAGCCATTTCAATTTCCTTCTCAATTTCATCTTCCTCTTCAAGTGCTACAGAGGACATAGTTAAGGTCGAGTCCGATGAGGCATTGATTGCGTGTCTTCCTACTAAGACGCTATTGTTGTTAGATCGGATACGGTCCTTTCTACGATCCCTGGCATCCAATCTGACACCAGCGGACCTTCTTGACTTTGGACTATCCAAATACGCAAGCCAGAATCCGCACAAAAGGCTCAGGACACAAATGCCGACACCTGCCCAACTAGCGCCTATTACACCACCTCCATGTGTCGCAATAGCCGGCGAAAGATTATCGTTTATAGCGGTGGCGATCCTTGCAGAAGAAAGATTCATTCCTAAAGCAAACCCAAGCCAGCGGGCTTTGAACCAGTCAGTCGTGATCTTTGCCTGTGCAATCTCAAGACATTCGCCTCCAATTCCAAAGATTAGACGACCCAAGACCATCACCCAGATCGATTTTACAGATACTCCGATAGCAAAAATGCTCTGACCCAAGCAGATACAAAGGCTGAAAAGTACCAACATCCTAGATGCTGAGAGACGATCGATCAGATAACCGCCGAGAACTGGAAGAACAATGTTTGGAAGGGAGTATGCTGAGTAAAGGAGATTAAGATGGTATTGATGGGTTGCATAATCCGCTCCAAGCCATTCCTCCAGCTGAACGTTCAATGCCTGCGGCATAAAAAAAAAAAAAAAAAAAAAAAAAAAGATTATAAGAGAGTAATTATAAGGCTGCGATTGAAAGCATTCGTTGTATTAAATGCCAACCATCTGCTATTGAAACAAAAAAAAAGAATAAAACGCTTACAGCGGGGATATCATAGCAATAGTAGTTGCCAAAGAGAAGTAGACATGCTAATGTCAACACAACCCAATGACGAGTGGTGATAACATGAGCCTGCTCATGTCGACGGACTCTATCAAAGCGTTGGTGCAACAGCTGCTGGAGGTGTTGTCGGTTGGGCCGAGGAAGGATATCGTCATGCTGTAGGTGTGGTGCAAAGTTGTTGTTATCAGGACAATGGATGGTACCGAGGTCAGAGACATAGAGACCTTTATTGTTTTTGGTGTTCCTTCCTAGGCGATCACCACCAATGCTTTCGCGGTTGCTAGATATGAGCGGTGTCTGTTCGTCCAAGAAGCTCATTTTGTAATGGAATGGAGAGTTGTGAAAATGACCATGGAGCAATTGCAAAATGAGGGAAAAGGCGGCCACAGGATTTGACAGGGGTAACAATAGTAAAAAAATGATATTTATGCTCTTTGTTGTCAGCATGACCAAACTTTGCTTGCCCAAATTGGCCTTGCACTGCCATTGTTATGATTGATCCGTTTTCAAAGATGGACATTCTTGCGCTTTGACTTTAGAGTCAATAGATAATACCATTACCAGCGAAATGCATATGGACTACATAAATATTGGAACAGTGCACTGATATGCGACTGAATTGGCCTACAGCAACCAGAAATTGGTCCAATCGCCTGCAGGGTGACAACATGGACCCTTGGCAAACAATTTCTGATCTTTTGACAATTCCAAATGTACCTACAGTACAGCTTCACCCTCTTGCCTTTGAGCTACTCCAATTTGGTTTGCGTAGTCTGATTATTATCAAAGTATGAATGGAGAGTGCGAAGAGCCAATTTGATTGGGCACCTGAGTGTCACAACCTCTACTCGAATAGAATGTCTGCCGAGAGAAACCTCTCTCTATTCGATGTTGAATATGCTTCATCATCATGTGACGAGACGTATGTTGAAATACTGGACATGACTCTGCTGTTGATCAACTCTTTTTATTAGACGAAATGACGTGACATGTTCAGAGTGAAATTTAGCCGTTAGAAGGCGAAGTGGATTTTGTTTATTGTTGTGAATTATAAAACAGCAGCCATCATTCTGCGTTGCCTGCAACCCAGAGCGCCTTTTCAACACCAGAATAAATATGTCCTGTCTGGTTCAAGGAGTCAATTAAGAGTTCAAGATGGGATTCATCTAAGGAATCAGTCTAACGGTTGAATGTGAATGTAAAGGTCGTAGAAGAAGGAAGTGAGAAAGAGAAGGGAAAGTTAGTGGAGTTGATCATAACTGAATAACATAAATAGTAAATTCAACGTTCACTTTCAATTTATTTCCCTACCTCACGCAACGTATTCAATTCGTCTCCAAATGCCATTGTTATTGAAGCCATATATTGTTCGCAAAATGCAGCTTCGACTTCTGGATTTGTCAAAGCCTTGTGTACGTGATCTGATGTATGCGCTATTTTCTAATATACCATTAAGTGAAGAGGTGGAGTCAATCGATCAATCGTCCTATTCAATAGCATTATAAGCCAGGAGGAAAAAAATCCCTTCATATCTAGTTTGATTCCATAGCTCGATACCTTGTTTGATAAGTCTGAATTTGCTCGTAGCTCCCGATCTTCATCATCTTCCACATCCGACTCATCATCACTGTATTCTCCACCGCTTTGCCGCATGTCAACGTCTTCAACATCTTCATCCTGATCCATGTCGTCCATCTGTACATCCTTTGTTTTTATCTGATCTATGTCGATGTCTGTTGTGTGCTCCCTTTCTTCTATAGCGACATCGTAATCTGTTAATAGTATTGAAGAAGGTTCGTCTTGTAATGTCTGATTCATAAGAATATTTTAATTAGGAGGCTTGTTATGATCAGATATCATGCTAATGATCATTTGGCAACAAAGCTATTAGCCTACCTTTGATTTCTTATTAGCTGGGCCAATATGGTCCTATATCGTCAATCGAAGCAAAGAAGTATGGTTTGCGTCAGGAATGCTTAATATCTTTATGGTAGTGTGTTCCTTGATCCAATACCAACCTGTTGTTCGTCTAGTGCCACAGCCCAAGTTAGCTAGTTGGTTAATATGCCATCCAAAACGCAAATGGTAACAGCATCTGTCTTTCCGAATGATACTTACGCGCTGTTGTTGTTGTCCGTTTTGGAAGACCACTTTTTAATTTCGACCCCATGGCTACTGTTGATTGTGTCAATATGTTTGTTTAGTGAATGAAAACTCATTCGCATGTAATAAATATTATAACAAAAAATAGTGGAGTGACTGTCTCTCAACATAGGCGAGCAGTATTTGGGACGGTGGGGCGCGAGAACTGGATGAGCCTTCTTTCCTCCGATTTTTAAAAAATGGTCTCTATTAAATTCTATTTGTGTGTCATGTGACTGAGCCTCTCAGCAAAGTTGAAAACCAACCTTTGACTGGAAAAATATCCATGTGGGATGCATCAATAACACATCCATCCAAAGCGGAATAACAGGAAACATAGTCAACTCCAATCTTCATCACAGTATCCATGACGATTTTTTACTTTTTTTTTGCTGAACGGACTCACTTTTGATGCATCAAGCTAATTTTTTTCAAGATGAAAATGATCACGAATTTATGAAGCAAATTTACATCATATTATGCAGAAAGATTACTGGATAAACTGGATCGAGAAAAAGAGAAAAAGCACCGATGCAACATCTAGGCGTATATGCCTAATCACTTGTTTCGGACCACCTTTGTGCTTTTAATGAAGAAAAAGAGATCTTGGATCCGATAACATCACGATGAATTAAAAATACATGTAATCGGTCAATCAACCTCAGCAGCGATTGACTTCTAGATTTGGAGTCAAAGTTCATCAAAAGCGTCCTTCGCCAGGAATCGTGGAGGCTAGACTGTCCGCTTCTATCTATCAATACCCTGTACCATCTTTGTCGTTGCAAATATATGGAGTGCTGACGAAACTCTGAACTTCTTTCCTTCTATGTACAGGCTGCTGTCAAGGCTCACGAACTGCGCACTAAAAACAAGGCCGAGCTCACCAAGCAGCTCGAGGAGCTCAAGCAGGAGCTTGCCAGTCTCAAGGTCCAGAAGGTTGCCGGTGGTTCCGCCAGCAAGTTGACCAGAATGTAAGTAGGCAGGATGAAAGAAAAAAAAAAAAAAAAAAAAAAACTTTTCGCATTCGAGATATCATGAATATAACAACAGTATTACATGAATGTCAATTGGCATGTGTACAAAGCTATAAGGGAACCACTGATAGAACAGGAGCAGGGCTGCATTGGACAAGATAAAATGAAAGAACTGTTTTAATAACAATATCGACCCTGATATATCAGTCGAAAAAGACAATGGGCGCAACAACTGCCAATCATTAGTTCTGATCGCATTCATAACTAAAAAAAAACCTTGTGGATAAGGCGCATGTATCGTATATCCATGTATTTTTTTCAGCAGGACGAAAGAGCCCAACTCGCTAGTAGCATCTGGAACCAACTTGTTACCAACTAATGTAACTCTTTTCATATTGACTTTCACCTTGTCCAATGGCTACAACAGATCAACACCAAATGGATTATCCAACAAAGACCCCTTTAAAAAAACATATAGCGCCAAGAATAGTTTCTGACATCAATCTCATCGGAAATCTTCTCTTTATTTTTTTTCCATCTTTTTAAAAAAAAAAAAGCTCTTCTGTTCGCAAGTCCATTGCTCGCGTTTTGACTGTCATCACCCAGACTCAGCGCGCTCAGCTCCGCATCTTCTACCAGAAGAAGAACTTCTTGCCCTTGGATCTCCGTGTCAAGAAGACCCGCGCCATCCGTCGCCGTCTTACCAAGCACGAGGCTTCCCGCAAGACTGTCAAGCAGCAGAAGAAGGAGACCCACTTCCCTCTTCGTAAGTACGCCGTCAAGGCTTAAATTGGCGTATGTCTCGAAGATAATAATGCTAGAGCACACACACCTATTTGACGCATTGAATAAAGACAGAAAAGACCTTCTTTTGAGCCTCTGATTCATTTTAACTTTTGATTATTATTTTTGTGTAAGCTATTATTTTTATTTTTTATGTTGATCTTTGAAAATAAGCGGCAGTGGATAAATGAAAGCACTCAAGCGAAAATGATCTAAGATCGTTGAACAGTTTCACCAAGCCACACATCGATTCATGTGGTTGCTTCGGTCCCTTGCAAGAAAGTGCTTCAACTCCATTTTTCTCTTCCATTACACAGCAACATCATCTTAGTTCCAGTTCAAACTAACTGAATTCAACTCATCACTGACCTGGACTTTTTTACATCCAAACAACCGCACATAAACTTAAACACAACAGCGACATGGTCAAAACGACAATGATTGCACGCGTTTCGGACGGTATGGCCGCATTCACGCAAGTTTAGAAAACATCTATCATTATTGAATTAGCTTTTTCTTCTTCTTACAATCTTACTTATTTGTTCTGCGCCTTAGCACTTCCATTGGCAGCGTCTATCGACGATGAACAGGTGGAGAGAACAGTTCACAAACAACGCCTTTTTTTTATTTTTTTTATTTTTACGAGCCGCCTCGCTCAACTGTCCAATTTTTTTTTTATTCATACGACTAAAACTATGACTAGGTGGAAGTAGAGCTCAAGGAGTACAAGTCGCAGGCAAAACTAATCTTTCGTAAACTCAACATGAACTCGGAGAGCAGATGTTCAATCGAATCTGGGAGCTACGTATTCCAGTAAGTTTATAGAATGGATCGTGTTTTCACAAACAAATTTATTTTAAAAGATTTCGCGGCGGGATCTGATAGGCTGGAAATAAAAGGCGCAAGCAAAAATGACAATCTATCAACTTTTAATACAGCCAACTGGACATTATGATTAAGGCATGGAAACAAAAAAAAAAAGTGAACCATTTCAGTAAATTACTATATTACTAATTTGCACTCACAGCTCAGGAACATTGGGAGAAAAAAAAGTCGATCATACCATTTACTTTTCATTTTATCGACCGTTTTCACTTTCACTTGTTCATGTGTATATTGTACCTGATCTAACCACGATGGGACAGCTACATCATTGATCATGGGGTAGTGTATCTGTGCATATGTGAACGCAACTATCCACGCAAGCTAGCTTTCACATACTTAGATGATCTCGCCAAAGAGTTCTTTATGAGTTATGGCAATGAAATCGACCGTCCTGGTCTTCGTCCTTATGCTTTCGCTAGATTTGGTATGGGAGAGAAATATGGATCGATTGTTTAGCATTTGTAAAGGAGCAAAAGTCGATGAAGGATAATGCAAGGATCAACCTCACTCAATTATCAAGTTTAAATTCCATATGTTCCTCACTTAGATACATTTATGCAAAACACAAAGCGATTGTATCAGGATACCAGGACACAATCCAACCTGACAAAATTACATGAAGATCTGCAGGATGTGACCAAAATCATGACCAAGAACATGGAGGATCTGCTTTACAGGTAAATGCACGCACAAAAAAAAAAAAGAAAAAACCACACGCTATATTTATATTTCCGAAAGGGCGTTTTTACGTCATGTTTCAATTTTCCTGCTCCTACTGATGCGTAATGTTCATTTTGCATCCATCTCTTTCCCTTTTTTTCTCCGAATATTTTCCCTCTTCTCTTTCACTTTGGTAACTGAAATTAGAGGTGAGACACTAGATAACTTGCAAGGAAAGTCAGAGCTATTGCTCAGAGACTCAGCCCGATACCGCAAGACAGCCAGGGATGTGAATCTGCAAGCGCTGTACCGCAAGTACGGACCTCCTATCATTGTCGGCTTTGTGTTCATGCTTGTTATCTATTGGAGGTTCTGGTGGTACTAAGGGTATATAGTAGAATAGGGTAAAACATAAAAAAGAGAGGAAAAAAAAATGACAAAGTATCGTGGGAATGTAAATGTGTTTTTAATTGTATTGTTCTACGTAATGAGAATATAACTTGAATCGGCTGTACGGTTCATATCGGAGAACAGCAAGCAAGAATGAAACAAACAACGCTATCATCCACTTGCATAATAAAACAATACTTTTAGTTTGAGTGCATGGGTGTTTGCCTGAGTTATGGGTTAGAAGATGTAGTGTAGATATGAAATGTCATTTGTCTGTTTAAAAAGTAATATGAGGTTTTCTTTTCCGCACTTGGAATTCCCTTCCTTCTGGGCCTGATCTTGGTTACTGTGCGGAACTATTGAACACGATCGCTTTTTGACGGAGACATTCGGATGAGCCAGTCTTCATTTTCTTCCTCAACTATCTGTAGTAACCCTGCATAGATAATGCGAGAACCTTCCTAAAAAAAAAAAAAAAAAAATTGGTAGTCTAAGGGGGGTTAGGAAAAGGAAATGTAAGTTTATCTGCTTATGATGTGGTTTATTTTTATTTTATTCTTTTTTCGCTTTCGATCTACTTGCCAATTGCCGAGAGATGTAGTCTATGAAGAAACACACTAACCTAGTCCTACACATACATGTCTATAGCAGAAAAAGACACAAAGAAGAATAAGAATGAACGATAGCAACTATTTATACAACCATAGATAAATGATAATAAATGAAGAAAAAGTCTAAGACTCTATTGTTGGTAACGGTCAGTCCATGTGTGCAACAGCACTGTACATGTGTTCAGTGAGCAACGGGAGTACAAAACCAGAACCTTCGTGAAAAAAAAAAAAAAAAAAAAAAAAAAAAAAAAAAACTTTCAGTGAATGGGGCGGCGTTGATGATGAAGGGCGAAAAGACAAAAAGTAAAGCAGACTAATGGGCGCATGAATGTTATGGAGATTGAATAGCATGATTATACAAATGTTTGTCTGACGTGTGTATGATTTTGTGAATGCATGGAGATGTAATCCAAACAAACAAAAATTTCATGTAGACAAGCATCATCGTTTTGACAAAGTTAATAACAATAGTAGTAGTAAAAGTGGTAATAATAGTAATAACAGTAAGTACTTTATTTCCTACAACAATGCCAGTGATTATTCAATATTTGGCTGACATGAAAGAGAGCTTGGCAGCACAAACATTCAGCAGCACAAGCACAAGTACAAGCACAAAAGCGAAGAACACAGCATGTGCAAGCAAATTTGTGCCACAACTTCAATAGCTGATGTTATATGTAAAGGAATAGAATACCATGCAAATCGGCGTAGCAATAAAGCTGTATTGAATCATGGTGAAGAACATGTCAGCATATTTCCATCTTACTTATCTCCACTGCGCTGCAACTTGGCTACTGTCTTTTTTTTTTTTTTTTTTACGAAAATTATTCTACAGCTCTTTAGGCCTCATCTCTAACACCTATGCCGACGGGGAGGGGGATAAAAACAAGGGGGTAGGGGGTGTTGCGAGGAGGGATGAAGGCGAAGCTGAAGAAATGTGGTATTAAAAAAATGAACATGGATCTGTCTTTGATGATGTTCTTAACGTGAAAGTCGCGTCATTTGCATAGCGATATTTGTTTCTGCGCTATTTGCTTGTTTGTTTTCCTGGTTTCTTGTAAACATGAATAGGCATGCAGGGCAGGAAAGGACAAGTAGTCTATTGATGACTCGCTCTGTTCTATCTCTGAAAAGCCTTGTTGTCTAATCAATTCATTCGCATTTTTAATTAAAAAATATATGTTGATACGTGAACATATTTGAGTGAATATGATCGAATGAATTGGAAATAGAAATGTAACTTTATACATTTGTATTCCGATGTAAAAGTTCAATTTAAACGACATCATCGAAAGCATCACTCCTCATCATCCCATCCTATCATAAACTAACGGGAAAAATAACCTCATTGGGCAATGGCACACTGCTCACACTGTAACTGTACTAAGGGGGGGAAAAGGCCCTGAATGTTGGTCGTTGAGCATCGTAAATGGTAGGAGGGACATGAATCCCAAAACGTATCCTGGTGCCGCAGTGATCCCCAGCAGCCCATTCTCTTCTGATCTTAAAGACTCTATTGCCAACTTGGTGTCATGGCATGCACATCAAAAAATGATGACACAGACATAAGCAAACAAACAAGGTCTGGAGGGTCTAGGTCCGAGCGTACAAGCAGGATTCCCACCAACACAAAACAAACAAAATAAAGTTGAGCAACGGGAAAATCGGTGCTGGGAGGATGATGTCGATGAGGATCATGATGACAGGCAGCGCAAGCAGTATAGGCAGCATAGGTAGTATAGGCAGTATATTTAAGCAAACATGCTGCCGATCGTTTATATGTTCTGATCTTCTCCTCTTTTCTTTTCTCTCTTCTTCACTTTCTTCATTCTGAATCCCTTCTTTCCTTTGTGCCATCTACTGTCCTTTTCGTCCACACCTGGTTCTGCGAATACAAAGCACAATAAAAGAAAAAAAAAAAAAAAAAAGAGGGTCCACACTTCGGGGCTTTACATCTCGTCCTCTTTCATATTCATTCATTCATTCTTTCTTCGGAAGTTTTCCCCGTAAGCCGTTACTTCTCTAGCATCACCCTATCCTACGCCTTAAAACATCACACACCATGCACACATCACACACCAGAACAGTAACACGGGCAAATGCACCTAATAGTGTAGTCGGCAAAACCACCTCCACTACTTCCACAAAGAACGCGTTTGCAAGTATAAGTGTAGGTGAGAGCAGGGCTCACGACAAGCACAACACTGTGGTGAATGTCCACTCTAAAGATCTGAGCAGGAGGAATAGTGTAAATGAAACTGGCCGGCATCAACGCCAACGTGGTCCACAGGCACTGTTACCTTCTTCTGAGACCTATCTCAAACACTACAACACTAAATCTCAGACAACCAAGAACGACCATCGTCCCCTCCCTCAACTATCGTCTCTTGATCGTACCAGCACAGCCAATAGTAATATTCCTCAACCTAGTCGACTTCTCAACCGCAGCAACAGCTGTAGTCTTCGCCCACCCTCCACTGGTTCTAAAAGTATTCCTTCAACTTCTCTTTCCACAGCAACCGTGACAACTACGCCAACACTTGTCGCAACTGGAGGTAAAATCCGGCCACCGCTCATCAAAATTGAATCTCAAGAGCTTTTACCAACTCGCCGACCTCCACTCAACTATCGTCGCTCCTCCTCTTCCAGCTCCATCCACACCCAAAACTCATCGGGCAGTGGCAATAATCGATCTACTCGCAATCCAGAGAGCAGACCCACATCACCAAGGCCAGCAATACCATCAAGACCAACAACACCCTCAAAACTAACAACGATACCAAAACCACCTACTCCCTCTACAACTCCTACTCCCCCCGCAACTCCCGCAACCCCCACCTCACCACTCTCGACTACCAAGGTAGCACCAAAATCAATTTTGAAAAAGACGCGGCCAGTAGTTTGGTCACCATCAGCAGCATCTCGACATCACAACGATCCTGGACTGAGGGTGCAACTGCACGTTTTGGAGCGACAGAAGCAATTGTTGCAAATGCAAATTCAATCACAGATGAAGCAAATATACCATCATCAAGAACAAGCACGACTTCATCCACGACAGCAACAACAACAGCAGCAATTGCAGCAGCATCTACAGCAAAATCTTCAGCAAAACCGCGTCCTCCGACAGAACAGTCAAAGCTCATCGCAACTATCACATCGGCCCTCATTAAAAATCCAAATGCCCACTCGGGCCCCATCAAGAGCTGCACGGCCATTACCAACCCCTCCTCCAACAAAGAATGTGAGTTGGGCAACTCATAATGAGGTTATTGAGATTGAAAATATCGATGATTTGATTGAGATGGGTTACTATGATGACTATGACTGTGAGTTGGGATGGGATTATAGAGATGAAAGTCTTGACGAAGAAAATGGTTACCATCCATTCTCTGATGGTTCCTCAGAAGAGGAACAGGCAGAGAGAGAAGAAGTGAATGAGGATGAGAACGAGAGTAATAATAATGGTGAAGCTGAGGTCGAGAAGCAGAGAGCAGAGATGGTAGAGTCCTATGCACCTCGAGTCCGACAACCCATCAACTACGATGATCTGATCCGCTCTCCTCTGCCCCAAGCTCAACAGCTAGAGTTCCAGCAACATGCCACACCCCCTCCACTTCCACGTCTAACACCAGCCTCACAAGCACAACGACAACAGCAAGCCTACGCAGATGATGAATCTGAGGCAGGGTCTGTTGCAAGCACTGCCATGGACGATGAAAGCGTAGTTGCTGAGGATGACTTGATCCAGCGCTTCCAGATGGACGCTCTGTTCTCAGGTATTGCTACGCCTGACCTTGTGGAGCGACTCCAATTATTGACCCATTCAGATGAAGCTAGCAAGGACAAGGGTCTCAGCCGCCATTCGAGCAACACTAGTACTGGTAGCAGCGCCAGCAATACCAGTAGCGTTGGCCGTGGTAGCATCAGCAGCGTCAGTAGCCGAAGCAGCTATAGTAGTATGGGTAGCATCAACTCTTCCATCACTTCTGGTTCCAGTCGTCGTTCCGAGCGCCCGCTTCCACCTCTGCCAATTCAAGCATTGTTCAAGCCACCATCGCCAACACCACCTGCCCCCTCTTCACGAGTTTCAAGACGGCCCTCAATCAGTTTGGTGCCGATCAAGGAGCCCGTACCCCAACCAAGGCTCAAGTCTCCTCCTCCTCCTCCTCTAGCTGTAAATGACATGTGGTCTCAGATGTTGGAGCGACCACTCCACCAACGACAGTCATTGAGCAGTATTGCATCATTCCTGTCCTCAGGTCCAGATTCGCCAGCACCTTCGGAGAGATCAGATAAGTCAAGATTGGACTCTCCAGTGCCTGAAAAGCTCAGCTCAAGCATGTCTGCGCTAGAGAAGTCTCGGACGAATTCCCCAGCTCCTTCCACTTCTTCGGAGAAGTCCAAGAAGTCCTATTCACTGCTATCGGAGGCAAAAGGATGGGCTCGACTGAAGCAACACTTGGTGTCGCCAAAGTTGGATCGAAAAGAGACTCAGACAGAAGCTACAGAGCGCAAGCGTGGTCTCGGTGTCTTTTCTCGACGCTCTCGCCTTCAGCCTGATAGTGCTAATACCAGCATGACTAGCGAGTCTTCCAGAACGACTGGTGAGGATGCTGCATTGTCCTCAGAAAGAAACGGGCCCAGCCTTCGCAGGTCGAATACGGCTACAACGGTCTCTTCTTATGGGTCATCCAAGTCATCTTCATCAACAGTCTCAGCAGCAAAATCGTCCTCAGGGACGGATACATGGCCCCGACACGGTCGACGCTGTGCTGCAGATAGTGAACAATCCTCTTCGCCTTTGCGGAAGGAGACGACGAGTGCCACCTTTGCTGTATGATCAACTAACTTGTACATTAGAACCAAACAATTAAACGATTAATAAATAATTGCACTGTATAACATTAAAAAATTTCACTTCAGACTGTCTAATAATGTCGCACAACTCACAAATTCGTGTTTTTGTAGTTCACTCATTCACTCATTTATAAAATGTTGGCATTTAGAATCATACATGCTTCAGCTTCAGTTTCTAAAGCAAAACTACAGCCAAAAAAGGCCTTACCTCGTGTCTTTCCTGCTTCTTCTGTTTCATCTACATCATCCACCAATGCATCGCCTTATTCCTCTACAACATCCATAGCACATACGCCATTGACTGGAGTGTTTGCGGTTAACAAACCTACAGGGTTGACTTCGACCACAATTGTTGATTACTTGCAGCATGTTTGTCGAGAGAATCGAGCTCATCCTTTTGTACAACGCGTCCTGGAGCTGGACCCCTCGATACGCGCTAAAAAACGCGGAATGGTCAAAATTGGGCACGGCGGAACATTGGATCCTTTGGCAAGAGGCATAGTAGGTGAGATATTCTTATCAGTAAAGAGTCGGAGAAGAGCCGGCGGATAGTGGATTATAATGAGAAGCATGGTGATGAGTGACATTTTTTGATTGAATATCTTCGTTATTTGGTATTTATAAATAAGTTATAGGAATGGGTGCAGGAACCAAAAAATTACACAAGTTGACATTGTCCTCGAAAGTCTACATTGCAGAGGGTCGGTTAGGATTTAGCTCTACGACGTTGGATTCCACAGGATCGTTAGTAAGCACTGGACCTACAGATCATATCACAAAGGAAGCTCTGTTACAGGCATTGCACGCCTTCAAAGGAGAGATTTCACAGACACCACCATTGTAAATGCCCACAGTTTTTTTTTTTTTTTTTTTTTCTCCAACGTGGAAAAACTTGAAACTGATTTAAAGCTTTTTTAACAAATTCTAGATACTCTGCACTAAATATGGATGGAAAGAGATTATATGATTATGCTCGCGAAGGTCTTGCATTACCACGAGAGATTCCATCCCGAAAAGTTCAGATTCATGAGTTAGATTTGTTGTCCTTTCCAGATGGCACGACCGTTCCAGATCCTTCCTTAGAAAAATATGGGTTCCGATACGGAAGCACCACAGAACCGAATTTGAGCAAGTTGCATTTCCCCATTGGATTTCAACCAAAACCCATTACCGACGGTACAGGATCTGGTTCATATTCCGGTCATGTTCCTATCCCGCCATCACCTCAAGGCCTGTTCTTCCATATTCGAATCCGTTGTTCCTCAGGGACGTATATCCGAACATTGATTGCAGACATTGCATCTCGTATGGGCACTGTTGGGCATATGACGGATCTGTTACGAGTAGAGCAATCTGGATTCAAGTTGGGAGATAAGGACGTGACTCTGGAGTTGAAAGACTGTGAGGATATTGAACGCGTGGATCAGGCTATCCAAGCTGGAAGCCGTATATCAAATTAATAAAAAGAATAGAAGAAAAAACCGCCATCATGACGTTCCAAATTTTATTTCGTGATGCATAGAATACAATTAATATGATGTTGATGATGCTGCCGGAGCCGTTTTTTTTATGCTTGCTCTCTTCTAGTCTGCTGCTCCAAACGCTGTCTTTCCATATTGAGTTCTCCTTGGCGACGAAGCTCAGCCAGTTGTTCCTAAAGAGCATAAAAAATATAGAAAGTAAAGTTATTATATATGTTATTGAATTGTTGCCCAATCCTATCGTGTTGCTTTGTTGCTTTGAGCTTTTTCTCAAACTTACGGCATCCCATGTCTCTCTCATAATTCTATTCTTTTCGATACGAGCATTGACCAGCTGAACAGTGCCGACCCCGAGGTAAACTTTTATAAGAATAAAGAAGTCAAAAGAAAGGATAACATATGGGTGAGAAGGACTTTGGACTGATGGACTCATTAACCTCTTGGTTCATGTTTCCTGGTAAAACTCCATTCCTTTTGATCTAGTGTCTTCCTGCGAGTCCAAAGCTTTGTTTTTCCTTATCATTATCATTATATAAATAGTTTTCTACCTGTTGCGCTGAAAAGTCCGACAATGAAAGCACGATGAGCAAAGTCGGCTAGTTTAGTGGCGGTGGTCATGGTTTTCTTGTTTCGAGTGTTGTGGTGTTTGTAAGCTATGAATGCGAAGTGAGATGTTTCAAGGAAGATAACGGCAGGCGGGACAGGTACAGTAGGTCATGTGACATGCTTTTCTGGAAGCAAATCCTTGCATCATTGATGTTCCAAGTCCAACGAGAGTATAAAAGCCTTCTTGTCTTCAATTGTTTCTTTCTTTTTCTTTTTTTTTCCTCTCATAACCAACATCAACAGCCCCTTTACAACCAGCATTAGCAACCCCTTTTCTTTCACACACAAAAAACAGTTAAACCAATATGGCAGAAAGGATCGTTTACAAAGCCCAGAACAGTCCCAACCAGCACCAGCCTGATGTCTTTATCTTGACCGAGCCTGGTATGGCCGCCAAGTACCGCGCCCAAAAGAAAAATGCCAACCCACAAGATAATTCACCCAAGATCAACCTTATTGATGTTGCTCAGAGTAAGTTTTTTTTATTATTATTGTATATTGTTCCCACGAATGTCAATGTGATATCTGATATTAACTAATCATTGTTTTCTTATCACTATTTTTTCTGTCTATTACAGAATTTGAAGTCTACCAGAGCGAGACAGGAAAAGGTTTCGAGGGCAAGATTTCCCGCCCATCCAAAGCTGTTCTGGATTCCATCTTCAACACTGAGGACGAGTCGGCCATCATCGAAGAGATCATTCTCAATGGCGAGATCCAAGGAGCTCATTAAAGAATCTCCCCCCCCCCTCCATTTCTTTTGTTTGAGCAGCAATGGCAACTAAACTTGTATATATACACGTTTTTCCCTCTTCTTGAATCAATGCGAGACTTGTGAAAAAACGAATTTAAATAAAAAAAAAAAAAAACAACAACGACATCCTTAGTAACGCACTATATTTCACTCCCATCTATTGGCAATTGATGAATATAGTGAAGACCCATCGATATACTCGTAGAATTGCCATATATACCTGAGGTCTTCAATGATAAGAAAAAAAAGATCATATTTTTATAATGTATTGAAAGCAATTGCCTATTGTGGTCCAAGCTCAATGGTCAATGATCGACCTATGACGACAGGATACTGCTTCTGAAACCTTATTTAAATATCTTCCCAACAAGTTTGTCCCCTCCTCTTCAGTCAGAGACAGACCGTTCATTCTGTAACGCACGCGACTTGGAAGGCTCTTCACGAATGAGACAACAGTCTGATGTATAATTGTTTAGTGCCACAGGTTCACAAACAGACTAGATGATTGATCTGACACGACACAACATGTCTCGGTTCGGTAAATAAAAAAAAAAGCGAAGATCAAGCAATGCGTGAGATATGGATATGATATTGCTGGAGAAAAGGATGTGGGCTGAACATTGTGTATGAAGATATCAAGATCCAAGACGACAGCCCAAATAGTTTCGAACTATTCGCTACAGTCAACATGTTTTTTTCCTAAATGGACACCCCTATTTTCTTGGCATTCATGATGAGATCCAGTTTGCATCTTTATTATTAGCATGGTATGACTATTTTACAATAGCACGAGTTAAAAAAGTGTAAAAACTAATTTTACTGACCCATCAAAAACTCAAAAAGGCACCTACCTAGGCATGAATTTTTTTTTTTGCACCAAAACACCAACGTCTAGAAAATCATTACCACCATGTTCATTGGGTCATCATTTCTATCTTCGGAGACTAATAAAGGAACAAAGAGAAAGGTACCATGACGAACACAGAGTCATTCTTCATCAATGGCTGAGCTTTTTTTTTTTTTTTTTTTTTTTTTACCAAGTTATTCCTTTTTCGTTATTGGACTATTGGACAACACACTCTCTTTCTTTACTCCTCTCTCTTTTCTTTCACACTCTCACCTCATTCTCATTCTCATCCTCCTTCATTCATCATTCATCATTCATCATTCTCATTCTCATTTTCATTATCCACTTTTTTTAACCTTTCTTTAATCACACAGCCACTTTCTTGTTCATCATCACCCCACTCCTTCCTTTACATAACACCCGACATACGACTACTCCGTTCATACAATAATATTTACAATGAATCTTTCACCAACATCTCGCACGTTATTCCTTGTCCAAATTGGGACCTTCTTTTCTGGACTCATTGTCATTATTTGCTGTTGTCTCTATCTTTCAGCTTACCCTAAATCGCCTGGTGCTGGATCAGTCTCAGGCATTGCTTGTGCAACTCTTGCCTTTGCGCTTATATCTACAATAACAACACTTGTCCTTGTTTTTCGGCAAAAGTCTGGACGTACAGTTAATGCTAATATTGAAGGAATTTGGGTCGGAGTAGCTATTGTCGCTTGGATCCTTGCGTCCGTTGGGGGTATTGCTAGCCCTGCAAATGGAATGAGAAACGCGTCCTGCAAGGTGCTTCCTTCTGGCAAAGGCACTGATGATAAGAACTATATACGTGCATGCCAATCTATGTTTGCCTCCACTGCGTTCTGTATCCTTTCTGCTCTATTTTTTATCGCCACCGCAGTCATTCTCGTCGTCTTTGCGGTCCAGCGTGCTGTTCGAGACAAGAAGGCCTCGAAGGTCAAGACTGGAGGAGCTTATCAGCTGGGACCATCACCCTCGCAGTACCGTCGTGCAGAACAAGCCCACGATATCCCCACAGAGGAACCTAAGGATATAGAGGCCACTTCACCCTCAACTGACCCCACCCCTGCCTCTGCTGCCCCGGACACTTCTGTTTTGAGTCCAACCACAGCTGAAGCCACGACCACTGATTGTACTTTTTCTCAAAATGTGTACCAAGACCCTGTCATTTCCACGCCCACGCCAGCTACAGTTATTCCTACACCACCAGCTGCAGCTATTCTGTCGCATACCTCGGGCACACCTTCTGCTTATAATACGTACTCCAGTAGTGGCCATGTGCCTCAGGCCAGCTACCAATCAACTGTAGGTGGCTATGAGAATAGCGGCTATCTTGGCCAGGGAGCAACAGTGACAACGGCAGCAGGAATCGGAGGACAGCAAAGCTATCATGTTCAACAAGGATCTGGCATGTCAACAGTATCGAATTCTGGATACGGTCAATACCCCCCTAACCCCTATGGCAGTGTTAATGCAGGCAACATAAATATGTATCCTCCACAGCACACGATGCCCTATCCTCCTCAACCTCAACAGAGCGCGTATCCGATAATCGCAGCGCCTCATCAGCAGTCTCCATATGGCAATCAATACAGCATGAATCAGCCTCCAATGCCTTCAGGCCAGCAAACTCCAGTGATGGCAATGCCTCGTCCTGAATACTTTTAAACGGAAAAGCATATAGTTCCATATAATATAGTATTTCCCACATAATTTTCGCGTTTTGTGAACGTACCAACACACAATCAATCTCTTTCTCAAGTATTTCATACACATCTCCATATTGTCTATATTCAAAACAATTGCATACGTTTCTCCTTGTAATAAAACACTAAAACGCCCTGACATAACGCAAAAAATAAAGATCATCAACCCTCCTTTTTTTTTTTCGCGCATTGACATCAGTTGTAATGTAGGCGGTTTGTCCACGTGATTAATGGCATGGAAGAATGACCACCATTTGACTCTCACACGCACACACTTTCTTTCCTTTCTTTTCTTCGCTCCCATTTTTGATATCCAACTTTTCTTTTGCCCACAAAAAGTACAAATATTCTTCTAATTCGCGTTTGCCTTTTGGACTAGCACACAAAAGTCTCATACAAGGTATCTTGTGTCGGAATAGAACTGTAATGATTACAGCATTTCAGAAGCTTTTTTTTTTTTTTTTTTCTTCGTATTATTGACTCATCACATTACATGAACTGTTCGTAAAACAGGATTATAACAGTTATTACCACAATCCCAAAATCCATTACTTTTTTTTTTTTTTTTTTTTTTTTTTTTTTTGTATTTTTTATTATTTCACAAGTAGATAGAAGCCTCTTTATTTTCATATTCGTTTCCATTAATCCGTATTTTCCTTCTTCCTTCTTTAATACCATCAGCACTGACCATATTCATTCGTCTTCATACAACGTCAACACTTTCTCCATGGGTGCCTGTTCAAGTTGTTGCGCTGGTAACGTCTGATTTCACATCTCGAATGTCAGCAAAAATACACTTGCGCGTCCTATTATTTTATTCATACTGACAAACTCTCTTTGTCTCTTTCTCTCCTACATACTCCTGGTATCTCTTGCTCGGCCGGACGACAACGTTGACAACGACTATGATGACGACAATGACAACGCGCTCTAATGACGATTATTCCACTGAACTTCTACACTGCTCATCCATCGCTCCCCTGCAACTATCATTCTCAATTAACCCATTGCATTACGCTTTGACTCCCACCACTACCTCGGCTCTTTTATTTTATTTTATTTCTTTTTTCTTCCTTTATTCCCTACTATCGCCCGGATGGGTGCTGTTACTCTGCGGCTTTTTTTTTTTTTTTTTTTTTTTTGTGGATATCTTGGGACTTGCCGCCCTTGAATAGACCGTGATCGAAACGGTCTTTATGAGCCCGTGCTCCAGGAGAATGAGCGTGAGGCTGTAGCTGATTTGCTGCAGTTCTTGGAGAGTAAGTCGCAGGAGTATTGGCATATTATATTCATTTAATTCATGGGAACCAGCCACGGCAACAAACACGAGTGGAAAATAAGCTTCGACATCATCCCTCTGTCCGTGGAGAAAGAGAGAGACAATAGACGCAAAAAAAATCTTGTAGAAAGCAACGGTGGCATATTGCGTGAGACGTTTTTTATTCTTTCACGTATTCCTCCTTCCCGCTATCCTCTCTTCTTGAGTCGGATTAGGACAAGTATGGATTACTGATTGCAAAGTGACGACAGCAGAGCAGTAAACCAAAACTGGCCTTATTAATACCCATCAACCACACGCTTCCTTCTAGTTTTTTTCTTTTTCCAAATCATGTCTATACCCTATACTTTTCTATTTTTCTACCTTTTCTCCTTTATTATCCCCCCCCACCTTCTTCTCCTTGAGCGATCCTCGTGGGTATTTTATTTACGTTGTTGGATTGGATTGTACTTGTTGCTTCTTATTTTGCAATGATCTCTGTTCATCTCCTATTTTTTTTTTTTTTTTCTTATTTGATCTCCTTTTTGTTGTTTTCATTATTGTTGTTTTGCTCAAAGAAAATACCCATTGCATCTCTATATCCTAACAGGTCCCCGTGCCCAACTGAATAAATAAATGGAATGAATGGGCTGACCCTCTATCCGATCGAATGGGACTGGCTGACCAATCTTTCCTTTCACCCCCCTTCTTTCTTTCTGCATTATATGCATCATATGATAAATTTGTAGACCGTACAGAGACAAACTTTTTTGAGGGAGATCCTCTGCGTGCTTTATCCACGTTGGCCTTCTCCGATAATGTTGACTTGCAGCGCTCGGCAGCTCTTGCATTCGCAGAGATTACAGAAAAAGGTACTAGTCTAATAATTATTGTTTGTAATTGTTGATTGTCACCATCATTATTGTCGAATTTTTCATTTCCATCTTTCCCAGTAACCTTCTCTTGACGCCATCTGCAAGAGGCGAAAAATAATCAAGAGATGGTGAGATGGACTAAATAAGATGATGTTTTCATGCATATCTAGTTTTCTGCATGTAACCTTCTTTATGACAACCATTTATTATAGTTTCTCACTTCTGCTAAATCTCTATTCCATTCTTAGATGTAAAGGCTGTAGATCGGGACACCCTGGAGCCTGTTCTGTTCCTTCTTCAATCACACGATGTGGAAGTCCAGAGGGCTGCCTCTGCTGCCCTGGGCAACTTGGCTGTCAATCGTACGTTCTGGTTCCAGCTCATACAATGGGTGCATGAGAATGATATATTTCTTTTGTTGTTGTTGCTATTGTTACATCTGACCATGGGCGCTTTGACTGAAAAATTGCATCTGCTGACTTCGCACTCGTCATAGCCGAGAACAAGTTGCTAATTGTCAAGCTCGGAGGGCTCGAGCCACTTATTCGTCAGATGCTTTCGCCCAATGTTGAAGTCCAGTGTAACGCTGTAGGCTGCATTACCAATCTTGCTACGCATGGTACGTTGAATGCATTTGCAGTGTCTATAAATACTGTATCATTTCCTTTATTATCCTTATAATCCTTTCGCTAACATTTCTTTTTTTTTTCTTGTGTTAATTTAGATGAAAACAAGACAAAGATTGCAAAATCTGGGGCTTTGGTCCCTTTGACACGATTGGCAAAATCCAAGGATAAGAGAGTGCAGCGAAATGCAACAGGTGCACTCCTCAATATGACACACTCAGACGAGAATCGTCAACAGTTGGTCAACGCTGGAGCCATTCCTGTGTTAGTTAACTTACTGACTTCGTCAGACACAGATGTGCAATACTACTGCACCACAGCTCTCAGTAATATTGCTGTAGATAGCGCCAACCGGAAAAGGCTTGCACAGACAGAACCCAAGCTCGTAAATGCATTGATTGGACTAATGGATTCGACCAGTCTCAAAGTAGAGTGCCAGGCTGCGTTAGCACTTCGCAATTTAGCGTCAGACGAAAAGTATCAGCTTGAGATTGTACGCTCTAGGGGCCTGACGCCCTTGCTTCGCCTGCTGCAATCGACGTACTTACCCTTGATTCTATCGTCTGTGGCCTGCATTCGTAACATCTCGATCCATCCTTTAAATGAATCCCCCATTATCGATGCGGGATTCTTGGAGCCCCTGATTGAGTTATTGGCATACGACGAGAATGAGGAGATTCAATGCCATGCCATTTCAACTCTCCGTAACCTGGCAGCCAGTAGTGAGCGCAATAAGAAGGCGATCGTTGAGGCAGGAGCTGTGGAGCGTGTTTGCACCTTGGTTTTGAATGTACCTCTTAGCGTACAGTCCGAGATGACTGCCTGCGTCGCCGTTTTGGCTCTGAGTGGTAGGATACTTGAGAGATTATAGATTCATCTGTCTTTATGTTAAGGTATTATTTATTTGAAACTTGACGCTCGTTGCATTTTCTTTCTTCCTCTTTTTCTATAGATGAGCTTAAGCCAAGGCTACTTCAGCTAGGTGCATTGAATGTATTAATCCCTCTTACTGAATCGCCTAGCGTGGAGGTACAGGGTAACAGTGCAGCTGCGATTGGAAATTTGTCATCCAAAGTCGAGGACTATGGGCCGTTTATTAAGGTTTGGGACCAGCCTGAGCGCGGACTTCACGGATACCTATCCCGGTTCTTGGAAAGCCCAGACACAACATTCCAGCATATTGCGATCTGGACAATTGTGCAGTTCTTGGAGGGCGACGATAGCGATCTGATTGAATTGATCACACGCTCGAATGATGTTATACCCGCGGTCAAGCGACTGACCACGTCGCTTGAGTCAGACCCAGCACAGCAGAATCAGCAACAGCTGGATGATGGCATGACGGACGAAAGTGAGATTGTTGGATTGGCACGACGTGTTCTGAGTATGCTGGATGTAAAATGCCAAGAGGCACGTTCATGGTTAATTTGATGTTTAAAATAAAAAATAACGGTCGTAATAATTAGGCCCCTATGACGGTCCAATGTTAGGACTTGCGCCTAAAGGTCAAAAAAAAAAAAAAAAAAAAAAAAAACGCCCCAGTGTTGTTATGACAAGAAAAAGAGAAAAAGAAACTAGAAAAAGAGAAAAGAAAAAAAAAATATTTGTTTTTGTATGCCCTCTCAAGGCCCCGTTTTTTTGAGTAACTCATAATAAATATTTACAGAGTAGTCTTTCTTACAAAGTGGACATGAAGTTATTAAACACTTGTCACATGTAGTTCTTCAATAGCATGTGTGTAAAGAATAAAAAAGTCTTGGCCAAGGATACAAGCGATGTTCCAGATTTGGTCTAGCTTGAAAGATGGTTGGGCCATGCCAGAGATGTAAATGCCAAGAGGCACGTTCATGGTTAGTTTGATGTTTAAAATAAAAAATAACGGTTGGTCCATGCGTCTCAACGGCCAGTGTAGTCTATCCTGCATTAGTATTATAAGCAACACATGTACAGGAGAACCATGTCTGTTACCCCATCCCTTGTTCCCATGGAGAAAAGATTCCTGTTTGGTAAAGTGAACGATTTACAATTGCTCTTGATAGTGTCACTAGGAGGTTTATTTCTTAGACTCAAAAAAACTCTATCAAGTCTTGGCGTTTTATTTAATCGAATTTTGTTACATGAATGCTATGCACCCCTTTCGTATGGCACGGACATAGACCCATTCCCTTCCATTGAACCCACACACATATAAAAAGATGAGTCTCCACCATTCATCCTTTCTTTTTTTTACAAATTTCCTCACTCACCATTACGATATCTTTCTAGCTTGCTTTAGAATACTTTCTACCATATACTCAACAAAAGACAAAAGAAAAAAAACATACATTATTTAAGAGAAACAATCAAGTATAGGCCATAATAACCAATAGAGTCATGGCCTCGTCATCATCCAGCTTGCATCTCCCTTCGTCGCCCACAAAGTCATCGCAAAGGACCCACGATCACTTTGACCCTCAGCAATCCTCATCTGGTGGTAAGACAATAGACGACGACATGATTTCGGTTCCATACAAGATTAACGCAGTACAGTTATTAATTCTATTTATTTTATTTTTTGGACAAAAACAGATCTCACCGTGATTCGATCCGATACATCCTCCTGCACAACTAAGAGTGATAGTAATAACACAGTATCCACAACTGTGTTGACAACCGCCATGGCTACAACTACAGCAGTTACAAGACCAATCACCATTGCAATGCCTGGACAACAACAGCAGCAGCAGCAACAGCAACAACCCACAACCACAACAACTCTGTCAGTCAATCCTCCAATTCCACTTTCAACCTATATCTCACTATCACAGATTGCTATCTCATCAGCACTCAAGGTTGCGATGGTCTCGACAAGTATGTCGCTCGGAGTAGCCAGGACAATTGTCTCGGGACTGGACAAGATCCTGGGAATCGCCGTCAAAGGAGCCACTGGACAAAAATCCGATGGGGGCAGTAGTGGGTATGAAATAAAACCATGTTTACAATGCCTATTATTATTACAATTAGTATTTATATACTCACTTGTAGCTAAACCTCTTCTCTTAATAGGGTTACGCCTGCCTTTGTCGCTTCTTTACCCTTTCGTGCTGTAAGAAACATGAGTAATTTTTTTTTCCTTTACCCCTTATTCCACTTGTACTTGTTTGCCATATTGACCTTTTTTTTTTTTTTTTTTTTTTTTTTTAAACTATTAATTGTTTATAATTCGATTAGGCACTGTTGGGAATCAACTTCAGTGATGTGTTAGTTCAAACCATACTTGAGACTGTGGACGGATCCGTCAATTTAGCGCTCACAACTATTCAGGATGGTCTCGACTTGATGGATACACTTTTTGGATCTGATAGTACCTCCCAGACGGGCGAAACTTTCCGTGAAGTGTGGGCAATCTTGAATCGTGAATTCACACAGGATGAATCCAACGGTGGATACCCAGCCTTAGAAGGAATGCGTTTGTTGATGGCGTATGTTGCTATCCAGTTCGCAACATCGGAATTATGGGAAGGCATTCGAGTTAGGACTCAAGGTCGACTGATTGGTGAATGTTTGGAGTCCAAAGATGAGGAGATGGGCTCGAGCAATGCGTGGTCTGCACTCGCTGCTTGGCCAGAAGAATGGACACGAGGCCATCTAGCCCTGACAGAAGAAGAGTTGCTGGAGGAACAGAGGATTTTCGAGTTAAGGGAGCGTCAAGAGGGCCGTAATGCAGCATCCTGTAGAACACCCAATATGGAGTTGACCAACTTTTTGGCCGCGTCTTATCGATTCTCAAGATTCTGTTCTGCCATGTATGGATCAACAATTTTGGAACTGATGGGTGCCCCAGAACGATACCCTCCTCCACCCCCTATCTCTGTCTCAAGCGCTTCTTCAGCTTCTCTACAACCCGGCTTGTCCCCAGCCTCGCCTCCATCCTCAACACTACCACGGACGGCCACCAATGAGTCGGATCATCACTTCTATTGCTATACAGGAACACCATTAGGATCCATCTTGTATTCATCCGATACGGCGGCGACGGTTCAGGACGGTTACTATAGCCCTCGCTATTACCTTTTGGATGACGTTGAGACCAAGCAGATTGTACTTGTCCTGCGTGGCACTAAATCATTACATGACCTTATGATTGACTTGACATGTGATGCTGCTGATTTATGGCTCGACCATGACACAACGCCCTTAGTGGATACCCAAGGCAACGTAGTTCCTCAACTCAACAATAATGATGACAATGGTCAACAGAATCAGAGAAGAAAGCGCCCATTCAAAGTTCATGGTGGATTTCTAAGGGCAGCAAGGACAATTGCCTCTGCAGATACGATCGGCATTCAAGAGAAAATCAAGGCCGCATTGGAGGCTCGACCAGGTTATTCACTATTGTTGATTGGTCATTCACTTGGTGCGGGTATTGCATCGATCTTATCCATGCTCTGGGCAGATCCTGCCACGGGCCTCACACCCGAAATCCCCAACCATACGAGTGCTTGGGGATATGGCAGAGGCAAGCCAGCCACTCCCTCAACACCTATTGGTACGGGACTAGCTTCTGGTTTAGGACTGAAGATTGGATTGACAGACGAAGATAGAGCCAGGATGTATTTGCCTGGATACCTCCCTCAAAACAATGCAGAGTTCTTCTTGCCACCAGGTAGACGCGTGAGATGTTATGCGTACGGAGTTCCCAAGGTCATGTGCCCACGTATGAGCAAGCGTGCCATCAAGGTATGGATTCTAAATTAAAAGATGAGAAACACATAAGGCAATAAGTTTCAATTGCAAAAAGCTAACATTTTTTTATTTTTATTTTTTTGTTCAACAGTTGGTGACAAGCATTTCGTATGGTGATGATGTTGTTGGCAGGTTATCTTTGGGTAGTGTCCGCAACATTGGCCATGCTATGCGTGCACTCCTTGCCATGCGACCCCCTGCACCCCCCTCACCACCTGCACCCCCCTCACCACCTGCCTCTCCTCCACTGGATGCAACCACTGTGTCGACTGATGTTGAAGTCCTTCATGATTCCTCTGAGACACTAGAGGAGCTTTTGGAGCAAGAGGGCATGGCCATTGATCGAGAACGTCAGCAGCGCGAGGATGCAGCAGAGCAAAAGAGACGAGAGACAGAAGCCAAGAAGGCTAAAAAAGCAGCTCAGAAGAGTATTGGGCTCGAGATTGTGCAAAAGGTGATTCGCTGGCGTCTCACAGGAGAGGAGCGACTTTTGGACGAGTTTATGGATATTCGTCGAGCCATGCAACGAGAGATGCAGAAACATCAAGAGATCTACTCTGATTGCGATGAATTTTACCCAGAAGGAGACAATGAGCAGGAGCAAATCGATTTGAACAAGGTATCGCCGGTGTTGGTCCCTGCAGGCAAAGTGCTCTGGATTCGACCCACGTCCTTTGAGAAGGAGCTTGAGAATGCAGAGACAAAGCAACATCCCTTTGATAGCGTTGTGCATCAGTTTGAATGGGATCATCCTATTCGAAAGGATCCAGGCTCATTGCTGCTCCCAAAACCGATCTCGCAGCAACTTCAGCAGCATCTAGAAGACGATCAGTCCGATAGCGCATCAATCCAGTCGATCAAATCGACTGTCCGTTCGGGCTTGTATCATTCTCATTCTTCAGCATCTTCTTCATCCAACCTTCTTTCATCTTCCCCACCTTGCTTGAGCCGTACTCCTAGCCATCATCACTATCAACAACAGCAGCAACAGCAGGAGCAAGGCCAGCAGCAACAGTACCTGCATCCTCAACCACCTCGTCTTCAGCGTCAGGCTTCCTCGGATTCTATGGCATCGATCACCTCATCCGTATCTTTTGCAACGACGACCTCGCCTGTGTCGTTGCAACCCGGATCACAAAACACAGACAAGCTGTTGTACCGAATGTATGCAGTTCCAAAGCCTGAGAACGTGTTTGATGAGATGTTGTTTTCGAGAAGAATGTGGTCAGATCATTTGCCATTGACATACGAGTTTATCTTGGCTGGTAAACATGCCATCCCTATCACCAACCCCGAGGCTGCAAAAGAGAAGCAAGATATCGAAGCGGCTTCTGCAAGGGGACAAACCGCAGTTTAGTCTCAAAAAAAAAAAAAAAAAAAAAGCTTCCTTACAATAAAATTTAATGTTTAATTTCAACAATGAAAGGGACGTTGAGTCTTTTTTTATTCATGCCTGTCAGTGATTACTAGGGATCTGTGTTGCTTGCTCTTTTTTGGTTATTTACTTCACGAAATCCTGACCAAAAAGAGCGAGCAGCACAAGTCCCTAATGATTCCTGAGAACTGGCATGAGCATAAAAGATAAAGAAAATGGACAAAATGCTCAAAAAGTGAAAATAAAAATCAAGAACAACGAAATAGTCTGTCCGTTATTGGTTTATCTGCTTATTATCCCAAAAGTAATTAATTTTATTTATTTCTGTTAACAGTGAGGTCCACTCTGAGCTTTTAGCTTTGATTTCTCTTGCGTTCTCTTGACAATGAAAGTGATGACCATAGAATGTCTTTAATGCAGTATTTATGATGGTTTAAGACAGTAATAACATTGTTGTAGACAACGAATCCTGCTTCAATGATCGTGGTGTGGTGTAGTCGTTCTGGAATACGAAATTGCCCATTACAGCCTTGTCAAACCTTTCAATCTTTATTAAAAACAAAATGTATATGGCTAGAAAATTCCTCACTTCCTATTCTTATAAGCACGCAGTCTGTATTACTTGCAGAGGAAACGAGATGGAAGTGGGCGGACACCTTGGGTATCGACAGGGGGGTTGGACGAATCGGAATTCGAATACCCCTCATACATTGAGCTTTTCAGCGTTCTTTATTTGTAATGATAAAAAATGAATAAGAAGGTGATCAAGATTTCAAAATAAAAAGTGATAAAGAAAAAGAAACTGAAAAGTGCTATTGCTATAGGACGGATGTTGCCACATTTTAAAGTTTTCGTGTGTCCTAGCTACACTGCGCTCTAGTGTGATTTCCTTGGCCTTCATACTTGCGGGCATTCCAACGATGGTACCTATACCATTGAAATCAAAGTGTTCGGATATGGTAATTCAAGTTGTTAATATGTAGAAAATGGTAAAGAAAGAGGACTGAAGATAATGCTTTCTCTTGGGTGAGATTATACCTCTTGATCTGTTCGTGTCTTTGGGGCGTCATGTGCCCAGAATATGTAATGAACACCAAGTTCATTATCTATATTCCACATATGCTCGATGGAGGGCAAGTTGAGCATGCCTTTTCTGTTAGACCTTGAGGGACAACGAGTTCTTTCTATTAGGCCTTGAGGGACAACAAACCCTTTTCTATTGAGGCTTAAGGTGCAGCGCCTCGCTGCAAAGCCAGGGCAATCATCCCTTTAATGACCGTCGTTTAGTATGGATAAATACTGGGCGAAGGGCTGCATACGCGTATGATAATAAATAAGACGACTGGTATGTGGGCACTGACAGGTTCGTGGTTACGAAAAAGGTTTTTTTATTCTTGTTGGCATTCGGCCGCGTCGAGACCTTAGCTAATTCCAGGCCAAGATGAAGCCTATTGCTTCCTCGATGAGCTCTTCTTGATCTCGGAGACGCGTCAACGCGGCCGAAAGGATATTTGCAGGACAAGGAAGCAACAGGCTTCTTATCACCAGAAACAGAAACGAGCGGGAAGCTTGCAAACCTGTATTCATGATCTTCGCATAGCCCCAACGACGCGAGAGATAACCTCGTGGCGACGTCCCTCGGTACCGCGAGCAGGACGAGGCGCTAATGAGTTGAGGAATGAGAAATAAGGAATGGAAGAGTAAAAAATAAAGACGGATTGGACGAGAAACGACCATCAATCATTTTACACCGTGAGGGCTGCCATGTCACGCCATTCAGCACGCGTTTTTTGTTCCACTTTTTTATATAACTTGTATTACATTTAGTCATCATGCATTTTTTTATGGCGTCCATTGGCGGGAACTCTTTATTACTCTCGTCATTTCTCCACCCTCATACCCTTCAACGAACCCTTTTACCGTAATACAGTAGTATAGATATGAAAATTAGCGAAAAAAAAAAAAAAAAAAAAAAAAAAGATACATGGAACGATCACTGTTGCAGGCTCGTAGGAGCAAAAGTCTTCATCAGCAGGGGTTCGATTAACCATCAAGGCTCTGAGCCTCTCCCAGGAGCTCCCTTTTCATTGTGTCAAAGCTTTTAGTCCTCAAATCATATTTGAGAAAATAATTTTGTGATACCCCGAAAATTTTACTCTTGAAAGAACACTTTAATTTGATTACCATTCTGCTTTTGAATTGATCGTTCGTTCGTTCGCTCGCTCATTCATTCATCCGTTTTATTCATTCTTTTTTATTTCTTAACATAACAATAAAATAATAGTAATAAGAAAACATGGTGTTTGCAAACAAAACATATGGTGTGGCGACACCTGCAGACCGGTTTGCACAGGTTATTAAGAAGAGACCAGTTCTTTTTTTCGGACTACCCTTCTTGCTTACTATCGTCGGAGGATCCTTTGTTCTTTCAGAACTTACAGCCACCAAATATAATGTCCATGACCATCGAACAAAAAATGTAAGTCCTTTGAAAGAAAATGAATATGGCAATAACAATAATGATAAAGATGATACTTACAGTTTATATATATATATATATATATATATATTTATTCTTTAATCCATATATAGATGTCAAAAGAAGAAGGACTGAAATTGTCCAAGAATAGGAGAAAACTCGATCTACAGGAAGAATACTGGAGATTGCAGTCGCGGGATATTGATGATAATTGGGAGATCAAACGAGTCAGCTCAGAAGCAGCGCCTGGAGTGACAACCTCACCCAAGATGACAGCTCCACCTTCAGAGCCATCATCACCATCATCGCCATCATCAGGATCAAATTAGGTTGAAAAAAGCGACCTTTTTTTCATATATGTTTTGTCTTTTTTATATATATATGAAAAATAAACACAGTAGCACTTCGATAAAAAAGCAATCAAACATTCTATGACCTTTTTATTTTCTCATCATTAATTTCAAAAAAAAAAAAAAAAAAAAAAAAAAAAAGAGGGAGTTGGATAAATATAATGGATGCATGGAATCGCAGTTAATGGAAAGCAGAAGCAAAAGTGTTTGGATCAAAAATCCCTTTCAAAATTTTGGCATTGGGGCATCAGCAGGCTGAGTCAACAATTTCTCAACATAGGGCCAGATCTGCTTGCGTGAACGCGCGCTATTCCATTGGAAATAAGCACGTCCGCCTTTAGCGACAAATTCATGAGTATCGATCAAATCAGTTCTTTCCAGCTTTAGATCTTCAATTTGTTCCATCTGCTCAGGGAAGGATTTGAGGGATTCCAAAACAGGATAAATGGCCATCTGGCGCTGAAATTCATCATGATCTCCAACACTATCTGACATCAAGACCAAGAAGAGATCCAACGTTCGGTTCTGGGCCCACTGACGGATGGCCCGTTGGATCACTTGCCTTGTATCACGCTTAACGAATTTCTGCATGAGACCAGTAGCACTACTGATACCGACCTTGATCTCGTGATCTGAGCCATGTTGAACAACTGTCCATTCCTTGTAATCCTTGCGCAAGATATCATAGTATGACAACTTGGAGGTGTCACGGCGGGCTTCTAAAATTCTCTTGAAGAAATGATCCCTGTCTTTCCATCCTGTGTATGGGAAGATTAGTTTGACCATCGCAATGTCGAGAGGCTTGGCTTTATGGTATTGCGGATCAAGGTTCATGGTATCAATCAAGATAGGTCCTAGTAAAAGACGCGAGACTTGTCGAAGCCAATCCGATGCCTTTTTCTTATCATGCTTTTGTTGACAATCGGATCGATCTCTTCCTTTTTGGTCTGCATCAATAGCGTTGTGAAAGAAATGATCTGCGACTAAGGAAGCACAGGATCCAACGGGCTCAATTCTTCGAGGATCTGCGGTGCCATTGTGGAGATTTTCGTCCGCGTGATGATCAAGGACGCCCACGACCTTTGCCTTTTTTAAAGAAGATAATGAACTAGACAGTTTGTTGTGATCGACCAAGAAGAGCGAGAGTTGATCTCGGTTTTTTTTCAGGAGGGATTCAAAGATAGGAAGGTGATCTCTGAAAAAGAGAAGATCATGGTTGACCTCGCATGATGATAAGACAAATTCCACGTCTGAACGAAGGACGAGGTCGGCTTGGGGAATGTTAATGAATGGGAGGATGATATTATTTTTGTTGTTACTTAAATGGGAGAGGAAGAAAGAGGTCGTCAAGGCCGAGATAATCGAGTCAAGATCTTGTGGAGAAAGAAAAAAAAAAAAAAAAAAAAAAAGCGATTAGGAACAAAAAAAAAATAAAAAAAAAATAAAGAGCGAATGCGCTTATTGGTTTTTTACCGGCGGATTCATTCCCAGTGACGAGAATGACATGAGTCTCGGGTTCGGTCTCAAGGCGTGGCCGAACAGAGGTAAGGAATGTGTCCATGGCGGATTGTTTGGGAGGATTTGGTTTGCGGTTGTGATGATGACAGAGGGGGCGAGCGTTGAGAGACAGGGTGGACTGCTGTTGCATGGCGTTTGTACGTCGAAGGAATAGGGCTAAAAATGTCAGTGCCAAAAGCGCGATTCTGGAATGCATAGTTTGGGCTTGGACTGTTGCTTTTATTTAAAAATTTCCGTGATTGAAATTGGCAGACTGGACCCTTCAACCCTTTCTTTTTCCGGATGTGGATCGGTATAGCAGATAGCGTAGCAGTATAGGATGAATGGATGGGAAGAGAAAGGAAAGAGTTGGAGAAGGAAAGTATCGTCTTCGAATGATCAAGTGCTTACCGAGCATCCTTTTATACTGCCTTCTTTCGTTGATGAGTTTTTTCACCGAAGAAGAAAAAAAAATGAATGCTTTGAGCACGTTTCTTGTCTTGGCTCAGTTATTTGCTTCTTTTTTTTTTTTTTTTTTTTTTTGTGTTTGCGTGTGAACACGTTCGATGACCAATGTGGCGGGCAACCTACTTTGGTGGTCATGTATAGTACTCAATCAACATGTGCAAGTATAGTATTGACCTATGAGGCATTATATTTATGTTTATACATCCACTCCATATGATTAGCGTCTTTGAGCTATCGATCCAAGGCTTGGGGTCACTGGACATGATGGAACTGCCGCAATATAGCGCTAGCTACATCCTTACCAACGCTATAGCTTATTTCCTTGCACGTCGAGCTTGGAGGTAAACATCCAGTCGCAGATCAGGCCTGGATAGATACTTAATGACTATATATTGGTGACATTCACAGCAAGGGCTTGATGTCCGGACATTGGCTACCAGAGTTGCAGAGTATGTCTTTTACTATGACTTTCATGAGTTATGATGTGGAAGAAAGTTGATATACCTGGGCCATTCCTGGATTTGCAGCGTATCAAGAAACTCCTATCTCTTGATGGGCCTTCCGCTCACTTTTGGCGGCTAGAGCTTGTTGGTCATTGACGTTGGTTCGTGCACCAGTAGCTTTAAAGCCTCTATAGCTTGACTCTTCTCCACACTGGAATCTTACTCTGTCTTGTAATCTTGCCATCCCTATACTTTCAGATTTTCGATAGTTGTGTCTAGAGAATTCTTGTGGACGCGGCCTAACGGACAAGGCGGACTTGGCGAAATGTTAGAGTGATCCACCCAGGTGCCTGAAAGACCATTCCTAGATACTGTCTTCTAGTAGTGGGTGGATTTACTCGTTCTGGGACCATAGACATTCTTCTTACCATCTTACCATCTGTCAAAATAAACTGCTTGTCACTAAGTGCTTCGCCCAAATTAAGAATCCCATCATTTCGTATGAATAAAATGAATAAAGTCTCAAAGCTCATCAAGAGAGGGGAAAAGTGTCAACCTCTGCCCAGGAACTAAGAGAAAAAAAATTATAACGATTTAACTGAGACAAGTTTGACTGTGGTAAATACTTTAAATGAAGAGGAGGAATGTGCCCTGTTCTCAAAGACTTGTCTATACCTGTATGAGTGTATGCACAAAGTTCAAGTCAGATCCCATCGGTTCCCTCTTTTGGAATGGACAATAACAATAACAAAAAAAAAAAAAAAAAAAAAAAAAAACAAAGGTGACTCTTTTTTTCTACATGAATCACAGCGTATGAATAATAGGCTGAGCTATGTGATTCATGGTTATGGCACAGGCAATAGACAAATAAACAAACAAAATACATATAAATGTATAAATATATGAACATTATTAATTCATGTCAAGCATTACTTGACAAAGCATTCTTTTTCTTTTTCTTTTTTTTTTTCTTCTCATTCAGATTCAGATTCAGATTCAGATTCAGATTCAGATTCAGATTTTTTTCATCCTCATCCTCATTAACCTCAGCTCAACTTGTTCACTTGCACACTTTCCTAGCTATTCAAGTGTCTTTATTACTCAGCTCTACGTTATTTTTTCTTGAGAGAGATTTTCTGTACCCCGCATTTCTCGTGAACATTTTTATTTTACTTTACCACGCTCTGCTCCTTTACTCTTTTACATTTTTACATCTCTTTTTCTCTTTTCCCTTTTTTCCTTTCTTTCTTTCCTTCTTACCTTACTTCATTTTATTTAGCATCAACCTCTTCATCTCCTTACCATATTTTATCAGCACATTCAAAAAATCATGACTACTCCACCAGTCTTCACTGTTATAGGCAAGTGAATGTATCACAAAACTAACATCATTTCGCCCATCTTTACTTGGACTCTCTCTTTCAGATGAATCTGAGGGTTGTGCTGCGCTGCATCTTGCTGCACGAAGCCTAAATACATCCATAAAGTTCTTTTCCTTCACTGATTGACCAGCTTACTTATCATGTGTCTGGATGTTTTCTTTTTTTTTTATACTACATGTAATAACAGTTCTCGGTGCTTCTGGTGATCTGGCCAAGAAAAAGACCTTCCCAGCGCTCTTTGGCCTGTACTTAAATGGACATATTGCATCTACAACCCGGATTATTGGCTATGCACGCACAAAGATGGATCGTTCAGAGTTCCTGAAGCGTGTGTCACAGCATATCAAGAACACAAACACTCCCAAGGCTAGGGGCATGTTGACTCAGTTCCTGGACCAGTGTACATATGTTTCGGGTGTGTATGATCAGGACTCGGGCTTCCAAGCATTAGAACAAGAACTGCAACGAGTCGAGAGAGAGACTCGGGCGCATGATCGCCTGTTCTACATGGCCCTGCCTCCTTCAGTCTTCATCCCTGTAGCTAATGGATTGAAGAAGAACTGTTACACTTCCAATGGTACCAACCGTTTGATCGTCGAGAAGCCTTTTGGAATGGATCTTGAGAGCTCACGCACTTTGTCCAAGGCCCTGGGCTCCCTTTTCAGGGAAGATGAGGTAAGAGGAGAACAAGAAGAACAAAAAAAAAAAAAAAAAAAAAAATAGTAAGAAGACTTGTGGAAAGAATTGGCTTGAGTGAGTGAATGAATCGAGGGTTTTCTTGATTGCAGACTTGGATTTGTTGGGAACACTTAATGCATACACAAACTTGAGAGCATACACGTTTTTATGTTAGTAAACACCGTTTCATTGGCCAAGTAATGCGGGGTCATTTCTATATGGGCATGTTGGTATATCTTAAAAAAGAAAAGGCCCAATGAGGGGTATGACAAATAGAGGATGACGCCAGGCTCGATTACAGTTAACAATATCAATGGAGAATGGGACTAGAGAGGGCATTCCATTAATATGTAATCATTGCGCGTTTGGTGTCTGCGCAGACATCAAGCAGAAAAATTCGCTTAAAGATAATTAGGCGGTAGTGCTGATTAAGCAGAATAGTCGATTTTCTTATTGAGGCTTTCCGATTAGTGTGAGTGTGTCGTTGCATTGGAGGGATTGAGAAGATCACTCCTTCGGTTTCTGACGTGATCAGTCGTGATTGATCTTGTTTTATGTGACCATTAACTTCAAGAACGTTAGTGAGCGGGAAGAGTATAATATATACTTCTGGATTTCAAATTTTTTTTTACATTTGGGCTGCGTTGGCTCCCTATGACTGTAAAGAGGGAGAGAATGATAAACAAGCCCTTACAGGAATGCGTCGGTTTGCACTTGGACTTGTACACATTAGGGTGAGCCGGTGTTTCGCCCACTCTTATTATTGAGATGATCTGATCTGATTGTATTTGTGTGGCGAATTGATACGCATTATGGTCCAGGGTCGATTAGTTTATGAGTTTATTTGTTATCTCTATTTTTGAAAACAGTTGAGAAAGACCATTAGAACCATGGTCTCCCCGTTTCTTCTCTTGTTGTTGGTGTGTAGGGAGCGTGTCATCGTTCGAATGATAATGACCCATCAAAAAAAAAAAAAAAAAAAAAAAAAGAGTTTTGATTAATTGCAGTGAGAGATACAGATGACTGATTAGGGCAATGGATTTGATTGGCGCGATTGAGTTTTCTCTTAGTGATAAAAGATTGCATCGCAGTGGTAAATGCTTCGCCCGTGCTCAACAATAACAAAAGCTTTACTAACCTTTGGGACATGGTGGGGAAAGATGGATTGAAGAAGACTAAATATATAAAAAAAAAACGTTGGGTCACAGAATGATTATTCATGAAAACTACTTTGTGCGTTTAAACATATGTTTGTACACGTGGCCTTGATACCATTAACTAAAAAAAAAAAAAAAACCTTTTCCTTACACGCTCACACGCGGCTCGTACAATATGATAGATTTATCGCATTGATCATTACCTGGGCAAGGAGATGGTCAAGAACATCATGATCCTGCGCTTCACAAACCAGATCTTTAGCTCTTGCTGGGACAAGGATCACATCTCGAACGTCCAGATCACCTTTAAGGAAAAGATTGGCACTGAGGGCCGTGGCGGCTACTTTGATGAATTTGGCATTATGCGCGATGTCATGCAGAACCGTATGTTTTCGAAGCTAGACTTTTGTCAAAGCAGCAAAAAAAAAAAAAAAAAAAAAAAGCTCGTATTAGAATGATTCATTTAATTAATTTTTTTCTTTTCTTTTTTTTTAGATCTCCTCCAGATTTTGACTTTGATTGCTATGGAGACTCCTGCATCTACGAATGCTGAAGATATCCGTGACGCTAAGGTAGATTTTTTGTGGCATCTTTTTTTTTTTTTTTTTTTTATAATATATATTTATATATATATACTTACGAGTATGCATTTATCCTGTTAAAATAACAAAACTAGGTCAATGTCCTTCGCGCTATTCCGGAAATCATCGAGTCTGAGGTACTATTGGGTCAATATGGTAGATCCGAGGATGGCACCATGCCTTCGTACCTCGATGATGAGACTGTTCCCAAAGGCAGCAAGACCGCCACGTTTGCAGCAGCGACTCTCCATATCAACAACCCCCGCTGGGAAGGTGTTCCATTTGTTCTAAAGTGTGGTAAAGCATTGGATCAACCAAAGGTCGAAGTCCGCATCCAATTCAAGGATATGGGTAACAGCTTGTTCCAAAAGGATGTGGCCGCTCGTAACGAACTGGTCATTCGCGTCCAACCTGAAGAAGCCGTCTATTTAAAGATGACTCAAAAATTACCTGGCTTGGGCATGGATACTGTCATCTCTGAACTCAATCTGTCGTATGCTTCCAGATTCACAAACCTGTCCGTCCCTGACGCGTATGAAAACTTGATTTTGGATGCCATCATGGGCGAACAGTCCAACTTTGTGAGAAGCGATGAGCTGGATGAAGCTTGGAGAATCTTTACACCTGTCTTGCATAAGATTGACAAAGGTCTTGTACCTGTTGAGATCTACCCCTATGGTAGCCGTGGTCCTAAGCAGCTTTCTGAATTTGTAGCCAAGTTCGGATTCGAGAGGCATTTGCAGGCTTACTCCTGGCCAGAAACTTCCCAGACGGCTGTTGCTGCCGCTGCTTCATCAACTGGTCCTGCTGCCACTTCATCAACAGGTGCTGCTGGCAGCAAACTCTAATTATCACCACCATAGCAAATGGAAATCATCTCAATCATACTCACAACCCCAGAGAGCCTTTAACTTTAACGGGTGGTTATAAAAGAAACAGAAATGTATATATCTTTGCATAGTTTAGGAGTCTAGGAAAAAAAAAAAAAAAAAAAAAAAAAAAAAAGCGTATATCAACTTTTATATAAAGAACATATTATATTTATATCAATTTATCGAACCGTGTAGTTTTTTTAATGTTGTTGAGGCCAATTTTGATAGATCAACTGGCCAACCGTATGTTCAATATCCTTGAAAGACTTTGAATACGGAGGATCCACGGAAATGATATCCAAATACTTAAGAAACTTATTCTGGAATCCAATGTGATAATGATGGTGCTTATGCGCATGACTAAAAACAGTTGGCAGTATATAGGCCCATGGCGGTTTTAAGCCGAGCAATAGCAGATTCCTTTTTACTATGAAGGCAGTGTGTGACACGGCCTAAAAATGTCAAAAAAAATTTACGCGTTTAAATCACAAACAGAAAATCGCCACCAATTGTTTCTTACACGCTTTTAACTCCTTGGGGCCCCCGTCCTTGCAACCACTGCCTTTATCACGATGAGTAGGATGGCGGTGATGCTTGTCATACTTTTCTGTGCCTATGTTTACGAATCTTTTGGTGCTTCTCATGCTTATGGTGCTTTTTACCACTTTGTCCTAGTGACGGTGATGGTAGTAGCTATGCCAATGACAATGATCCTGACGATGATCCGAGTTGTCCGTCATCTCGACATATTTATGCGTTTTGGGCACATTTGGTGCAGCATGAAACTTATATTGCTGGTCTTGCTTGCTCTGCAGATTTTTGAGCAATGTAATGGATAGGGTAGTGTTGGTAGTGTTGTTTATAACGGTGCCCGGCTCCAACGTTTTGTTAAATAATAGATATATTTATTCTTAACATGATTTGCTCACATGTGGCTATCAGAATAATGCACACGAGCAAATCAGAGAAAACTAGAGCTATACTATATACCCTTTACTGATGATCAACCATGAGAAAACGCCAAATGCAAATCCGCAACAAAAAGAAGTAATTTTTGATCCTTTTTTTTTTTTTTTTTTTTTTGCAATATAAGAATAGGATAAAAGCCGTTTATAGTGCTGAAAGGGATAAAGGGTAAGTAAGCAGTTGAACACCCTAATGAACCTACCCCTATTCACCCTTTCCATATGACTAGGACATAAGATCTTGCATTTTTTTTGACCTTCATTCTTTAAGTCATTACATGCTCGAGGAATGAAAGGCCCCTTTGTGATCCTTAACGATTATCTATAGTTGAGGCATAGAAGATGTGTATAGACATTAGCAAACAGAAATCAGTACCAAGATGATGGGGACAAAGACAGACGCGTTGTTGCCAATATTATTAGAAATCGCGATGAGTCTAGTGACATATAGTGTTCATACTAGAGAACGGGAAAGATTTATTACATTTTGCCTCCTTCGATTCGATTACTGTAATTTACTTCAGCCAATTAATTTCTTTTAGTTTGATTAATTTACTACACTAACAATCTTCTCTCTTTCTTCTTCTTCCTCTTCTGCCTGCACATGTGGACAGAATGTGGAAAGTGTGCAAGCATCTCTTTTTGAGTGCCTTCTATTCCAATATTGAATGCATCGTAAAACTTGACGCACAAACAAGGAGAATCAATGAGTGTGTGAGTGTGAGTGTAATTGAAGTTTCTTCATCTCCGATCAGTGACATGCACAGTGTGCACAATGTGAATCCCATGCTATACTACTCTCAAAATGGTCATCTTGAAACATGAATTGTCTCACTTCGCCCTCCTCATGTCATTTGCCCTGAACTAACCATTCTTGTCTTGTAGATTTCCTTCTTTCGCTCCAATGTAACAGAGCTATTAGAGCCATGCATGCTTTTTTTCCTTCTTGTTTTCCCTTTCCTTGGATAGGATATGCCAGATCAAACCGAACACTCTTTTTCATTCACTTGTTAGTATAAATATTACATATTGACTGAGTGCCAATTGTCTTGTGAAGAGAGACCTTGTAAGTCCCTACTTTACTGACCAGCTTAAATGGCATATAGAAGGTGATAACGGAAGCTTGAGAAGCGGGGCTTCTATTCAATGCTGTTTGTTCTTCAACCCCTTTACTAGATTCTCTGGTTTTACCTGTGCACTCGATCGCTTCCTCTGGATAAAGTCCAAAAGACTTTAGGTTAGCATATCAACACATATTAGTTTATTAGTTTTTATTGTCAATAACAATAAAGGGCTGTTGTATGGCTTGGGTATACGGCCCTTCCTCAACAAGGTTCTATTCCATTAACCTAGTTGGGGATCAAGATGGCTGCTGTGTGGAGTCTGACCCCTGACATAATCCACCGCTCAATCATTCAACAACCTCTCAATCAAATAACCTATATTCCTATTCTATTATGAGCACTTTGGGACAAAGCTTAATCCCAAGGCACCCCCAGAAAGAGAAATAAGTTCAGTATTCAAATACCGAATTTCAAGGGGGTAAAAATAAAGGAAAATTTGCCTGCTCGGACATTTCATCTTTGTAGCACGTTGTGAGAAGTAGATGTTCAATTCAATTGGGACCTTAATCCTTGTTTGACTCACAAAGGTTTCGCACGCTAATTTAGAATGATTAAACCGTGCAGATGACAACCGAAAAAAAAATAGTCTAACCATTGCATATTTCTTCAGAAGCACAATAGACTACTAGAGTTCTTGTTTCTTTCTTATTCTCACAGTCCTTGAAGAGGCTGGGAGGCTGCATTTTCTCTTCATTTTCTCTCTTTCTTTTTGTTATTCAATGTTTCTTGTAAAAACAACACAATAGGGTATACTGTATGAGATAGAAATATCGCTAGAAAAAGAGGATGAGATAGAGACATAGACATAGACATAGACAGAATACAGAGAAGTTTAAAACTTTCAAGCACTATATCCTTTATGCCACTTTTTGTTATTAGGTCATCACCATCGTCTTTACTTCCCTTGTGTTCAGGGCCAATTTGCCTGACCGCTGCAATTTATCAAACGAAATTTAATAATGTGATCCAGGGGAGAGCTGTTTCGAAAAACTTTGTCTGTGAATTGCCCTGCCTGACTCCATTACCTCCACACTAAGCTTTACTGCTCTCAATGCTCTCATTGCCCACGCTGTCCACACAGTTCATCAGCTGTGCCTCTTCCACTTCCTCTACTCTTTTGTTGTCGTATAAAAAGGAACCCCTGCTTCCTCTTTTTTTTTTAGATCGACGACAATCAACCTTTTCTTCCTTACAACGCGGCAATCTTGCCTCCTCATTCTCCTGCGTTTTTTTTTGTTTCCCCTTAAATATACAACGCCTTTCCTTTTTTGTACATAATGCGTATCACATCAATCCTGGCGCCTGCTCTGCTAGCCGTCTTTACCTTTGTACCCTCTGCTACCACTGTTTCCGCTTCAAATACCTCTTCCAACTCTCTCGATATAGGCCTAAATGTCACTCTTGGAGCAGCACCTTCCAATAATAAAATCTACCATTGGGAAATCAAGCACTTCCCTAAATCCATCGCAGGTCTCGACACCCCTTTTCATTTGACAAAAAAGATGCGACCAGGCAGGAACCCATTTGATATCGCTCGCGACCCCACTAGCAAGAAGCGCGACAGTCGTGTCTTGCGATCCCTCTATCCTGCTAATTCTTTTGCTCGCTCAGGACATCCACATGCCGAGTTTACTTCCACGCCTCTCCCTCAGGAAGCCTTTTCAGGCCCTGTCAGTCGCTTTATCCGTCTCGAATATCAAATGTATTTTCAACCTGGTTTCCAATGGGTCAAGGGCGGGAAATTGCCTGGCATTCTGATCGGGACCGAGAAGGGCTGTAATGCTGCTTGCTCTGGAGGTGGAACCGCTGAACGCTGCTTCTCAACTCGTATGATGTGGCGTGCACATGGTAGTGGCGAGCTCTATCTCTATGCTGCCAAATCTCTTTATTTCCCAAAAGAGAAACCAGAAAAATGTAGTCGCAGCTTGGACAAAAGATCGCCTGAAGCCTTGTTCCAGCTTGAGCAGCGACAGATCAAAGCTGTTCACATCCCTGAGGATGATGAATGGGATGAAGCCTCATATTTTAGTGAGGCAGGCCTGCATAAGCGTGCACTTGATAACTCGTGCCTGAATGGGATCAATGTCAGGATCACCCCTGGCTCTCGCAATATGTGTAACCCGACCTATGGAATTTCAGTTGGTCGTGGCGGCGACTTTAAGTTCAGGGCTGGTACCTGGCATAATATTACCCAGATCGTTCGCGTCAACTCCAAGGGCAAGGCCGTGAAGGACGGTTACCTGGCTGTCTACTTGGACCGCAAACCCGTTGTTCAAATCAATAATCTAGTCCTTCTCAAGAATGGTTACGATCCTAAAAAGACCGTCGGTGAAGACCGTCTAGTCAAGTTTATGTTTTCATCCTTCTTCGGTGGCGCTGACGCGAGTTACCGGACTCGTAAGGCTCAATGGATTGCCTGGAAAGGATTCAAGATGACCACCAGTGTCAAGAACATTTGGCACTAGAGATCACATCGATTGCAGCATTTTTTTTTTTCAACTCATTTTCCTTATGTAACTTATTGTCAATTCATTTTTATATACCATGTATACTTGCCGCATTAGTTTTTTATATTATCGCGTAGATGTTTTTGTACATTCACCATTACATACATTACACACATTACATACATTCCATAAGAGAATAATAGCGTTGATCGCTTTGACTCTTTCTATCCAATAAAAATGTACTTTATAACTCATATACACGCTCTGTCTTTCGTTCTGAATGTGAGACATGGGGCCCTCTATCTTCAAAGCTCCTAATGGTGAATATAAAAATCACTACCAACTCCCAGCGACGCGACTCTGCCAGGCATGGCCTGCTCCAGTGCAGCCTTTGCTCTCCATCCGGAGCAATGACCTGGAGCCATAAATGATGGATCGATCTTTAACATATCATCAATTGTTTCTAATAAAAAAAAAAAAAAAAAAAAAAAAAAAGATTTAAAGAGCTGCAACTACTGAATTTTCTTTTTCCTTTTCTCATGGTTGGTATTAAATGGACTGACGTACCTTTGATCCTTGTTTCGACACTGTGTCCAGCAAGGTGGAATCCTCCCACAACGAAAAAGATTTGATTGTCAGCAACGTCGCTGCCTTTGGCACTGTTGGAATTACTATTGTTGCTGTTTTTTGGATCAAACGCGTGTTTCACGTCCTGACAGACGTTAATCACGCCTGCATGACTACAGCCCGTGAGGACGACAAGACCCTTGGATCTGACTCGAGCAACCAAGTATCGCTCATCCATGATCTCAGGTTCCGGTTTCCAAGATTTACTGTCCTGGAACCATCGAACATGATTTGGAATACCGGTTTCATAAGATGTCTTGCGTGGAATCAGGCCTGAGACGCCGAAAAATCCATCGCAGATCGTATGTGCCTGACTTTTCAGCGAAACCTTTTAAAAAAAAATAGCGTGAGAAAAAAATAAAAGATAAAAAAAGAGGAGTCAAAACAAAAAAAAATAAATAAATAAAATAAAAAACTTCCATTACCTGTGCACCAGCCTTCTTAAGGCCATCAAGAGAAGGATCCGCACCCCAGGCTACATACTGAATAGGCTCCTCTTCTGGCTCATTATGAACCTTTAACGATTTGGTGAGACATGTACCACGTTGATCTGGTCGATCAGGGTGCAAATCCACGACAACTATAAAAAAAAAAAATAGCGTTTTCATTTCGAAACTCTCTGAGGTTTTTGTTCCAGAAGAAGAACGGGTTGGGGATTGCTTTTTTTTTTTTTTTTTTTTTTTTTTTTTTTTGATAACAAGGACCCTCAAGAACGGATTGGGGGATTGCTTCGATATTCTTTCATTATGATGTGATGGATGTTTATGATGTGATGGATATTTATGTGCTTACCTGGTGATAGGCCTTGCTTTTTCTCACGCGCCTCCCTAATCTTCTCAACAGCCGCAATCATACCACCCGAGTGATCAATATGCCAGTGTGAAAGAACAACAACCTCAATCTTTTCAAACTCAAGTTCAAGCCGTCTGGCATTGTCAAGGAAAATGGCAGAATGTGGCCCTGTATCAAAGAGAATTCTGTGTTCAACACCATCCTTGATTCCCGTCTAAATTATTTTAATTATTTATTAGTCCTATTTCGCTCAAAAGTTCCATGGTAAGATCATTCGAGGTTGGTGCAGAGTAATAATAAGAATAGCAAATAAGTTTTTACCACTAAGATGGATAATCCATGCGCTCCACAGCAGACATCGTTGAAATCAAAGGCAATGGTGCGAACAGGTCGTTCACCATCTTGAGTATGCGGATGTACATCCTCATGTCCATGTCCATGTTCATGCTCATGTTCACGTTCACGCTCATGAGTGTTGGCTGACTCTTTTTCTGTGGTCTTCTCCCAGTCAATATTTCTCTTGTCCGAAAACAGTTTGATGGCCTGTGCGGTCTGCCCTAGTTCTCTAGGGACTGAAGTCATAAAGTCGACATCATTATCCACAATGACGGTCAGACGTAAGGCATCGAGTTCAATAAGATCTGGGAATAAATTCGGCTCTGCTTCACGAGAGTCTGTGGTCGGTGTGGAAGTTGCCATAGTTGAAAGAAATGAAGTTTTGTTGAGATAAAACAAAAAAAAAAAAAAAAAAGCGAAGACAATTCTTTAGTACTTCACATTTATTTATAAAAAAATAAAAAAAAAAAAAACTTTGTTGCGCAGTATAACCATGCGCCAGCGACGCGTCTCCCGCCACGTTTTTTCATTCTCGGCTTACTTTCAATGGGAAATGGGCTTTTACGCGAATGCAGTTCACAGAAAGAGTCATCTTTTTTAAACCGATCGACTCCTTCTTTTTTTTTTTTTTTTTTTTTTTTTTTTTTTGATAACAAGGACCCTCAGGAAACCGATCGACTCCTTCTCTTCGGCACATAAAAAAATAAATTATCCATAGCTCCAACGCGTCTTCTTCCAGATACTTCATCATGTACAGAGAGTCCTCAAAAAAGGGTCCAAAATAGTGCCTTGTCAATGAGCCCTTTTAATTCAATTAAGAAGAGGGTCGTTTTTTAAGCCCTTTCTTTAAGGTTGATCGATAAAGCATTATATATATAATATATATTTTTTTTTTTTTTTTTTTTTTTTTGGTAACAAGGACCCACGAGGTCATGTAGGATTTATTTATATGTAGCAGACTCGGCCTGATAAAGAGGGTGTTACCCAGCTTGCATGGCATTGAGGGTAGGGTAGCATACCATGCAGCTTCTTGATATGGTGGCACCTGGCTGTAAGACAAGGACCATGTATTTATAGGTCGTGCTAATGTAGAATGTGCTCTTGTGGAAAGCCTAAGTGTTACTAAAGATTTGGAAGCTACTAGGTACAACACGCTCGCAAGGCGCTGGAATGGTGTAGTTGGTTATCACATGCCTCTCACTAAGGCAAGGTCCCAGGTTCGAACCCTGGTTTCAGCACTTTTGCCACCAACCGCGGCATTCTTTTTGTTTTGGGTATGGATTACTCTATTTGGCAGCCCAGCTGCCAAATAGCATCAGACTTTTGTCTATCGTCCACCATCACCAGAAGATCCTTTATTAATTTATTTCCGACATCACGTAAGTGCAGTCGCTCTTAGTTTGGTTGTTTGGCACCTTATCCTCGTGGTTCAACTTTGATTCTGATCCGTTTGGTAAGCTTTCCGTACCTTTGTCTCAATCTAAACCGCAAAATGCCTAATTTAAAGATGGCCTTTGAAAGCCGAACTTCGTCTTTTAGTACTTGTTTTCTTTTCTTTCATCCATGCGGTCTTCGACTTTGTATGGTGGCAATCACTCCTGACATTTTATGTGAGGGAAATAACTACTTCAGCTTGGTTGCGGTACTTTTTTTTTCTTTTCTTCTTCAAGCTTGGGTTTAGTGTTAGGTCACGTTAGTCATCCTTTACATTATAAAGGTCCCTTGTAATATTTCACCCAAGAAGCGTGCTGATTGTAAAACGGTGATACTGACCAAACCGATGAATGTTTTTTCTTAAAAGCTTGTTTCTGCCACGTTGGCGATTAAAATTGCTCTCACAAGAGTCACCAGGAATATTTTTGAATTGGCGCATTCGGAAAACTAACTTTTGGTCAAGATTAAACCCTTTGATTGACATTTTTTTGCAGCTATCGAGACTACTCATAAAGTTGACACAAACAAAGGATAATCTCACAGGAAGGGGTTCACATCTCCTGAAATCCTCCATTTTTGGCCTCAGGCGCGATCATTTTTTTTACAGATCTCGGTTGTAATGATCTTCAGTTCGCTTATTATAGTGCTTTTCAGTTCGTCCATGGTGCTCTTCATCTCGGCTGTGGCGGAGATCACAAGTAGAAATGGCAAAGCATATTAGGCAAAAATAAAATAAAATAAATTAAAAAAAAGTACAGATATCACAAAGCCTGTTGTCTGTTGTTTTCGACTGAAATGAACTGATATCAACTCACTTACAGACATCCTTCTCTAGAGATCTTAGACGAGATGCTATGGTACCACCATCAGCATCACTGCCATACTTGTCGAGGATTTCGGAACGCGGTGGTGGGGTCACGCGGTATGCCCTGTAAGGAGAGGGTACCTCGACGGGGTCTGGCGGGGGAGGGGGATGAGTGGAGAGTTCTGTGGACATGACGAGTGGGGTCGGATCGATATAATGCCAGGGACTGCTGAGCCTGACAGGCAGTATCACAAACGTGGCGTTTTTTGGACATTTTTTTTTCTCCTCAAATATGTCTGCAATGCTCGTCTGGCACCGACGGCATTTGTGGACATGCCGAGGAAACGCTATATGTCCAACTTCATTACATTCTTCCCCGGGCAGTTGGAACTTGCCAGTTTTTGTCGGTGTAGTAGTGTAGGCGATGCACAGTTTGCTGCGAATTGGTTTGAAGTAGACGGTGGCACTTGCAGAGGAAGAAAGGCTTTCTGCACCATCGTAAGGAGGAGGAGGGCCTTCTGGCGTGGTATTCTTGTTTTTTTTTATTATAGTTTTAGGCATCACCAACTCAAAATAAAAAAGGAACTTGAATTTCTTTGTTCAAGATGCTGGCCTTCTTTTTAAGTGAAGGGTTTACTTTGTTCATAATTCTGTCCAGCGTCCCAATATTTTTACACGGGTTTACTGCGTAAATATTTTTGGGTGGCTCGCTTACATTTTACATGTGTTTGCTTCGTTCATATTTTTTCCAGCGGTCCTAATTCTTTACATGGGTCTACTGCGTTGATTTTTTGCCAGTGTCACTAACATCTAGACATTCATACCTTGCACGTGGCCAACTTCATTTTTTAAAAAAATTCATCAGTTCCAGTAGAGAAATATGGGGCCCAGACTAGGGACAAATATTATTTTTTTTTCTTCTCATTTCTTCATTCCAACCATTACATATTTTCCACATTCATACCTTTATCACATACATTCTGCATGTCTTCCACTAACAACACCATTTCTTCTTCCTCTGCAGTTAGCACTAGCAAGAAACGTACTCGTGACGAAGTAGAGAGCACTCCCAACGTCAACAAGGTGTCATCGAGTACCCGATCCGATCCAAACGAGTACCGTGGCAGGTTAGTGCCTTTCGCGCCAGTGTCCACGGATGGTGTGCTAAGTGCATATAGTAAACTTTTCCTGGATCTGAATCACTGTTCAATCCGCGGGCAGTCTAATCCTTTGCCAGCCGACTATCAGGACGGGCCTCGAGAGTGGTTGACACTCGAGGGTCATGTGGCGAGGACACACAAGGGCGATGTGGTGAAGCGTGAAACCTTCACGCTATTCCATCTGCATGAGCCATCGTTGTTCAAGCAGTTGGAGAAGCACAAGCTTCGGCTGGTCTCGGAGGAGGATTGGGAGACCGCCAAAAAAGCAAGGGCTACTCTGCAACAACAACGTAGAGTGACTGAAGCGCCTGTGGTTTATATTGGATCCTGAAATTACGGCGAGGAAAGGTCGACCACGGACAAAACGAATCAAGAGCAGTGTGGAGACCGGCAAGCATTTGTCGAAGCAAAGGTGTGGAGAGTGTGGGGCTCTAGGGCATAACAAAAGATTCCATAACCAAATTTAGAGGAAAAAAATATTTGTAAGGGGGCCTGTACCTTATTATTATTATTAGTATGGTAAAATAAATTTATAACGGAGTGTTTCTTTATGGACATGTCGATACCTTGGTGCTATAGGCAAAGTCACTCATTTCAAACCTAATTGATGTCGCTCCATCCGAAGCTACTAATAGGCATCGAAGCGCAACTTATTCATATGAGTTTTACGCTTTCTGACAAACACTAATATTTGTAATAATATGATGAATGTTACAAGACGTAGTGTGTGAAGTTTGGTGGCTATTTATGTGGCTGCAGTGTTCCTTTTGTACGTGTACATTTGTACATGTGATCAGATATGCAATTAGACGAAATATGCAACAAGTCCAATATCGTTGTAAAAAGAAAGACATTTGGTGATCCTAAACCATCTTCGCAGTTAATGGAGGTTAAGAAGATTTATTGTCTAAAATACAGATTGGTACATTGATGGGCCTTATATACTGTAATAGTTTATTTAGTCAAATTCCAATATGTGCCCATTAATAGGCAAAATGTTTCATAGGTTTCACGTACAGACACAGAGACACAGAGGCTAGAATTCAGGCACATGTCTTTTCACTACATCTAACCATAAAGTAGAAACTAAAAGCATCTTCAGTTACACGCGCGTAGCGCGCTCACAAAGCGATCTGATCTGATCAACACCTTGCTTCATACTCAATTCTTCACTCCCTCATTCCATTCCCCTCATTCCTCTCATTCCTCTCATTCCTCATTCCGTACTCAAAGGAAAATAATAAAAAAAAGCGCGCTTGAGGGAAGCTAACAAGTGATCGATTGAACAATTGAATTATGAGGAGAGTATATTGAACTGGACTTGACAATATGAGTTAAAAGTATAAAGGCATGTTCGCTTACGCTTATATTTTTCTTTTATACATCATACATCACCGCCATTTATTACGATAACCACTACTTGTAACGCTTGCTCGTACTCACAAATATCTACTCAATCCCCTCAACAAAAAATACAAAGTAACCTATCAACATGCCCCGCACCATCGCTTCTTCATCTTCTTGCAACGCTGCCTCCTCAACAACAAATGCAGGTCCAAGCGGCGCCTTCTTCGAATTTAGTGTGAAGCGAGGGAAAGAAGGAAGAAGTGGCTATGCACGAAAGGCTAAGGAAGCCAGAGATGAAAGAGGAAAAAGGAGAGAGATCCGTGAGGGCAAAAAAAGGGCCTGTTCTGTAGGCGTCCATAGCGTCTCCGAGGAACACACCCCTCACAAGCGGATCCATTCCCAAGACACCATGATCGGTGCAACAACTGATAACTCCTCCAGCAACCCTCAATCGTCTTATTCGTCTGAAGAAACAGCAGAGCAGAGAAAAACCTGTGTCAACAATGTTCTTGAATCTCTCCTGGCCAACAAGAGTCCCTCAAAGACATTGCTGCAGTACAGGACGTACTTAAAAGCTTGGCAGGTAAATTTTTTTTTTGTTTATTTGTTTATTTTATTTTTTAGGACATTCAATTTTTTTTTCATGCTTCGTAATACAAAATATGTAAATACAATATAAATGATAGGTGTTCTGCACAAGAGAAAAAGGGGACTGCAGCGTTGATGCAAGAAAAATGCTAAAGTTTTTCGAGGAGGTTGTTTTCAAGCGTACAGTGAAGAAATATATCGATCCAAATGCGGGATTCAGTGGCGCCGTTGGAAAGGCTTCATCACAGGCGTCCAAATCAGTGTTGGAGGGTAAGCTGACTCGCGAAAATAAGAGAAAACTGAAGGCTTGGAAAGCAGAAACAGAAGAGAGTATTTTTCAGGATGTCGTCCATGAGCTGGAGCAAAATTATAGCCAACATGACTCACAGCCTTATAAGACCTTGGCCTTTGAGGAGTTCGAGGAAGCCTCCCAAGGTGACAAAGACGATGCAGGAAGCGAAGACGAGGAACAAAATCACTCGCAACCAGCTGAAGAAGAGGCCCTCATGTCTACTGAGCCGCAAGCCCTCATGGTCTCCTCCATTGCGGAAAGAACAAAAGGTAAATCTAGTGTAATCATGTAACCAAAACAACCTTGTTCAAAGCTGTGGCTCACTCTTAATTGACATTCTGACACTTCATTTTAACTCAAATATAGTTCTTTCGCATCCGCTAACTGATGAGACTGGCCGAAAATTCATCTATGCGCCTATCTCGATAGAAACAGTGGATTGTGCCAGGAAGGCGTTAATTTATCTCTACAAGGAGCAAGCGTCATCAAAGGTGGATTGGCCAAACCCTGCACCTCATCCGCGCAAGGATATCCCGCTGAAGGAGGCTATCGAGGAATACGAGGGGAAACTAGTGTATGACACCTCATTCCAGGGGTCGACGCGCACTGATACCTGTTCTATTCGTGACACCTATAATGAGAAGCAGTTTATTCGGATGGCCCTCCATACGTGGGGTATGAAGCCAATGCTGCGACTAAAAGGGAAGCGAGTGTATCATGCGGAAGGTAGGTTTCAGTATATGCGTGAACGCCTTTGTATCTTGGCACGACACCATATGCTGTTGCGAGATGAGGATATTCGCAACCTTAATCTGTCTGATGTATTCAGCATCATGTCTTCCCATCCGGCAAGTGGATCCCAGCCAGCTCTCGGACTTACATTTTGCATATCTCGTGGCAAAACGAATAAAAAAGGTGTTAAGCTTTATGCAACCGCCTTTCGTCATAAAGTTTTTTACAGGTGTACTGTAGGAGCGTTTGGCTTCTACATGTTGGAACGATTCATGGTAAGGGACTTATGCCATTCTTGTCTCTTCTTACCGCAATATACACTATGTACTTTCCTAGCTCGTTGTTAAATGTTGGGCTGTGTACCATCCTATAATAGCTGGATAAGGAGGATGTCCCAAACTTCGCTGATCCCGACGATTGGTACAACATCAAGCTTTTGATCGCAGCTAGTACGATCGAGAGGCGCAACGCAGGCCTTCGCAAGAATGCTGTTGCACCAAAGACTCAAATCGATGCCACAGCTTCTGTGATGCGAATCTGTGGCGTCTATTCGACCAAGGTCACTCACGCTGGTCGACACGCAGGAACATCAGATGCGTACCGTCTGGGCTTAGGCTTGGAGCATATCCGTCACCTTGGGCGTTGGGTAATGGGACAGATGGAGAGTTTCTATGCTCCAAAGAACCCCACCACGGGCGCGTTTTATATGGCTCATTTCAACAAGGAACAAGAACCTTATATCCTTGAACGTAATCTCGTTATCCCTGACTTGGAGCTGCAGAGGAAAATTTTCCCTTGGATCGAAGGGAACTTTAACAGCAGCGCTAGAGAGAATGAGGAATGGGTCAAGGATTGTGATGATGCTATGACAGATGTAAACCCGGATCTCATCACGGAGGACGATCTGCACTGGGGAGGCTGGCAGGAGCGTATGCGCCATTCGACAGCGGCTAGGGATCAAGATGAAAAAACTACGGGAAGCTCCGCCGCAACGACCAATAAGCTCATGAACAGCGCAATGATTGATCGACGGGCTTTCCTACTATTGCTGGTACAAATGAGGAGAGTTACCCTTCAAGACGCCGTGCTGTACCTGAAGCCTGACAGCAAAGGAAGGACTTTGAGCAATAAACTTTTAGAATCACTTCCAGAAATCTTTGAGAGTCAGCTGTTCCTGGACTTTCAGATAGAGCTCCTCCGTACAATCGAAGTGCATCAGCAGAGCGCCAATGTCGTCAATCCATTGGTCCCAGTTGACAAACATGTGGTCTCCAACGCGCTAAACAGCCTTAGTCACCAGAATGCATCTCTTGAAGCAGCTATTGCTCGGCAAGGGGCACAAATGGCACAGCAAGAGGCACAACAAAGGGCGCAGTTGTCTGCCATGAGCTCAGAGCTCGCGACGCTAAAGCAGCAAATGGAGATAGTGATACATTTACTGCAAGGTCCGTCAGATCGCCAAGCTCCAACGCGTCCTTTGAATTCAGCCGGTCTCCTTGGGCCATATCTCCATACTATGCCAAGCTATCCTGCTCTGCGCGGAGTCCCTCAACAGCAACCGTTTGCGACGCGTCCCCCACAGGTACCTCAACAGCACTCATCGCTGGTTCAAGCTTCTTTACATTGCTTCCAACGAGCGCCGGAGTCACCGCATCACTCGTCCCCAGGCCCCAGCTCATCAAGCGCCACTTTTAAATGGAAAGCAGACCGTGGAAAGCTTACGGTGGCAGATGCTTGGGAGGAGTTTCATGGACCTCTTGCGGCATTCAAAAGACTGAACCCGAGTTGGCCAGTGAGTACGTCAGATCAAAGGGCTTACAATCGACGATATGAGTTGATTAGGCTGATCAGCGAAGCAGCGCAAAGGGAGGGCCGCAAGCCTGAAGACATTGTTGCTGAGTGGTCACAAGCAAATGAGGGAAAGACTATTAACTCGCTGTTAATATCTATGAAAGCTAGGGAGCATGAGGATCCTGAAGATGGCCAATAAATGACAATACACTTCCCCGGTAGGTAACAACATCATATATAGAAACATATACGATAGTAACACCATATATAATAATGCATATAATAATAAAATACTAAATGCGTTAATTGATTTGCCAAAAAAAAAAAAAAAAAAAAAAAAAAATGGTATGTTTGTAAGTCGCGCATTTGCGATCCGTTTGGCGTTTGGTAGCGTCTTAACGCGCTTTCTCCTCATTTCCGTTGAGGGAAATAAATGACGAATAATATGGAGTATGGAAGAAGGGAATGTTAGGTCAGATTAACTTGACCAGATGTGGTCTGTAAAAAGCTAAATAATACCAGAACAGCAAGGTAACTGAAATACTAATAATTGAAAAGGAAGGAATATACGCCGTTTTCACTACATTTTACTCATTCTGTGGTTTACATTGACTAAATATACGCCAAAATGGTTACACAAACAAGACACAGAGCAGTGACAGTCACAGTTCAAGACACAGAGCACTCCCTGTCTTAATATTGATTCAGATTCGCTCTATATACTGTACTAGCTGTGTGAGAACTCAGTGGGAACCATAGGATGTAGGGAAAGAGAGATTCTCAGCCGGGGGTTGCATTTTTCCTTAGTCCCCAAAAAATAGGCTGCCAAACAATGGCAAAAATTACTGTATTTGGTATGGGCTGCCAAATAGATTAATCCCTTATATTTTTCATTTATTGTTTTTTTTCTTTATTTTTTTTTTTTATTTTTTTTCCTCGTTTAAAGTGCTCCTCGCTCAACCCAAAACATTTTGGAGAAACCTGTGTAGCGATGAATGTTGCCAAGTTTGAACAGATCCAATTCGACTCTCGCACGTAGATAGATTCTCTTGTTAGGAGTAGCACTCATCATGATGGCACTCGGGTGCAAGTACATGAACTGCACATCACTTGGCATATTACCCGCCACAATATCATATCGCTTGCCTGTGAAGGCATCTTCGACATAGACATTGACGACACCTGTCAAGCCCTTGCCGGATTCTGGGAATTCCCATGCAAATACATAGGGTGCTCCAACAAAAAACCGGACCTTATTTTCGATCCACCGTGTGATATTGATCGTGCCCGCATCAATGACCTTAATGGGTGGGTTATAGCCTGGGTCGTCCATATGCTCGTTCCAAAGTTCAACATCCTCGTCGTTCTGGAAAAAATTGGGATCGATAGAGTGAGTATGATCGTGCTTCTCCTCATCTTCGTCGCCGTCCCTTTTCTCCTCGTGACTATGGGTTTTGGTCTCCTGCTGGTGTTGATGTTCGTTTTCATGATCATTTTTAACCTCTTCCGTCTCAGTGGTATCGTCAGTGTTCACTCCCAATTCTCTCCCAGTAGGTGTGTACATATTGATTTCATTCTCCTTTTCTATATCGTCCTCTACGCTTTGGTTTTCGTCCTCACGTTGTTGTTGATTAATAATGGGAGAAACTGGTGGCTCTTCACTGCTTTCATCACTAATCGATTCAGTTCCTTCATAGCCAGCCTTGTCGCCATTAGTGCTAGCGATGACTTCATCCTCATTGGATTCTGATCTTTCTTCTCCATGAGATTGATCCTGAACATCGTCTTCCAGATGCGTGATATCTGAGTCCTTCTTTTCGAGTAGACTCTCAGTCGATACGTCCTTTAGATCTGGTTCTTCTTTCTGTTGTAGCTGCTGTAATTCGGCCACACCACCACCGCTGCCACCATTCAGAGGGATGGGAAAATCCGATGCAGGTGAAGGAGCCTTGACAGCGCGTAGATCCCGCGCGTGATCCTTTCGGATTATGATGGGGAAAACACTCTTCCGAACCAGGATCTTATTAGACCGGCCTTCGTAAGCGGTGATATAGAGTCGAGCCTGCGACCGAATATCTTTGAAAGGCTGTGCTGACGTCGTTGGTAATGAAGATGGGATTGCAGGTAGGTCAGTATCATTGGCGTCGCCCTGATGAACTCCATGGATAAATTCCTCAGGAATCTCTTCTACTTTTTCACCGTCGCCTTCCTGCTCCTGGACCAATTGTTCCTTTGTGATCAAATCATAGGGAACGATGACATCTACGAAGCGTTTAAGCGCTGATACATAACGAAGCGTAGGCCGTCGCGTGACTGTGATCGCCTCTGGGTTAGTCTCTGGGTCGACGGGGACGAAAGTAATATCGAATGTTGTACGTGGTGGAAGATTCAGATCGACCCAACTCAAGCTTTGTAATGAACCTGAAATCCATTCATCATTAGGTTCCGGGTTTAGGATGTCAAAATCATACTTTGGTTGTTGGTGTTGGCGGGGATGAGAGTTTTTAGGCGTCTTTGATTCAGTGACTGTTGAGTTTGTATTATTAGAGGCGGGGGTTGGAGACGGAGTTGAATTGGAAGGATCGGGATCTGCGCGAGGATGATGGGGATACGAACGCAAGCTGACCGGCATAGCCTGCACAGGAACCGGGGCCATCAGAGCCACGGAGAGAAGAGATGTTAGGCTGACAAGACCTAGGGATATCCTTATCGCCTTCATGACGGGATGTGAAAATATAGGTTGTGTGCGTAAAAAAGATTTGTCGTATGCAAAAAGAGAAATGTCGTATATAAAAGGAAGAGGCGGGGGTGGGAGTATTAATAGTAGTAAAGGAAAAAAATAGGTTTGAAACGGCAAGATCGGTGGAAGAAACACACTAGTAACGGAAAAACTATAGAAAAAATATAAATAAACTGCTAGAAAACAAAGACTATAAAAGGATCGGTGAGTGAATAGTAAGAAGAGTTTGAGGATGGATACTGTTCTTCTCTTTTAAGAAATATATTTAAAAAAAAAAGAGGTACAAGCCGTTGAAAGGAAATAAAAGGGGAAAGGAGAATTAGTTTAAATAATAATAAATGACTCGCGTGGCAAGTATTGTTTAAAATTAAAATAGAATAGAACAGAATAGAATAAAAAGAAGAGAAAAAGGGGATGTAGACATTAAAGATGCAGTATATGCGTGTGAATGGTAATTAAGAAAATGAATGGGGATGACAGAGATGAGAATGTGGAGTTAAAGAGCGGAAAGAAGAGAAAGAAGGTGTGCGAGAGAGAGAAAGAGAGAAAGAGAGAGAGAAGAGAGAGCGATGGATGAGAGAAGAGAAAGTAAAATAAACGTGCCAATCAGATGTGAATCTTTGGTTTGTGCCTCCAATTGTATGTACGGTTAATATATTCAAATGTTTTTATCCCCTGCCTTTTCCTCTTTTTTTATTTTTATTCTGATCGGCTCTCAAAAAATAGAAAAGAAAAAAAAAGAAATGGCACCACCCTGATGGACTGTAAACAACTCTTCCGGATGAACAATATGATATGAACAGCGCCTCATCTCATGCAAAGTACTAATTGAACTAATACAAGGTTCGCCATCTTTCTATTACCCCCTTTGCCATTCACATTAGCAAGCAAGCATGGACTTTTTGTACTTGTCTACTTTGGAAGTTTAGTCTGTTATAAATACATCTCTCTCTTTCACAGCAGGATATCTCGATAACGTACAGGTTTTACATTGATAGTCAGCAGGGCTACGCCCTTATTCTCAGCGTTTCTTCAGAGCTTGTTACTGCTCTCACAACAGACAAATAAGCATTTTCACATTAATGTTACCCTTTTTGAGACAAAAAAAAAAAAAAAAAAAACGTGATCTGAGCTGTTGTTTTGAAACTCTTTTTATATTTTTTATTTTTCTCTTTCATTGTATCCATTTCTTCTGTCATGTCGAACGAATCAACCATTCCAGCTCCTGACTTCGGACCATCGAGGCTTGGTACTCAGAGCTAGTAAGTAGACCAATGATTCTTTGTTTCGAAAGTACTTTGAAAAAAGAAAAGAAAGTGTACAAATTCATATACATATACATATATATATATATGTTTTAAATTTTTCTAAACTTTTTTTTTTTTTTTTTTTTTTTGCAACTTAGCTGGGACTCAGTATATAACAGAGAGGTGGACAATTACAAGGATCATGGGGATATTGGCGAGATCTGGTACGGATGGGCATAGCAGACTGAAAAAAAAGAATTCATGCTTATTTCATGAATAACTGGAATCCTAATCAAGATTTCTTATTATCTGATTTGTTACAAAAAAAAAAAAAAAAAAAAAAAAAGGTTTGGCGAGGATAGTGCCATGAAGATGGTCGATTGGGTTGAAGAAAACTATGACTCTGTAAAAGAAACTTGTTCAATTTTAGATCTAGGCTGTGGTAATGGTCATCTCCTCCTGGATCTTGCAGAGCTCGGATTCGAGGATCTGACTGGAATCGATTATTCACCTGCTGCGATTCAACTGGCTCGTACCATCGCGAAAGACAAAGAACTAGATCATATCATTAAATATGAGACGGTCGATTTTTTAGCAGAGAAGGCAACACTTGAATGGTGCACTCGACAACAGACTAGTGCTACTGAAGAAAAACAGCAGCCTAAAAAGTTTACAGTATTGCTTGATAAAGGAACTTATGATGCTATTAGTCTGCACCAAAAGAAAAAACAAGATAGTGCAGACGCCGCTACTGCTGCTGCTTCTCAGGTCGCTGTACAACAACAACAACAAGGGGATGGACAGGGCCTAGAAAATGAAAATGAAGCAAGATCAATGGAAGGGGAGGAAGAAGAGGATATTATACTGGCAGAAAATGACAGTGACTTGGAGGAATTGGCGGATCGTTATCCCAAGCGTGTTGCTTTGATGATGCAGGATGATGGACGGCTATTGATCACCTCTTGCAACTGGACACAGGCTGAACTGATTAAGCGCTTTTCACAATGTATGTCAATTACCTCTTCCTTTTTTCCTTTTTTATGCTCATTAAGTTCCAGGATAGTTGCTGACACAAAGATTTGTTATCCTTGACGCGTAGACTTCGATTATGAATCGCATCTCAAGTATCCGACGTTTACTTTTGGTGGTGTCAAGGGTCAGACAATTTCCAGTGTTATCTTTAAAAAAAAATCTTCGGCATAGAGACGATTTCATAGAACTAAGAATCTACACATATAATGAACACATTCTTGTATTTCTGTAACTTTAAGTAGGTCAAATATGTCAAAATAACATGTATTTTTTTTTTTTTTTTTTCTCTTTGTACTAATGACTACGAATTATAGTGCAGTGGTAAGAACAAAAGAAAAAAAAAAAAAAAAAAAAAAAGGTAAAAGAAACGTAATGGGACAAAAATAAGATGGAGTGGGGGGTCATATTTAAATCTCGTCAATATCGAACTCGACATCAAGCTCGTCTTCGCTACCCTGGAAGGTATCGGTTTCGTTGATTTTGGCTGTATTTGGAGGTTAAGGAATGAAGAAAAAAAAAATTAGATATTGCATTTCTTGGTTAATTGATAAAATAAAAACAAAAGTATTATCATGAATTCATTACCGCTTTCGGGCAACTCGCCATATGCCTTCAAGTTACGAGCTTCTTCAGTGTTATACTTGAGAATGACGTCCGCCTTGTCGTCTTGGAAATCACGGAGAGAAATAAGAATGATGTCTCCCTGATTGATCCAGACCTATTATATGTTTCATTTTGGAATGAACAAGAGCCACAAACAAGTTGAACTTTTAATTAGTGAAGCCTGTTTGACAGATAGGGGCTGCATGCGCCGCATTCCTTGTAATAAAACTGCGGCTCTCTCTCTTTTTTTTTTTTTTTTTTTGTTTTTCTTTCTCAAACAAAACGTTGCGTATTTTTGCGGATTAGCGTGGGGTGAGCATGTGCATCTTGGAGAGAGTTCATGCTCTGTGCCTGATTGATGACAGATGACACTAGAAGCGCACAGACAGTGTATTTTTGGAAAAAATCAAAAATTAGGCCACAAATGGGATATTGAGGTATACCTTTTTTCTCATCTTTCCACGAATATGTGCTAGCCTTTTTTCGCCATCAAAGCATTGGGCCTCTACACGACCGTTTCCGAGCATCTTGAGGACTTGAGCATATTCTTTTTAATCATTTAGGGTCAAAAGGCGAAATGTTAGGAGAGTATACAGGATAAAGATGTCATGATACATCATCATCGCTTTTTTCTTTCTTGTTTGGTTTGTCATCTGAGTATCAGCTTTTAGGTATACTATTTCCACTGATGTAATGTCTTTTTTACCTTGTCCATCTTCCTTGAAGACCAACTCACGCTTCTCGCCTTCGTTCTCGTTTTTTCCACGTCTTCTGTTCTTTCCTCCCTATTTTCAACAAATCGAAGCATGTGACACTATATGTTAATGATAGCACAAGACAAAGAGGTAAACAAAGAAAAAAAAAAAAAAAAAGTCCGGAATCAAGAACTAAAGATTGTAGAGAGACGCACCTTTCCTTTATTCTTTGGCATGATTGTTTAATCCTGTAGAATAATATCGTTTGTTATTTGTTTCGGGTCGAGAAGAAAAAGCGAGAGTAATAATGAGAAAGAAATAAAAAAAAGAGAAAGGGAGAGGGAGATATATATTATGATTAGATACTGATCCTTTCAGAGGATTTCTTGAGTCGTGATGTGAAGAAGAGAAAGAAGAATCCCTTTAAAGTATGAGAATGTATATATCCGTCATTGGTTCACTCTTCAAAAAAAAAAGAAAAAAAAATATGTCCTTCCTGCTGTCCAGGGCAATTCCAAGTATGACATAACATCCGCAGTAGTTGATGCAGGAAAAAAAAAAAAAAAAAAAAAAAAGAAATGAAATAAACCCCTGCTCTTCACACAAGCATAATAATGAGTAAAAAAATAAAACGAAATAAAAAAAAAAAGGCTGCATCCAAGGGGAATCGGATTATTGTCGTTTTCTACATGGTTGTCTGTAATACAAACTGAAAAAGGGATTTTTTTTTTTTTTTTTTTTTGCTTGACGTACGATTATCGAGGATGGTTAAAGAAAGGATGTGAAATTAGATCAATCGAACGTTTTTATTTTTCCCTTGTTTACACTCAGACCCCCTCACTCTTTGGCTTCTATGCTGTGGGATGAACTAAACTCAAGAACCGCAGTCAAAAAAAAAAATTGGTGACATCACATTGTTTTATCATGTGACTTAGGATCCAATTATGTGGAATTAACACATCTTTACTTTTTGTAGCATTTTTTTTATTCATTGCTTCAAAAAAAAAAAAAAGATGTCTAAACCTCGGAGGACGGTCGCTGCATTCTCAGCAAGCATTGCTACTTGTGCATCTACTGTAATATGAAGTCTGTTTACTTTACTATAACAATCCAAAGAAAAACAGAAACAAAAAAAAAACCTCTACTTGTATCTGATAAGCAGTGACTTGTACATAATACAAAAATCCATATCTTTAGGCCACTGCATATGGCGCATGTATCTCCGCAACCATGAACGACGTTCATAAAGGTGTCTGCGAAAAAGAGTTTTTGGCTTTCAAGGAGTGTGTCCAAGCTTCTGTAGGTCTACCTACCCTCATATGCAAATTGTATTTTATTATTAATATTATTATTGGTAACAAACTAACCCAATTTACTGTATTTTTTAGATGAAACGCAAATGGTAAACTAAAAGTCCAGCAACGTGGTCGAGTAAAAGATAATGTTCATTGTAAATTAGCAAGGTCCTCCTCTCTGAGTAATAAAGGGAAATATAGTTGCAGGCCATCACTTTAATATATATTTTTTTGTTGTATACAAGATCTTCTTTGGGACTAAGAAAAAAAAACAAAACTGAGATAATAATCAATAATTCTTCGGCGGTGGAGGCGATCAATCCAACTAGGTAGATTAGAAAGCAATGGGAAAGAATGATTAAAATCACAAGAAAAAGAAATCGTGGAGCCCAAGATCAATTTTTTTATTTTTATTTTTTCTTATACCTGCATCTCCTGGATCTTGATATCGTACAAGGACTCAATGTCTTCCAGGGTCTGTTTCTGCCCTGGATCACAAAGATTAATCACTAATGTGCGCAGTCCTGATCGTCCAAATGGACCAAACGACGATATGTAGTATGCAGCACGTCTGGACATCTCATAATTGATCATCAAGGATGAATAATCCAGATCTAGATTGTCCATCAAAGTCAATTCAGAAACCAGAATACAAGGATCTGGACCATTGAATTGTCGTGCCACTTCAGTATTATCCGCCAAACTCCACTAATCATAGGAAAGAAGAAGAAAAAAAAAAGATTGTTGTGAATTAGCAGGTTTTGCGGATTAAAATCGTTTATCAGAAAAAAAAAAAAAAAAAAAAAAAAAAAAAACTTACAGCAGAGAGTACAGGCAACTTGTGTGCAGCAAGCTTGGCCGTCAATGCTTCTGTCGTGCTCTGAGACTGTGTTAGGATCACAGTGTGCGAAATGTTCGGATTCTTCGTCAAGATCTGCATCAACACCTCCCACTTGTGATCTCTAGGTGCTGTCGATTCAACCTTCTGATTCTTATCATCACTTGCTTCCTTTTCCTTTTCTTCTTCTTTCTCTCCACCCTTCTCTTTCTCTTTCTCTTTCTCATTCGCGCCAACTACTGCTGAAGAAGAAGATGGCGATGATGAGGATGGAATTGATACATAATAATGTTCACTCCACTGCATTGTTAGTTCATCTGCTCTCCGGACAACTGCATCTGCTCTAAAGTGCCGATCTTTGATCACTTGAATCTTGGGCTCGATCCGTCCTGTCATCAAAATCACTTGAGCATCCCGCGCTAAAAGCCCCAAGAATTGCTTGAATGAATCAAAATCAACCAACTCTGCGACTCGCATCGAGATCACTACGGTACCGATAGCTTTCATATCTAATACATTATTCCTAACTGCCTCCAGCAGCGGACCAAGCGTTGTTACCACCACTTGCTTGGGTTGTTCGGGATCTATAAGGACGGATGTTTTATCCGTATCCTTAGCCATGTCCGTTGTGAGGAGAATAGCCTCCAGTCCTGGAGTTTCTTTGAACCATATCTGGAAATCTTCGTGGACCTTCTGTGGCTTGACACCGTCCGAACAGACGACAAGTGCTTGACAGTGCTTCTGGGTCAAAGCTGCTGAGGAAAGTTTCTGTAACAAGGCAATGGCCAAGGTATTGGTACGATCATTTTGGGATTGAGATTGCGCTATTAGGTCTTTGCCCTGCTGGAATGGTTCCATGATCATCTTTTGAATATTGGAAGGTTTCTCAAGTCTGGCACAAAAAATAAAACTATTAGCCCTGATCCATTCTCATTGAGTATCGAAACATTTAAAAAGCAAGGGTGGGGTTTTTTTTTCAAGATTGATGACATACCCAGCCCTCGCAATGCTAGCCATGACAACAGGGTTAAGATTCATCTCCTTCCAAGTCATCTGGCACTCGAGTGAATCTGAAAACATTGGCGCCTACATACGCGTTGAGAAATAGGAGTTTTGAATAGGGTCAGGATGAATTCCCTTAAAAAATTAAAATAAAAGATGATTCTCTTTATCTGACATTCATGTGCAGATTCCAAAAATACCAAAATTAAATAAAAAAAAAAATAATAATAATAAATAAAAAATGTAAATGATGAAGAAAATCTCACTAATCTTTACGTACAAAGCCTCTTGGTTCTCTAGGCTTTGAGGATTTGTTTCCCCTTGCAGACTTGTCAAACTGTCCTCTTGCCTCAGAAGAACCGTGTTGTTGTCCATCAGAGGGCTGTCCATACTGATTCGAATATGATCCAGACCTGGGGCCCCTAGGATTCTCTGAACGAGGTCCTCTTTGATAGTTGCTCTGACGCGCATCCCACGACTGATCTGATTCAGAGCCCTGGAACCTTCGGCCACCACCACCTCGGCCACCACCGAATCTCACATCACCTCCGCCACTACCGAATCTCGCATCACCTCCGCCACTACCGAATCTCGCATCACCTCCGCCACCACCAAATCTCGCATCACCTCTATCATTCGCAAATCTACCTCCACCACGTCCGCGCCCAGAAGAGCTCCTGTCGAACCTTTGAGGCCCATTTCCTCCGTAGCTTTGCGTGTCACCACCCCAGCTTTGCGTGTCACCACCCCAGCTTCTAGTGGGCTGTGAATCGGTATCTTCACCCCACTTCACATCCGTTCCCCCTCCTGAGCTCTCCACAGGCGAATCTCCCCAGCCATCATTACCCCCTTTTACCACAGGTGCTTCGCCCCAACCTTCCTCCTTCACAGCTGTTGGGGTATCACTAGTATTTGCCTCGTCATTCGTAGGCGCAGGTGGGGCGTCCCAACTATTGCTGTTTGCGCCTGCAGACGTGCTACCACGAGAACCGCCTCTATTTGCCGCAGATCCACCTGCACGACCTCCTCTCGGTGGTCTAGATGAACCTCTTGATGAGGAGTAGCCACGGCCAGTAGTAGTGGTAGTAGCAGTGGAAGCTGATTGGTCACCCCAACCACTATTCTCTGTAGCTGACTGGTCGCCCCAGCCACTATTCTCCGTAGTTGTAGTAGCAGGAGCAGAATCCCCCCAGCTATCGCCCGATGCAGAAGTGGCATCCTTTGCGTTGGTTTCGGAGTTATAGGGAGGTCCTGCTGAAGCACCTTTTTTCTTGAAATCTTGTTTACCCTTGGAAGCTGGGCCTCTCTTGGAGTTGGAACGAGGACCAGCAGTAGAATCTCCCTGACTGGCGTTGGCGTCAGCTTCAACGTTGTCCTGACTGGGGGTCTGGTCGCCTGTGTTCCGGCTCTCTGCATCCTGGTTCGACTCTTGGTTTTGATTTTGGCTCTGGTTTTTGCTCTTGTTCTTGGGCCCTCTCTTCGTCTGCTCCTTACGCTCCTTCGAGGACGCTCTACTGTTTCTATTGGGACTGGCAGAAACAGTCGAGATTTCTTCTTCATCCTTGTTTTTGTTCCTTTTGCTCGGCTTGCGTTTCTTTGGTGCTGCAGAATCCGATGGAGTGGCGGTATCAGTGGCAGGTGACACAGTCGCATCCTCGATAGCCTCTTTGTTCTTGGGTTGTCCCGAAGTTTGTTCTCCGCCCGCGGAACGAGGTGCACGAGACGGCTTGCTAGTCTTTTTGGTTTGTTCACCGCTTGAAGGCTCGCTCTTTAGGCATATGCAGGCATTATAAGAAATAGGCGATGTTACTTGGCCGTATGAGAATTATGTCGACAACAATAGCAAAACTACAAAAGTAACTCTTAAACACTTACAACAGCTGGCTGTTCTGCTGCAGTAGCCCATCCGGAAGGAATTGAGCTTGCAGGATTTGACGTATCATTGTTAGACGCTTCGCCCCAACCGCCATCGCCTGTTGATGTTGCAGCTGTTGGCGGAGCCCCCCATCCATTATTATCCTGCGTAGTTGTAGTTGTATCCCGACCCTCCTGGCCATCGTTGTTATTGTTTTGATTTGAGGCAAACCTTTCTCTTGTGCCTTCCTCACCTCCTGCCCCCCCTCCTCGTCCTCCTCTTCCACGTCCTCCACGCCCTCCACGTCCTCGTCCTCCTCGTGATGGAAATTGCTCTGACCCTCTACCACGACGACTGTTGGGGGGTGAAGATGATGCAGGAGCAGAGGCAGCCGCAGATGGGCCACTCGTACTAGCATCTACACCGGACTCAGCTGTACTGGCGCCGGCGGCAGCTGCTTCTGATGGCTTTTTACCTCTCTTGTTTCTCTTACTAGTGGGAGGAGTGGATGGAGCCTCTCCGGTGGATGATGGCTGCTGTCCTTCTTGACCTTCATCACCACCACCACTGCGGATGGAGGGTGACGACGGAGCGGGGGCCGAGGAGCTTTCTCCATCCTTATCTGTGATGGCAGCCTTGTTCTTCCTAGGTTTTGGGGGCCTGGGTGAATTGCTATTGGCAGGGCTTGATACGGGTGTAACATTGCCATCACCATTGCTTGAATCTGCTGCTGTTACTGCTGTTGCTGTTTTGTCAGCTTTGTCAGTTTTATCAGCCTTGTTCTTCTTGTTGCCTTTACCCTGTTTGCCCTGCGGCTGCTTGTCCTTGTCCTGTTGTGGTTGAGTGGTATCTTGGCTGGTACCCTCAGTCACATTTTTTGGTTCAGATGTCGATTCGCTCATGGCTGCGGCTCTCGATCTGTCGCGTCGAATGAGCTGTAATGCGTTTTCTTTTGGGAAGGGAAGAGGAGGTGAGGTGGAGTAAGGAGAGGTTTAAAAGAACAAGAGAGAAGGAAAATAAAAAAGAGGGGGGGGAAGGTTGGGTGTGTGAAAGTATTAAATACATTCATCAGCTATGAGCTCGCGTATCGTATTCACTTATTTCCGCACTCACAGGCTCACGAGACAATCTTCTGGAAAACGAGCTTGCATTTCTGCGGCTAAAAATGCGTAAGGGTATTTACGAACTTTGATTGGCGCTAGAATAACAACTTTATTTCGCTGCAGGGATCAAATACCACATTCTTCCTTAACTAAGCAAGCATCATTTTTTTTTTTTTTTTTTTTTAGTTCCGATGTTATTGAGAGCAAGAATGATGCTCTAAAAGTCGCAGCTATCCCAAGATTGAAGCCTACTGAGGAGTTCAAGATAGAATCTGTCATGGCAGCAGTTAGCAGCAACACCCACGGCCGCTACTACTGCCATAACACCCTACGGCAAGAAAGAAAACAAAAGAAAAGGATAAAAAGAAGGCCTGTATCACTATGTAAGGAACGCTGGCTTTTTTTTTTTTTTTTTTTCCCCACCAGCAAAGGCTTTCAGTTTTTTGCGCGCATGCACTAAAGTAATGGCGTTTTCCTAAACATCAAATGTCAAATATCACACGCTAGTATTTAAAATCAGTACAAGAAGCCTTGCAATCCTTATCCTTTGAAGCTGCACTCATAAGGAATGCAGGTACTGAAGGATTATTCTTCATTTTCTCTTCAGAGCTCAGTTTAAGTTCTATCTATTTAAATGTGAAGGCTTTTAATATTTTCCCTCCAAGCTTTATTAAGGCTCAATCCTATCCAGAACTTTGACTAGAGGAGAGAGGATATGTCGCGTTGTCAAGTATTTTCTATAGGATTTTCGCCATTTTGTTCAGCAAAGATCTAGAAGCCATAACAGGCACTTCTTTCTTTCATTTTCATTACTTATTATGGTTCACCACGAATTACAGAGGAGGCACACATCCCACTTATGGAGAGCACTTTCAGTCAGGAACTTGAAGCGTGTTACCAGTCGAGAAATATCTTTCTTGGAGTGCTTTTATATTTCCGAAGATCTGGAAGATATCTCGGGCACGGTAATCTCCTGGTATTCTGGCTGCAAGCACAAGCATGTCGGTAGATATAGCATAAATGGTCATCCGAATGGATAAGGTCGCAAACTATCCTGAGATTGTTCTCCATGTCTGTGGAATTAGCATTGTATGTCTTTGCAATACAGAAGCACACGGCCAATACATCTACCAAAGCAATGTTTGCATAGTAAAACCCAGAAGCCAAGCTAGATAATAGCATAGGAGAAGACAATAAATTAGCTTTGTGGGTTATGTGCTGTAACGAGTAAAACTTTGAGCTATCGCTTTTTGGATTTTGTTATTCTTGCCAATGTAGTGGCAGTAACTCGAGCTTAGGATAGCGAGAGGCGGAGGCCCATTGAAACGGGTAGTTTGTGGCTGTAAGGAAGACAAAAGCGCAAAGGGTGGGTTTTATAGTTTCAACGATAGTGATGCTTCGCCACAATGTTGAGTATCAGTACTCTTTAGGATACGATTGAATTGAGCCATGCAGGTAATTTAAAATCCCCTTCATCTGGATGGGGAAAGTTCAATAGTGACTGGAATAAAATTGAATAGGAAAACGTCTCCTCATAAAGTCATTGTGAAGATGTTGTGCGTGCTGAGACTCCTATCCATGCTTCCGTCAATTAAAATCAAATCCTGTCTGAAAATTTATAAAGGGATCAATTTTATCCTCCTACAGCGATACAAGGGTTTGTTTATTTACGTTTGGCAAATTTGGCAAATTAGGAGAAGCTGACAACCCCAGTTTTCAGCGCCTCCTGTAATTATGCTTACTACCCACAGCCCAGTCATACTCTTATGCACATGAGGAAATAGATAAAGATTTACACACAAGTAATTACTTTTTTTTATAAAAATAATAAAAAAAAAAAAAAAAAAAAATAGAGAGAACCAGTTCTCGCCCGATGAAGAGAAAGATGTGTTCACTTAAACTAGTCCTAACCGCATGTGAAGCGCCCGGTCATAAACATTCTGACTATCTTTAAAGATACGATTGAATTGATCCAACGCAAATGATTTTATTAAAAAAGAGTATACTAAAAGTTTCGGAACCATATATATTTTTGTCCTCATCCCTTAAATCGGGTAGGGAAATTATGTTTATCAAACGCGATCGAAATAAAAATAGAAGGAATGCTACTCAGGAAGTCATTGACTGGACAGCGCTGTGCTTAAAATTATAGGGAAATTTGTCAGTGTCCTGACGCGTTTTTTTTTTTTTTTTTTTTTTAAAAAAAAAAAAAAAATAACGATAGAGAGTATGAACTTGGTTTTGTAGTGCAAACCTTTCCCTCGAAAAATAAAACTGAAGCGGCTCTTATCTTCAGAGCATCTCCAAAGATTACGACAATGCCTCCATATCAAACAGAAGAGGTTTAGAACTGCACAGTACTTGTTTGAATATCGTATAACAGCCCTTAAAAAAAAAAGCTTCAAGTATGGTCTGGGAAAAAAAAAAAAAAAAAAAAAAAAAAAAAAAGCACCTTCGTCTATTCTAATCTTTACACTGTACAAGCTCGGGGGGGGGGGGGGTTTGTCTTTTTTTCTTGAGCTTATTTTGCAGGGGTTTTTTTTTCTTTTGTTAAGGACTGTTTTTACGTTATTCGAATACGTACTGTGCCAGTTTTAAGCCTCTTTTACCTAATCCGGAGGCGATGATACAGTCTGTGGAGATGCTCTGAAGGTGAGAGCTGCTTCACTTTTAGTTTTTGAGCGGAAGAATCTGCATTAAAAAACCCAAGTTCATGTTCTCTATTATTATTGTTAATTTTATATTTTGACTAACATTGCCTAAAATCTAAAACAACGCACGAGCCAAGTAAAATCTAAACGTAAAAAAAACGCGTCAAATTTTCAGAGCACTTTGATAACTTTTTTTTTATAACTCCTATAACGCAAAGTACAAGGATCTTGCTCTACATGGATGATGGGGAGGATACATAAAAAGGGTTATAAAGCGACACCGCCGTGGTTGCTTACCTGTTACAAGTCGATGGGCTGTCGTGCTCGTAAGAATACTCTTCAATATCTCAACCGTTCCAATAAAGACTTAGGATTGATTCTGGCAACCCTAAACCAGTCCTTGCGCGTATGTGCTCACAGGGATGAAAGTTATTTTGGTAGCATTGCTAGGCCATAGGCGGTGGAGAGCAGGGGAAGACCCTTCTTCAAGTCCCCCTTACCTTTTATATTCAGTGAAATAGCTTTCAGAATCGACATGCCTCAGAAGGATATGATGTAATGATAGTAATAGTAATAAAAGCAATATCAGCCTTCGGTTCCATTTCCGGCTTATTCTTGTCGTTTCACAAAAGCATATTCCGCATCCTTCTTTGCTTTGGCCTCCTATCAATGATATCATAGCCGGCTTTGTCTTGTTCCATGCCATATGCCTGGGTACTGCTTACCTCCAAGATGCTCTTTGTTTTTTGTTAAGATGTCATAAGACAGAGATATGGAATGGATGTGATTGGCCCAGGATAGCTTGTACTCCTGAATAAGTCGCATTTTTCATGCATGGTGCGTTGTCCATGCACGGTAGGACTACAGCAGTGAATAAAGTCTCATTGACCTGTACTGATGTACTGAACATTCGTACTGAAGTTTTTTTCAGTAAATTTTTACTTATTATTTACTTATTATTTACTTACACATCGGTAAAAAAAAAAAAAAAAAAAGTAAATTTTGAGTAAAACAAAAGTATATTTCGAGTAAAAATCAGTAAGTACTTACTGAAAATATACTTTTTACTTACTTTTGTTTTACTGATATTTACTGAAAATATACTTTTGTTTTACTGATATTTACTGGAAATATACTTATTATTTACTTTTGTTTTACTCAAAATTTACTTTTCTTACTTTTCTTTCAGGGGGCCTGCACTTGAATTCCCCGTATATGCACGAGCAAACCAAAGCCACTTACTGATGGGTCTCCACATATGCATGTGGATAGGCTGTCATGGACACACGTTGTTCAGAACATGAGATCAACTTCTATCAAGTATTCAGCGTGCTACCATGATTAAAAGCGACCACCTTCATTTCATGTTGATAGACATGCTTTTCAGGACTTTTTACTTTTTTTTTTTTTTTTTTTTTTTTTTTTGCAGACATAGTATATATAGCCCCGTTTCATTTGGTCATGATACCTTATATTTTTTAAATTGATTGAATAGGCTCCAGCGAAAATTGAATTGTATTGAATAGCAACTCTAATTCTGATGTCGTTCGCTACTTGCAAGCTTGGCTCGCTGTCCTCTATTTGCACGCCTAGCGGCGGAAGAGGTCAGTGGCTTTGACGTTGAATAACTGTTATGCGTCATCATGTTTTGCTTCCGCTTCCTTGCCTTCACTCTTAGCTCTCACGCAACGCAATCAAACATGATGATCGTCAAATTCACAGAGTTCCATCAAGTAAGTAGTAAACATTATCTTTTTTTATCATTTAGCTGCGCTTCCTAATTATCTGTAAGTAATCTCTGGTTTCTTACAATGAATAGACGCGGACTTTTTCGATCCAATGAGAACATCGCAGCTTCCTTCTCCCTTTTCTTTTCTTTGACCTTGAAGGTCGTTACAAGGAGACACCAGATGTTCTGCTGATTCGAACCGGCCACTGTACTAGTGGGGAAGCTTTTGAACAGATCTTTGGTCTTGTGCAAAAGCTTCAGCCCCCCGGTAATTAAGAGTCTGTCAAGCATCTGAATCTTTCTTTTTCTTTTTTTTTTTATTCTTTTCTTTGACCTTGAAGGTCGTTACAAGGAGACACCAGATGTTCTGCTGATTCGAACCGGCCACTGTACTAGTGGGGAAGCTTTTGAACAGATCTTTGGTCTTGTGCAAAAGCTTCAGCCCCCCGGTAATTAAGAGTCTGTCAAACATCCGAGTCTTTTATTTTCTTTTTCTTTTATTTTCTTTTTCTTTTATTTTCTTTTTCTTTTCTTTTTCTTTTCTTTTTCTTTTTCTTTTCTTTTTCTTTTTCTTTTCTTTTTCTTTTT